TGAAATCATTATTTATATCAACAATATTATTTATATCAACAAATCGCAGACATTTTTGGACACTTTAAGTAATTCACAGAATAGCTTTCATTTAAAAAATTTATACAATATTTATTTAAAAAAAAAAAAAAGATACTAGATGTCAGGAGTGCAACGAAAAAGGTAAAAGATAACTTTAAAATCTAGTATTTTTATAAGAAAGCATTCTTTATCAAACTTCTTTTTCGGCTAAGCCTTATATTTGAAGAATTGACTAAATTCAATAAAATTTCTTTCCTACTAAAACGTTTTAGACCATAATTGAGACAATCAATGTTAAATAACAACCAAAATTGCCAATTTTCACATACAGAAGAGAACAAGGTTTAGATCTAACCATTTTTATCCCTGACACAACTCTGAAAGATTAAAAAAAACTTTAATTTCTTTTGATTATGTATTTCAGAAAGTCTTTTAGAATGTAGTAATATTTTCTTTTTTCAAATGAAGTTCTTCTGATTAAAAAAAAATTGATCCTTTTTTATGTATTTGTCAATTTTATTGTCATTTTGGAAATTTTAATAAGAATGTATATACAATTTGATGTAATCTTTGAAAAATTTGTTATGGTAAGCTGAAAAAAAAAATTCAATTTCTCCGTCATTATTTTTGAATTCATCCAAATTAAGAAACATGGCCCCAGGGTCACAGGTCCTGGTGCAAGGGCCGGGCTCTTTTGATCATATAATGCAAATCTATAAATTCTTTAAATATCTCCCCTGTATATTTAGCAGACAAATATATATTTAGATGAGCAAGTGCGCCTCTTCCAAAGTTGTGAAATTTGTTGCCCCTTTATCAGGGATCCTGGTGTTAGGGTGGGGCTCTGTTGATTATATAGTGGGGATAGCAATTTGTAACCGGTTAACCGATTTTTCGGTCAAAACGATGGTAATCGGTTAGAAAAATCTGTAATCAGTTAGTCGAAAAAAAAGAATATGTGTAAATTTCAATGAAAATTCTTTAAAATTAAATTTTAAAAAAACTGCATTAACTTTGATAAGTTAGCGTTTTCGTATATCTGGAGATAATTAAGGTTTTCCAGGTTGAATAAATGAGCTTTATTCTCATAACTGACAAAACAGTGAAGAGAAGATATGTACAATATCATAAACAGAAAATATTACATGCCCGAAGAAGGGGTAACAGAGTATGTCAACCAAGAGAGCCAGCTCTCTCAATTATGATATCTAACAATTTACAAATTTTGCTACGTTGATTAATATTGGTTACATTAAAAAGCATTTCAAATTTCAACAAATTTTGATTCGATTGAAAATATTCTGACAAATACATAACTCTTGAGTTCTTTATAGATACAACAGTACATTTCAATAAGTAATGAAATTCATGTCCAATACCATTGCACCATCTACCAGTCTCAACTGGTAATTTTGCATTCCCAGTTCTAAATAAGCAATATTTCTTGGATTGTTTAGGAGGCAAATTCAAGAATTCGTCTTCAAAGATCAATGATTTTTATAAAAAATACTATAGTTAAAACCTTTAGGGGAAGTTTGTACATCACTAAACCATGTTTGCTTAAACTGATCTAAAAGAGTGGTAAATACCTTACCGGTATTTCTTAGCCAAGATATATTAATTGAATTTTCATACCACATATAAGTCAATCAACATTCATTAAAAATTTTCTGAACAAATTCACACCATGGATTCTTATAGATTTTCAATGCACATAAAAGTTTTGCAGACAATTAAGAGCTCTGGGCATTAATGAGTTTATTCCAAAATGAAATCATTCTAACTTTGATATCAATTATTAAAGGATGTCTACCAAGTTCTCCATACACCATAAAGTTTGGTGTTGATGTTTTCAGGCTCAGAATATGTTTACAAAATCTTAGGTGTAATTTCTCTATTAGTTTAGTCATTAGTTTAAAACCCGTTACTTCGCATTCATATAAGAGTATTGGTTTGACGATTTTATCAAACATGTCTAATTTAGATTCTTCATATTATTAATTATATTCAAATTTCTAGTACTATCCCTATTATGGTGAAAAATGCAATATTTCTTGAGTCTTTTTTCTTTTTCTTTTTTTTTTTTTGGGGGGGGGGGGCATTTAGGAGCCAAACAGAGTACAAAGTTGTAATGAGCAAGGTGTATTACCGGATATGTGAAATTTCTGACCACTTAGTCAAGTGTTTTGACGATGGGCAGGGCTCTATTGACATTGTAAGGAAATTTATACTCGTTACTTCCCTTTGCTATGAAAAATTCACTATTGTAAATAATGTAATTGATTGATCAATTAAATAAAGAGTTAAATAAGAATTTTTTAATGTAATTTACAAAAGAGTACTATTATAGTTTTTTGGTCAGATAGACTTGTGATTAATCAATAAATAAAAATGAGACAAAAATATCTTATTTTTGTACATCAATGTGCTTCAAAGATTAAGAGAGGCCAATCATTAGCACAATCACTATTTGTTTATTTGGTCTACATGATTATAGTGATAAATGGGAGTTTATTAGCACTGGCAAGTATTTTGATTTGTTAATGATTAGTAGACTTACTATTTTGTTGATCCCTGATCATCTATTCCTCTTGGTTTAGGGCAACATATCTTCATCTAACAGTTTATTTTTCTTTCATGTTATACTTGTATGGATCATTTACAATGTTATACTCGGGTGACTGTTAAGGCCCTTGGGCCTCTTGTGATTCAGAGAGAGAGAGGAGAGAGACAGAGAGACAAATTGCTCATGTACGAAATAAATTGTACTGCGACAACTTGATTCATCTGCCAACGTCGAGTTAGGATCTTTCTCTTCTGAGTAAATCATTTATAGTACTGTACGTTGAAATCAGCTGTTCATTACATTTTAAAAGTCACATACAAGACATGTTTTAGTCAGTATTTATTTCCTGGATGGAACTCGTCAAGTAAAGTTTGTTAGGCAGAGGTAGGTAAGCAGTTGTGCGAATGTTATAAAACGCAATGATGAATGTGACGGGTAACAAGAAAATGTGTTTTGTATTTCATGATGAATTAGAAAATTATAAAGTATTAAGCTGAAATTTTCAAAATTTAAACTTTCTGTTCTTTATATATAAGCTCAACCATCAAAGTATAAATTTTATAGCACCAGTCAAGCATTTGAATTATGTGTTCAATAAAAAAACCCATAATAAATCGAATTTCAAGTCGATTTTCGAGAGAAAGAATTATTACTGTAGACAGGGTTATTTTTGCCTCGTGATATTTTCGCCCTTCTACACTTGAAAACAATTTTACGCAGTTCAGAATTTGCACAGAGTTGAATTCGCTCCGTTTTGAATTCGGCAATTTGCAATCAAGGGAGAAGTTACTTCCCTTTGCTATTCACCACTGTATATAAATAATGTAATTGATTGATTAAATAAAAGAATTATATTAGAATTTTTTAATGTAATTTACAAAAGAATACTATTATAGTTTTTATTGGTCAGATGGACTTGTGATTAATAAATAAATGAAAATGAGACAAAAATATCTTATTTTTGTACATTAATGTTCTTCAAAGATTAAGAGACCAATGCGAGAGTGAATATGTTGGGTTTACTACATGAGCACAATCATTATCTGTTTATTTGGTCTGCATGATGATAGTGACAAATGGGAGTTTATTAGCACTGGTAAGTATTTTGATTTGTTAATGATTAAAGACTTACTATTTTGTTGATCCCTGATCATCTATTCCTCTTGGTTTAGGACAACATATCATCATCTATCAGTTTATTTTTATTTTATGTTATACTTGTATGGATCCTTTACAGTGTTATACTCAGGTGACCGTTAAGGCCCTTGGGCCTCTTGTTAAATGGTACAAAAGATTCAGAGAGAGAAGAGAGACATATTTTCTACTGATTCGCGTTCCAAGTGTCTATAGAAAATCTAAAGTTGCTCATGTGCGAAATAAATTGTACTGCGACAAATGGATTCATCTGCCAACGTCAGGTTAGGATCTTTCCCTTTTGAGGAAATCATTTACAGTATTGTACGTTGAATTCAACTGTTCATAATATTTTAAAAGTTACATATACAAGACAGGTTTTAGTCTCTATTTAATTCCTGGATGGATCTCGTCAAGTAAAGTTTAGTAGGCAGAAGTAGGTTTGACATTGAGAAGCAATGAAGTTGTCGAATGTCATAAAACGCAATGACAAAAGCGACGGGTTACCAGAAAATGAATTTGTATTTCATGATATATTGGCAAATTATAAAGTATTAAGCTGAATATTTCAAAATTTAAACTTTCTGTTCTTAATAAATAAGTTCAGCCTACAAAGTATAAATTTTATTTCACCAGCCCCTCGTAGTATGTGTTCAATAAAAAAATGACATTATACATCGAATTTCAAGTCGATTTTTGCTCGAAAGTGTTACTGTATACATTATTTTTGCCTCGTGATATTTTCACTCTTTTACACTTGAAACGATTTCAGGCAGTTTAGAATTTGCACAGAATTGAATTCGTCCCGTTTTAAATTCGGCAATTTTCAATGAGGACAAAAGAGGAAAATTAAAAAAAAACAACAGGAGATTGATTGATTGATTATATGTTGTTTTACGTCCCGTTCGAGAATTTTTACCTATATATGTCACCATATACCGGTGAAGGACTTCAAATTAGACATTTACTCGGCACTCAGGGCAGTTGAGCAGTGATGGTTCTTTATCGTGCCAACGCTCTACCGATTGATCTACCGTGAAGGTCGAAAACAGGAGAGAAAATTTGCAAGTAACCACATACACGTATATCGTTGTTTGTACAGACTTTCCTGGGGAAATTTTTCAATTATTTAATGAAGCACTCCAGTAATAATGACTATGATGAGAAAAATAAATCGTCTTTGTTCAACTTTTGTTATTACCAAATGAGAAACATTTTTTTATTTATATATCTGAAAATCGCTTTTATAACAGTCATGGGTCCATTTTCAATTGTTGTTCAATTATTCTGCTATTTATTTTCTATCATGGTTTTATAGCTGAGAGAAATAAAGGCACTTTAATGAGAAACTCCTACTGTCTTCAATAACAATTTCTTGTCAATTTAATATCAAGTTAAAAGAAGTATGTGACTCTATGGTATCACTTCAACATAGGAAGGGTTATCGACAATGGTGCGGAGAGTGACGCCCTCTCGAGTCACAGGTTCCATATAAGTGTCTGTAGAATGGCTAGGAGCCTCCGAACGTCCTCGTTCATCCGATTTCCTCAGAGGGGAGACCGTACAGAGAGTTTGATACTCTGCTGATTCTTTATAACTGTGTTTATCAACACTGGTGGCTATCTCCACATCTGTCAGAGTCAACGCCTCCTTACTATTCATATGGTCACAGCTGTACATGTTTGTCTCTAGGTCTCTTTGTCTGCCATCACTTTTAATATTTGTTTGTTTTCCAATGGTGTTGTCTTGTTTCTTCTTCCAGAGGAAGAGACACACTAGACCTAGAATGACGACGAGACTGACCCCCAGGGAAATCCCCAGGACTCCAACAACAGAAATCAGCCAAGACTCACTGCTCAGGTCTGGGACCCTCCCCTGGGATTTCCTCGTGGACCGTAGACGGTTCAGGGACGTGGTTTGCTCAGTGTTGATTGTCTTTGGGACTGACGTTTTAACTTGTCTGTCTGACTTTGTGTTTCGTCCCAAACTTATAAAGGGTTTCGAAAAGTCTTCATGCTTAGTTGCGACGATTTCCTCTAAAAGAATGTATTCTAATTTTAATGTTACTTTCAAAGCTATGATGAGAAATCTCTTCAAAAAATAAACATTATGCTAACACTGTCAATTATCCTTCCAACTGAATGTTTGTTGTCTTTCAAAAAAAGAGAGTGCAGGAAGCAATTAAAAATAAAGCTTGAATGTACCAAGCAAATGATGATTCACATGTTGAAAATATTACTACATTATTAACTTAACCATCCTAATATTAATAAATACATATATCTTAAGTGTTTAATTTCCACAACGAACATGTCACCAAATAGACTGAAACCCGAATTTCTTTTAACCGAAGAGCATTTTACACAATTTTCTGTTGAAAACATGAATCTATATAGGTACACGTATATTTACAAAATCATAACAGAATATGTCAGTGAATATATTGTATATTAAATTTTCATAGCAATACGCACCCAAATGTAACACGAAAAATGATTTATCACATGTTTACTCCTTTATACAGTGGATATAGCCTCATAAGATATATCATTTTAATATCAACGGTTGTGACGTCACAATGGTTTTGCATGAATTTGATCAAGTCAAATATTGTGGATTTACTTATAAAACATGAAATTGCTATGTGTAAAATTTGTGATAAAAAGAATCTCCGTTGGTTTGTGGTTGGATATGATTTTTTTTATCTTAGTTCTTATCCCCGAGCCTTCTATATTTAATACATATAAATATTTTTAACTTCAAATTTTATAAATTTGCAAAACAATGCATATATACAATTTCCTGATTTTGTCGAAAATCTAATTTATGAAAATAGCAAGTTTGTTTCCTACTTACATATCAAAGGCAGTTTAGTAACACGAATTAAATTGCCTGAATTTATTAAAATTTCCATTTACCATTTATAGCGTTGTGGTGATTGTTTCCCTGCGTTGAAGTATCTTGTGATGAGGATGTTCTAACGTTCTGTGCTACGTACGATGTCACCGAGATCTCTGAATTATAAATATCATTTGTAATAACAAAAATCTTCATTAAAATTAATAAACATCTGTCACATTTTGATATTATCAAGTATGTTAGTACATTCCCTTCACGCCCGAAAAAAAAATCCTGAGGTTAGTGGTAGGACTTTATTTGAAATCTTTGAAATTGAAGTTCGGTCTTGGTAAAGGTAAAGTGAAGTCTACAGACAGAAAAAAAAACTACCACCGTCCTGCCATTATTTTGCCATTATTCTTTGTCCATACTTTTTAATTTGCATCCTGACACAGGATCACAGTCCTCTTTTGTACAGTTTAAGGCCTTAGTAGAGCACGATTCAATACACAACTCTCCATAATTGGGATAGCTACACATCATGCTGCAGTTAACGCCCCAAAATCCTGTCTCACAAGCTGTGAAAATAAATATATAGCTCCGAAGTACCATACGAATATAGATCTATTACTTTCTGCAAAGGATGACTGCACTTAAGGACGGTTTTGTTTTATTTTGTTTTTGTTTTTGTTTTTTTTTTTTTTTTTTTTTGTTTTTTTGTTTTTTTTTTTTTATCGCTTCTTTTACTTTTATATCTTAATCTAATTTTAATTTTGTTTATTCATTAAAGAAACGTGTCAATTTGGATTAACTAAATTTAAATGTTAAAATGTTTTTAGACTTTGATACTGTAAAATCCCAAATATTCGTTGGGGTTTAATTTTCGTTGTTTTGAGGTATGAAGAGACCCACGAATTCATGTCCACCATGAAATGTAAAATTCATATATATAACAACTCAGCATTTCCGCAACCACGAGCTCTAATCCCCCCCGAACCAATATTTTTCTTCAAACCTCAAAAATTTGACCCCACGAAAATATGTGATTTCACAGTATAATAAAAAAAATCTCTGCTTTGTTTGTCTTCACTACTTTCGAAATATAGAGAATTTACACTAACCTGCCATTGGTTGAACATAAGGTCGAAAAAGATATGCATGAGATATGGGGCTAACACTGTAGGAATGGGTCTAAAATTAGACTTGTATAAATATCAAGGACATGTCTTTCCCTAATTCCATCTCTAATTAATATCGCACAAGTACACTATTTACAAAGGTTTCAAAATAAAATTAACAATGTGACCATGTCCGTGTATGTACAGAGAATTTTAAATCTAAGGTGTTTGAACACAATGTCCGAGTAAGCCTTACAAGTCACGTGACAGAATTTAGTATTCACAAAGTACACTGAGGTAAGAGAGCACTTGGTGAATTATAATATTCAATATGTAACAGTCTTTGGTTACAACAAAAAGAGAAAATGTAAGAAGAAACAGTTCTTTCTCTTTTAAACCATGACCGCTTGTTTGTCTATTAATCTCCTTTTGACACAACTTTATTAATGTAAATATACAACTACTGTTAACCAGAGAACAATAGACAAACATGTGCTGACTATGTATAAAGTCAGTAAAAACTGGGTGTCCTTATTATCCTGTGGAGATTAAAGAAATCGTGATGATCCCCGTCTATGAAAACAGATTAATACTTCGTAAATACATACTTTACAATATATCTATTAACTGGGTTCAAGGGCAAAATGAGTTTTGTTGGACCCAAGAACCAAACTGTTTGCCTGAGGCCGTTAGGCCGAAATTAATGTTAGAATAAGAAGAATTAAACCACAATTTAAATAAATATATTTCTCAAGACGAAATACTTAAGGCTGTGAAGAAAAAAATTATAAAAGAACAAAGCTTCCGGTGAAAACAATATCAGGAAATGAATACATAAAATCATCAATACAAACAATGCTCCTATACTGTACCAGATAGTGTTTATTATTGCTTTTTTTCAACAGGTAAATTATCCCAATGGCTTGAAGGAAATACACTTCCTGTATATAAAAACAAATGGAAGAGAAATAATTCTTAGAATTATAGACCTAAAACAATTTTAAGCTGTATTGGAAAACTTTTTACATCTATATTGAATGACGAATTAAATGCTTTTAAATGCTGCACGAAAATCAAACAGGTTTTAGAAAACAATTGTCATCTATTGCTCATTATTTTCATTACATGTCTTATCAGAATTATTGAAATTAAAATTAAAAAAAAAAGCTTTGTTGTGCCTTTATAGACTTCGAGAAAGCATTTGACAATATATGGCAAAAAGCTCTTTGGTATAAACTTTGTGCAAACAGTATTAATGGAAATATAATTTTATTACATATATATTATTATAACAGTAACTTGATCCGAAGAGTCGTATCACGTCGAGTTGACAGGCGCGGATCATCAGATCAAACGAGACGCGAAGCGTCGAGTTTGATCTGATGATCCGCGCCTTCAACGAGACGTGATACGGCTCTTCGGATCAAGTTACTGTTATAATGATAAATTTATTATATACCCCCTTACAACTAACAAGATATAGTTTTAAAAACTTCTGAGATCAATTATTTAATATTTTTCCATTAAACAAAGCATTCTGTCAGGGGACTTTTTGATGCGCAAGAAAAATAACGTCATGTTTCTGTGTACTACGTCATCAATTTCAGAGAGGGCTGATATGGATTCAGAAAACCACAGTGTGGTGATCCGGAAAGTCGGATCACACCGTCACGTGATTGTACAAATTCTACAGTAAAATTGAGTGATATACTGTTGGGTATATAATAAATAATTGTATAATCAAATCAAGTCAAGAATAAGTATATGATAATGAGATTTCTGATTTTTTTTTACTGGAAAATGGTGTCGGACAAGGAGAAAATCTGTCGTCATGTTTATTCTATACTTATTTATATGACCTACAGAACTTTTTTCAACGCAATATGCTATTTGGTTACCTTCTATATCTAATATGTTTGAACAACATTTGAATGTATATTTCAAATTGTTTGCACTCTTATATACCGATAACACGGCATCGATAGCTGAATCTGTTCAACATTTACAAGCCAAAATTGATTGCTTGAAAAAAAAGTGTAGAAATTGGAACTTAAAGATTAATATTAACAAAACAAAAGATCTTGATAATGAGTAAAGGAAAGCAAAAAAGAAAAACCCGAATTTATGTACAACACAACGTTTATTGAAGTTGTTAGTGAAATTAATTATCTAGCGCATCGGGTTCATTCCAAAAAGCAAACCAAAAACAATTTGACAAAGCATATAAAGCAATATTTGAAATTCTTAAGAAAGACCTATCATGACCTATCAATACTGTGTAAGATAGATTTGTTTGATAAAATTGTTCAGCCTATATTGTTGTATGGATGTGAGGTATGGGTATTTTAAAACAATGCAATTGAAGAAAGAGTGCATCTTAAATTTTGCAAATAACTTCTTAACCTTTAACAATCTACTCCTGACTGTGTGGTTTATAGTAAACTCGGTCGGCATCCTATGCCCATAACAATACAAAAATATTTGTGTAAACTTATACTTGGAAAAGAAGCAAAAATTTCAAATATATTGTTCAAATTAAGTGATATGTCAAATCAAAAACAAAAAAAAAAAAAAGATCAGGATTGCTTGGAAAAATAATGTCTCAAATACTTATGGCCTTTCAAATATTTGGCAGTCAATCCTTTCATCTAAATTGGTTGAAATCGAAATTAAGTAAAACTAACTTTACTTGAACAATTTAAACAAGGATGAATTAAAATTTAAAAATACTCAGACATTCTATCCAGAAAAGATGCCATTAATTTCTGTAAATTCCGTACTTGTAATCATCATTTACCGAATGAAAGTGGACGTTGCATGGTTAAATGAACCAAGAGAAAATAGATTATTTAAACGAAATAGGCGATGAATTCCACTACGTATTGAGCAACAACCATGACAGAAGAAAGAAAAAAAGTTTATTACCGCAATTACGGTTTAGAAATATAATTACATTTGTAGAAATAATGAATTTAAGAAAAAATAATCCTTTTTTAAGAAAACTTTGAACGTTTATTAAAAATATTACTAAAATGTGCTCCACTAATAGTAAATACATACATCTATAATTGTACTATTTGTCACCTCCATACTCACGCATGCTATAAAATCTATTTTCATTTTTCACCTTATTATGTACATGTATATCTCTGTATACAATTGTAAAAATGTGATGAGATTAAAAATATTTAGTATAATTTCGTACAATTTTAGATTGGATTTTGACCATTCCTGCAATTAAAAGAAAAAAGCTCGTTTTGAAAGTTTATTTCGTCGCAATTTTCGTATTAATTCGTGAAGTGCAGTCATCCTTTCTTCTAGAAATAAGATGAAATAAGATGATTCTAGTCTGTGCATATCATAAATACGGCTCCATTTAAAATAAATTTATCTTAATCAAATATCTTTGAATTTGATAAGTATTTATGCATGTATATATTGAATTTACGGATTTTTGAATTAAAAATTGGTCGTTAATAGGCTCAGATAAATTTAATTTTGAATCACATCCGTGTTAATTGAAATATCGAGAATTTTAGCAACATTTTGTATTTTTGGCTGAAAATGTCGTTAAATTAATGCCAGAATTTTACCTCGACAGGTTCCGTTGATGAGTTCAAAATTACTGCAGCATTTCCTGAAATAAAATCCAAACCGATAAATCTAACATAACCATTTCACATTATTGAAGAGCTAGGGTTTTTTTTGCTTTCATTTCATTTCTTAATTATTTTCCGATACTACTTCAAAATAATTCTAAACACTCATATATTTTCAACATCACTTATATTCTGGGAAAAAGTGTTCGTATATTGTTAGAAAGCTGCATAACATTAGCTCGGAGGTCCATTTTGCCTGACCAGAAATGCAGTTCTAAAATAAACTATAGCTTACTTTAGTATCAAAGTTTCCACTGTAGTAAATCAAAGTTTTAACTTTAGTAGCAAATCAAATTATTTTTACCAAGAAATTTTCACCCGTTCTTGCATACGATTTTTTTTTATAAAAAAAGAAATAATACTTGTATATCCACATATTATTTCAAAATTTATATCACTTAGTAAGTTGTATAGAATTTTAAAAAAAAATCACAGGAAAGTTCCATTGATAATAAATCAAACTTAAGTGCAGGTATATTAAAGTATGTACAAAAGAAAACTATATTTTACTATTATAGTAAATTTTCCCTTTCATTTTGTGGTAGTAGTTCTGTATCCTATCATGAACCTGTAAAGCCCCGCCCCTTTGATTTTGGGCTTAAATCCAATTGACCCCAGTCGATAATTTCGGAGTTAAAAAATCTCTTTTTTCAAAATATTACCTGTTGTTTTATTTAATTTTGTGGAAAGACTTTTGAAAATATTCTTGTAATAGAGTTTTAATCACATATTTATCACAAACGCTTTAGAAGATACGAAAAATGTTTGTTAATAATTTCCTATCAATGTGTACATCCAATATTTCCATCATCCATTGATCAGTAAAAAAAAATTGGAATACATTTAAGCATTGTTAAGAATCACAACTCATATCAGAACAGAGACCTTAATTTATGGCTCCTTAAAGGTCCTTGTACCTACCCACAAGATCCATTGTTGTATGATCCACAACATCCCAAGTCCGTCTTACTTTGGCAAAACCCGACACACATATAAATAAACCAAACTATCCTATTCATTTCTCATTGAAGTAGTTGGATAAACGCGCTTCATGGTGAGCAACATCCTCCTTCCTTCATTTGCTGGTATTTGTAAAAAGCACTCTTCCCTTTCGATACTTTTTTTTTAGCTTTAATTCGATATTAGTATTTGAAAAACTTATCATTTGTTTCCATATTTAACTAATGTGCGGAAACAAAATAGGATGTAATTCTTACTCTTCCCTTACAAATGGCTCGATCACCAACACACTGTGCCAATACCCAGATATCAATACCCGTATATCGATTCTCATTTAAGTTAAAACTCCATCGTGTTATCAAGTGACTTCATCTCGTCCAAAGAGTTTGAAAGTGAAAGGAAATATGGAGATAACGTACAGTGATCAAGCTCAAAAGTCCATTGAACAATACGAATCAGGATGAAAGTATAAACGCACCTCTAAAAACATCGGAGGTGGGATCAGGTGTCATGGAGGAGTAAGCATCCCCTGTCGACCAGTCATACCCACCGTGTTCTCATTGTAATGATCGGGCAAACGTAAATATCCGTAGACGATTCAGTGTTTAAATAATGGCCTAACAATTAGTATGAAAAACGTCAGTCAGCATTCGAGTTAATGATAGATTGTATTAGCTGACAAGGTCATTGTGTCGACCGTAAGACTTGCGAAATGGTGATTTTAAAGGAGACTATTGATATCCTTGTATCATCAACTTGTTTATCAATAGCTTGCCTCGTTTTCGAAATTGTTCGTACGTGAAGCATCTCTTGCGTATCGAATCAACTGGGAGATATAAACCCCGTATGTAGGTAATATCATGTTGTAAATTTTGAATTTACTAGGGGGAGGTAAATGCAAAATTTACAACATGATTTTGCATTTACCTCCCCCTAGTAAATTCAAAATTTACAACATGATAGTAATAAGGGTATAGTGCTACCTAAATAAGGGAAGTTGACGATAAAAAATAAGTTGTTGAAAATAAGGACTCTTAGTATCAGTAGATGTGTGAACTCGTGTCATAATTTATGTACTCTATCTTATAGCGCATTCCACTTTAAATTATGCTTTCAAACAAACTTGTTCAGACTGAAAAAAAAATCTGATATACCATAGCTATAGTATATTTACGTTTAATTGACTTATTATAATTAATTCTACGTCGACAAAGAACATAGGAAAGCCGACTAACGTGGCTTCATTTTAACTTTTCTCTTTCGAGAAACTCCAAGTAAAAAGCTTTTGATATGTTCGTACCTTTTTATATAGTATGCAGAATTTTTTTAAATAAAAAAGTGTCTCTGTTCTATGTTATAAAACTTCGTAAATTATTAATAATTTAAGTACTGCTAAAGCTCAAATATTAACAAATTATATACTGTGTTACTTTTAATACCTTGTTGTCACAATTAATTATCGTCCGTATGTGCGCCTCAAGATAAAAATTAAACTGTCTTAATACTTTGAGATACTTGCACACCTTTTCCCCGAAACGTTGATTAAATTAAAGTCTACTTTAAATAATTTTTAATAATCTGTTTCAGTATCCGATATTTAATTGGACCATCGAGGGTAGGGTGGGGCAACAATGAACGATCAAAGTTTTACATGGGATTATATAGGTGTAAAATCTTTTAAAATCTTCTCAAGAACATCAAAGGTACACACGATGTATGATTAGTCGTATTGCTATGGAAGCATCCTCAGGTAGTGTAAATTAAAGTTTGTTCAAATAATGTCCCCTGTAGGTAGTTTGGGACCACAATAGACGATTATATTTTTATATAGGAATATAACGTACCTAGGAAACAAGCAAATTCAGAAAATCGTGGTTCCCCACTATTGGGGTTTTATTGGTTGGGATGCAATTATTTAAGGTATATTGCAACTGACTTGTCTGTTTGTCCTGTCTTGTCTATTCATCATACAAAAAAGGTTAAATTTTTGAATTAATAAAAGTTTGGACCAAAATAAAATAAAAGTTTCAGAAAACTGCATCAAACTTTGAGATCAAGATAAAATATTCTGAAAGTTATAATTAATGCACGTGAAAAAAAAAAATATTAAAGCTGTCTCTTCTTGTGCAAAATTTTCTGCCAAAGTTATAACTTTTGAAAAGTAGGTCAAACTTCTAGGTCATGGTCATGATGACACAAAATACTTCCACTTTCTGAAAGGTGTTTTCATGGGTAATGTACAAAAAAGACCTATATAAGCCCTCCTTTCAAAGATTATTTACAATATTAAATTTTCTGAAAAGTAGGTTAAACCTCAAGGTCATGAAGTAAATTCATAGTATATTCAGAAAGGCCTGGTCACAAGTAATCCACATGTAAAAAATTAAGATTATTTTCTCTCATTCAAAAATATGACCAATGTTAATATTTTTTAAAGTAAGTCAAACTTCAAGGTCAAGTTCAGAATTTCAAAAATCACAGTATCTTTGGAAAGGTCCTCTCATACAAGTACCTAATGCACATGTGAAATGTGAAAGCCCTTCATGACCCCAGGGGTAGGGTTGGATTACAATAGGGATTAGAGTTTTTACAAGGGAATATTTAGAAACACCACCCCTCAGGCCCCAGGGGGGCAAAGACCATGATATTCAAAATGTTTGTTCCTTTTCACCCATAGATACCATATGCCAAAGTTTGTTGAAATGGTTCATTACTTCCAGAGAACAAGCTGAAAAATAATGTTCAAAAGTTTATTCGACACATGATGATGGACAAAAACAGATAGCAATTGAGTGTCCTAAAAACGTACTTGTCGCCTATGCAAACTTGTTACTACCTTCAGATCAATCTCAATTAATATAAAAGCAGTTTTTTGCTTAAAGTTTATTTATTTTTGATCTGTAAAGAGACCAATTTAAGAATACATCAATAACAATTTGGCACCAGGAAACTACAATAAAAAGTTGCTTTTGAAATAACATCAGAGAAGCTTTGAGAACATTGTCACAGAATTAGGTATTATACACTGAAATAGCACAATAATGGTAATTCCCCAAATTTATTGCTAATTAATGACAGTACTTTTGCTATATATGGAAGAATTGATCAAATGCAAACAATAGATTATGTTGATCAATTTAGTATAGCATATTTAAGTAACAATGTACATTGTTTTTCTAAAGTATGAGGACATTATAAAATTGACTGAGCTAAAAAATAAAATTCTGTATTATTCAAGAACTTAAAATTTCTGTAATTAAATTCCACAACCAAAAAATTCCTGCAAGCAAAGTCCTAACAATTCATTTTTCTCATCCGGATAATTTTTGGGTTAATCCCTAGTTTTATTGACCTCATGGCCATGGCCCGATTAAAATGTCTCTGTGTCTTCACTTCTCCTGGGTCATCAAAACTGGCTTCAATTGAGGTAATGACACCAAAAATAACTCCCAAGACTAAAAACAAGATAATGAAGAGTGTATACTGTGTCACTGTCGGGCTTGGCGTTCCTTCCATTTCCCTGAGATGAGCTTTCGCAGGCTGAAAACCTGGATTAAGGTCAAGGGCATGAGTAAAATGCAGTGCTGCTTCTTGGTAATGTCCATAAGCTTTCAAGATCTCTCCTAGTGTAAAATGTTGGAGCCATGTATTTTGGGTTGAAGTTTGCATGACTAGTGAACGTCTTGTCAGAAATATTGCATCATCTAAATACTGGAGATTAAATAAGACCCGTGCCATATTAAGTAAAACCTCGGGATTATTTGGAGAGACTGCTAATGCTTTTCTAAAGCATTCTATTGAATTCTGTGTGTTTCCTTTAATTCTCCAAAAATTTCCTATTTGGTTATAGACATTTGCTGAAGTCGGATCCTGCAAATATGAATACATTGTATTTTACTTTTGAAAACAAAGTCTCAAAAAATCTTTTACCTTCTTTTGGTATATATACCGTATAACGGGTATTTTCTGCGGTTGTCCAATTTTTGCAGAATTTTGCGGATAGGACAAATTCGCAAAAATTACAATCGCAAAATATTTTTCAATATTTATTCAGATATTTTATACATGCAAGTATGATAAATGGTGCGTATGTCACAGGGTTCTCATTAACGCAAGAACCTGCGTACTGGACGCAGCAAAATTATATGGGACTGAAGGTTCTTAAAAACGATGAAACCGCAGATTCATGAGTGGATGCATCCTCGTTAGCGAGAAAATTGGTGTGTCATTGAAATTCGAAGATTTTACATGTCAGGATTTGTCCAAAATATATTGAATCAAAACTTTTCTGTAAATAGTATTAATTTGATAAGTTTATACAAAAAAAAAATCTTTTCTTGTTCATATTTCTTTATTTAAAATTGAAATCATAGAATCCAAACTCCAATAGCTGCAAACAACACATGGAAGCTTTTCTTTCTTTCTTTTTTTAACACCTTTTCAATCTTGTGTTTTATTTTGAGACCATAATTACTGCTTGTATACACAATATGGCTTGATTTTCTCGTGAATTTCACCCAAAGCAGACAACTGACAGGATAAGTTACGCCTCAATGCACGTGACACTTGTGATTGTATACGGTCAGCCTTAGGGTATTGAACACCCAGTTAATTTTGATGATAATTACTTATAAGCGTATTTTAGAATATGGCTTGGATACATTAATTATCATTATCTATATATTTAAACATTTTAGTAGATCGCATAAAATAAACGTCCGATACAAAAAATATTTTGATTGTTGTTTGGGTGGACTGATACTGCAATAATTCATTTCAATTGGGACTCGACATAATTTTACAAAGACTAACTAAACTAAAAGAAAGTAGTTTAATTAAGCTTAATAGCTTAATACCAGTTCTCATGCACCTTTGATCAATATGTCTTATAATGAATTTATAAAACATAAACATGACACAGTTTTGATAATTCTTAGAGTTTGGTGATCATACCCCGTAAATAAATTTTTGCGGTATAATACAACCGCAGAAATTAATTTGCTACCTTCTAGGGGTTAAATCGCAAAAATTTCCAACCGCAGAAAATACCCGTTATACGGTAAATTGAAAACTTACATCTTTTTTCATCTTTCTGAGTTTTTCCTCCAGTTCATTAATATCTACATGTGAGCCTTTGCTGCCCTTTTTCTTGAAGATAAGTGCGACCTCTGGCTCTGGTATATGACTGTGTTCATTTCGGTTTGCTATTCCTCTTAGGTGATCATACTGAGTATGGTTAACAGCCTTCCCACAACTTAGTTCTGTCTTCTTTTTCTGATCATCACTACAAATTAATATTCTAATATGAGAACTGTAACTCCAGATCAAATTCATTGTAAATAAGTTAAAAATGAAATTTAAATAACTTGGCTAGAGTAGAAAATTATTTATTGTTAAGATGGTCTATAAAAATAGAAAGTATTTTTTTTTTTAATTTATGCACTCAATACATCATACATGGAACAGAATGGACAGCATGCACTTTCCTCGTTTTCAAAAAATGTACACAATGTCTCTGAATATATTTTGAAATGATCCAAAAAGTATATTTCTGTATGTAGTGAAGGAAATGTTTTGTAAAACATAATGGTGTTAAATATTAGGGTTGGGACGATACATTTTCTATATCGATATGTATCACGATATTTGAAGCACGATACGGTATGTATCACAATATGTTGAATTATTTATAAAATGTTTTTTTTGTACAGAAATGAACACAATATTTCTTCACAAAAATAAGAATATTTATTCAAAGAAGTTGTATATCTCTTGTAAAACAAAATTCTTTTACAAAAGTGGTGTTTATCATTATGTATTTCATATTTATATTTTGCATATTTATTTTATATATTTAACTCAAAATGTTAAGTAAACAAAGAAAAAACATAAGTCAGAATTTTTTTGCGATATTTCTTCATATGTATCGATATACGTATCATCCTAACATTGAATCAATTATGAATATCTCGATATATCGTCCCAGCCCTATTAATTAAATATATACCAGTACATCAAAGGACCAATTTTCATTTTGTCGGATAGAGAAGATTACTCATCATTAGTCAAAAGGAAAAGGGGAAAATATAAATTTTCAGACCAGTGTATGTTAAAAAAAAAAAGGAAATGGAAACTAATAATAAAATGTAATAAAACTGAATGTAATAATAATATGATACAATTTTATACATCCTGGAAGCAGTGTGGCTGACTACCTCTGTTATGATTTGTAAGGAGAGTGTTTCAGTTCACTAGTTTTTGAGAGAGAAAACATTGAATATCAGATAAAGGATCATAAAGCATGAATTCATCTAAAAAGTGTAATACACATCAGTAAACAAACCCTCAAGTGCTTATGTATAGTGTAATACACATAAGAAAAAAACCTAATGCTTACATATAATCACCAAAAAAAAGTTTTCATTTTAAAATAATATAATTTCTTATGTAGCTTAAGCTAGGGACAAATTTTTTAGCTAAAAACCAGTGTAAACTGCAGTACATGTCCAAAATGAAAAAAAAAAAAATTACTGCTGCCTGAACTTAGACGTTCCTTTTAATACATTACCGTAATTGTCATGTCATTTGACATAATAAAACAATTGTATGCATGAAAGTTTGAATACAATGTTTATAAAAGAGCAATGCAGATAAAATACTGAATATCTTTTACAAATGTTCAGTAAACCTTAATTCATAAATACAATGCTGTTGATTTGAATTGCTGTTTCAACAGGGTTTCTTCGCCATGCGCTCGGCACTTTGAAGTGAAAGTTGCGGGTCTTTCGGATGAGACCTTAAAAACCGAGGCCCCGTGTCACAGCAGGCGTTGGCACGATAAAGATTCCTCACTGCTCAATGGTCCTGAGTGCCGAGTAAAGGTCAAAATTTGAAGCCCTTCACCGGTATATGAGTGAAAAATTCTCGAATGGGACGTAAAACAACATACAATCAATCAATCAACAGGGTTTCTCTTTTCTATAAACTCTGATCTGATAATAGCAAGCGGAGTGAGCTCCAACGACAATACCAGTGCAAAGAGAAAATTCGGACTTCGCACATTGATACTAAATAAATGATTTTTTTTCCGCAGTACACCTCTAGTCCCCCTCTAGACGTACAATCCTTTCCAAATTGCATCTCTCCACAAACTACATTCTTGCAGTAGCAACAAAAGTTCACCAAAAAATAACTCGTAGAAACTTAATTAGTATTAAAATGTAGTAGTTGATTGATTGTATGTTGCTTGAGAATTTTTTACTCATAGACGTCACAATATACTGGTGAAGGGCTTCAAATTTAGACCTTTACTCGGCACTCGATCAGGGCCATTGAGCAGTGAGGGTTCTTTATCATGCCAACGCCTAACGTGTCATGGGACCTCAGTTTTTAAGGTCTCATCCGAAAGACCTGTGACTTTCACTTCTAGTGCCAGGTGCTAGGGAAAGGAACAGTTACTACCTATGTTTATGTCTTAGGTTTGATGCAACATGGTAAACGTGAATCAAACACGGGCCTCCCGATCACGGCATGTGTTAAAAAAAAAATTGTTGAGAAGACTATAGCCAATGAGCATTTTTGCATTGCAATTAACCCTATAATCTCTGTCTTGTTTTCTGAAAACAGGATTATCCCCTCCCCCCCTTTTTTGCAAACAATGGCAGTTAAATAATACTGATAATTTCGTCAGTAACATGATCATGATCACTGAACAGTTTTTTCCCGCGTTTTACACTGGGCCTCCTATAAACATACAATATGAAGAGTAAACAACTCTTACGTACACGTTAGAGCAATCCTTATGCCGATGTTTATCACAATGTTCTGTTTTTCTCATTATTCGCCATTGTCCGTTCTCTACCACTTTGTTGGTCAGAATGTTCATCAAGTCGTCTGTTTCTCCATCTGTTTGGTCACTACTCTGAATCACCTTTCCCTCGTCGGCGCTCAGTTTCCAATGGTTTGACCCCGCAGAACTTCTAGAATTGGAATTTACAATTTGCATGGACACTATGTACAGTGCCATATACGAGACACTTGGTAAATCGTAAGTCATTTTCACAGTTCTCAAGCTATGTTGACAGTTTACTTTCTGACAGTTGACATCGTGTTTTTGTCAATATGGCGGCTTTAGAAGCGCCATCTGTGAAAAACTTTCCGATATTCAAGGAGAGATAAATCTTAGCTAAATTTTATGAAAGGGGGGAGGGGTTGATTTAGAAGCCGTAGAAGAGGGGTGGTGCTGCATCCCCCTTTGATTTTTTTTTTTATGAAAGGGATGGGTGGGGTAGGAGGAGTCTTCATGTTTTTTTGTTTTTTGTTTTTTTTTTGTTTTTTTTTTTTGAAATATAAAAGATAAAGATAATTCAAATGTACATGTATAAATACATATTTAGTATATAGTTCCCTGATATATTTGATTAACGTTTATTGTATCTTAATTGTAGGCTAAACATTACTGAATTAAATGGAATTTCAGTTATATATACATGTAGTAAGACTTATCATAACCGTCCTTGTCAGTTAGCACTTTCTAATCGATAACAGAGAAGCACACATAAAATATAATGGACAATATTTTCAACACTTTCTTTTCTTAGGCTCAGTTAATAAATTGGATCGTAAGAAATTTAAACATTTGGTTTTAACACGAATAAAAACCATGTTATTTAGGCCTCTGAGTGTACACATCGTATTTTGGACTTATTCTTTGCAAACAGAGCTGATTTTAACTGTTTATTTCTGATATAAATGCATATACCAACAAATATTACCCAAGATCCTATTTAAAGTTTGCCCCCCTTTTTTTTCTGGCGTATATATAAGCCTTTAATCCCCCCCCCCCCCCGTCAAAAAATCTATTGAATTATTTGCCTGCAAGGAAATGTGGGAATTAGACGTTTTGTATTTAAGAGAGAATACTCTTTCCTCCTATTTATTCCTTCCTTGCCTTCAATGTTTAGAAATTAAAAATTTTTGTAATTAAGGTTCATAAACCCTCTGCTCACTCATATAAAATGTTTCTTTAACTCTTATGATTTTCCAAAAGAAATGTATTTTTTAAGTAAAATACAAACAATTATAGCATAGCTTGCGGGTCAAAATTGGACAAAAAAGACACTTCAACTTGACAAGATTATAAAGGAATAAACATTTATATCATTAAGAATTGTCTCTCTTATCAGAGTATCGATGAACCTTAACATTATTGTTACCTATCATAGGGTTTATTCAATTAAGCATGCGTATTAAAGATAACAAAACAGGCAATATCATCTATGAGCAGTGGCAGTTGGCAGTAAGCAGTGAGCAGTTGGCAGTAAGCAGTTGGCTGTCCTATATGGAATTCCACAGTTTCTTCTTCTTTTTTTCAATTCAAATTTTATGGAAACATCCTAGAATGTAGAAAGGCCTCTAAATATTCAGTGACCAATTAACCTGCTATTTTTATATTTATTTAATTTCAATTTTTTATTCCTTTTTTATCGATTTTTATTTCAGAGCACAACATATAAAGAACACCCCCCCCCCCCCCAAAAAGAGGAGAAAGTGACTGAAAGTCTAAGATTGTTCAGTTCCTGCTGTTAAGTTTAAACTTGTTAAATTTAGGACCCCTTCCTCAAAGCTGCAGATATAAATAGCCTCGCGCCGCGCATATGGGAATATCAAAGATTAGGGTTAATTGCGCTTTGATTAAGTTCTGTCTAAATCTAAACCGGACAAAATGCGCAGAATTTCTTGGGATGCAAAACATGCTCTTTGCCATTATACTCATATGGGTGCGGGGGATCATTTTGTGAGCTCTGTGCTCACAGTATCTCTAGTTAGCCAACCTGTTTTTATATTCCTTTAAAACAGAATTTATTTTAAAAAACTTCTGCATGAGAATAAGAAAACACTTGCTGCACATGGCATTCAACTCGGAATTCGGATATATCGACGATGTTATGAATTAACAATAGTTATACTTCCATTCATATGTTGACTAGATATATCCCAGTGAACTCGAAATAAGACACCACAGAGTCTGCCACATCTGTTTCATTTGACTATAGACGATAAGAGCCAATTTACAACTAAATTGTATGAAAAACAAGATGATTTCAGCTTTTCCATCGTCAACTTTCCTTATTAATTTAGTAATATCCTGTTATCACCTGCATATAGTGTTTACGTCTCCCAACTTATTCGATACTCAAGAGCATGGTCCGAGTACGATAATTTTTTTAACCAAGGCAGGCTACCGACAGATAAGTTCATGTTACAGGATTTCAACAGTCTTGTTTAAAGTCAGCATTTTGTAAATTCTATGATTGTTATAATGACCTGTTAGCAAATAAAACCTATCATTGGGTCGTATTTTGACTGATGTGTTTCATACCAATTGTTTAGCCTTTGTTTTTATACTAAATTTTACTGCGGAATATTCCGTCTAACTGGTCAATACATAGGACTCACGAGGAGAGTGACCAGTTGACAGGGGGTGCTTACTCCTCCTAAAGTCTGATCCCACCCATGGAATTTTCTGAGGATTCGCGTTTTATGCCCTGTTCACAGACTTGTAATGTTTGTAGATTTTTTCAGAATGATCACTGTTTCTTAGCTTCAACTTTTTCATTCTCAAAAATGTCCTAAAAAGTGATAAAACTGTACAAATTTTAATATGGAAAACGTGAGAATTTTGAATATCAGAAAAATCTCTTTAATATATCGTAATACATGTACTATTGTAGGAATTTGCATTAATAACAACCAAAATACCCCCCCCCCCCCTTCCAAGCACCTCTCTCTACTTGGTACAATTTTATAAGGAAGTGGTTTTCAACCCCAGAGACCCCCATCTGGATCCACCACTGTTTTTCCATGGAATGAAACGAGGGAGAAAATTATTTATCCTTTCCTTGCTGGACATTTTCTCTAGCACTTCTCTTGAACCTGAATCTCATACCATTTTATGTTTGCTCTTTTTAAAATATTTTGATACCAAATTTGATGCAGAAATCAGTATTATGGGTGCACAAGTAACAATCATATTTTTGTCACTAAGTACATTTAAAGGTGCTTGGACACAGATTTGAAGTTAATATTTTCTCAAATTTTCTGTATAATTTCATGACTTATATGTTGCTATAGCATTTCATACTAAAATAAAATAAAAATCTTATTTCATCTCGAAGTTATTGAAACTTCAAATTTCTGGACGTGTTTGATTGACACATCCTTGCACTTTCATTTTTATTCTTACTACTTAAGAAAAGTGGCAATTTTGTTGTGTATTAATGAAAAATATTAAAACTATAATCCAGAAAATTCAGAGTAGAAATTTCGAAAGCAAAACCCACTCACAGTATTGTCAGTCCGTGCTCAGTGGTGTGTGCAGACTTTAACAATTGAACACACCCGGTGAATCGTATACATCAACAATAACAGAGCTCGTGCCCTGATTACAAAAACAGTTTACGTTTTACGGGTGTATTCAATTTGTTAAACTCTGTACACAACACTGAGCACGGGCTGACGATATTAGTGAGAGGGTTTGCTTTCGCACATTTCTACTCTGAATTTTCTGAATTAAAGATGTAATGTTTTTCATTAATACACAACAAAATCGCTTCTTTTCTTAAATATTAAGGATAAAGATAAAATTTGTGAAAGTGCAATGATGTGTTAATCAAACGCGTCTAGGAATTCGCAGTTCCAATTATTTCTAGATAAAATAAGTTTTTAATTATATTTTCGTGTGAAATGCTATTGCAATATATAAGTCGTGATATTATACAGAAAATTTGAGAAAATATTAACTTCAAATCTGTGTCTAAGCACCTTTAAATGTATATAACTTCAAAATAATTATAAATATCTGCTTAAATTTTCACAAAGTGGTTCTTGAAGTTGTGCTTATGAGACAGAGCACTTGATATTGATTTTAACATACACTTGTTTTTCACAACAAAATTTTTTTTATAGTTTTTATAATTAAATAAGTGTTTGCTTGAACATCTCTGTATGGGGCAATTAAAATAGGCACTGAATTTACCCTCTTTCATAAATGTCGTGAAACAATGAGGATGTTACCCAGCACTTGTATAGATAATAAAACTTATAGAAATACAATACATGAGATTTTAATGGTATTTATTCATCATCAGCTTCTAATTTGATATTGTTTCCAAACTTAGCATACAATTTCACTTTAAGATCTTGAAGTAGAGTTTGTATAGCTTCACATTGTCGCTCTAATTCTTTCATCTCTTCCTGTGTGTTTTCCTTAGCTTTCTCCAACATCTCGTTAGCGTTGTCTACTGTTAAACTGACAAACACCTCTCCTATCTGATATGTAATGAATGAGTTAAGGAATCAACATTCAAACTCTGCAACTGACGGTAAGGGCTAGGTTGCTGGCAAAAAAGATTACAGAGACATTTAGAAATGCTGATAACAAGACTAACCTACTGTGGAATCATCATTGTTCCTGGGGGACCAATGTTCATGGATTTTGTGGGTCACCCTCACCCATATTTGCACAAATGTTTATTTTGTAAACATATTACCGTAATTCATTAAATCTACCATATAAACGAGTAACCCATGAAATTATGTCCCCCTGAACGAGTAAAATTTTGCTTGCCCATGAACATTGACCCCCACAAATTAAAATGATTCCACACTGTCTTGGTCTGAAACTGAACATAATGGGGGGTGGCACAACTTGAGACCTCTCTTGCAAAAAAAAAAATGAATTTTAAAAATACTCGTTTTACATTCCACCACATTAAAGTTTGCCAGGCTCATGTCAGCATTGTCATACTGTAAATAACTTTTTACTCACGAAAACTTTATCATCAAGTAATTATGCAAGAATATGTGATCATGAAATTTCATTCTTGGATATATTTCTTTTTTTATCAAAGATTACACACAATAATAATCAAAATTTGTGAAAATTTTGTCTCTCTTATAAATACCCAAATATTGACTATCTTGGGAAAATAAAATGGTAAAAAAATGGTTATCTACAGTTCTTATATCATTTCTGATAGCACTGGTTTGTTTTTCATTGAAAAACTGCTTTAAGGGTCTCAAGTTCATCATCACAAAGTAAATATCAGTCCAGATGATTTACATGTCATTGATTTTAATTTAATGAAAGGATATGGGACTGATTCATAATCACAATGTAAATATCAGTCTAGATGATTTACATGTTATTGATTTTAATTAATGTAAGGATATGGGACTGTTTCATCATCACAATGTAAATATCAGTCTAGATGATTTACATGTCATTGATTTTAATTAATGTAAGGATATGGGACTGATTCATCATCACAATGTAAATATCAGTCTAGATGATTTACATGTCATTGATTTTAATTAATGTAAGGATATGGAACCGATTCATCATCACAATGTAAATATCAGTCTAGATGATTTACATGTTATTGATTTTAATTAATGTAAGGATATGGGACTGATTCATCATCACAATGTAAATATCAGTTCAGATGATTTACATGTCATTGATTTTAATTTAATGTAAGGATATGGGACTATTTCATCATCACAATGTAAATATCAGTCCAGGTGATTTCCATGTCATTGATTTTAATTTAATGAAAGGATATGGGACCGATTCATCATCACAATGTAAATATCAGTTCAGATGATTTACATGTCATTGATTTTAATTTAATGAAAGGATATGGGACTGATTCATCATCACAATGTAAATATCAATTCAGATGATTTACATGTCATTGATTTTAATTAATGTAAGGATATGGGACTGATTCATTATCACAATGTAAATATCAGTCTAGATGATTTACATGTCATTGATTTTAATATAATGAAAGGATATGGGACTGATTCATCATCCAACATCATCATCTCGTCTCCAGCATCTTCTAGGTTCTGTAACTCTTTCTAATAAAAAAAAAAAGGTTAAGAATATCCTACATATTAATTCTTTTTTTCATTTATGCAAGTGGATATCACCTTTTCTCCATTAATCCATCCAATTCACAGAAAAAATTACGAAATTAAAAATTAATCGAAATAACCTCAAACCTTTTCTTATTTAAAAGAATAATATTTAATCAACATATTTAGAAAGTCTCATGAGTCAGACTCGAACCGTCTATATTTCACAGAGGTACGTAAAAAGAGTAGTGGAGGATAGTTGTAATCTACGTGTAAACTATGAGACAAGGTTGACACTGCTAATGAAGTCAATACTTATACCAATATCATCTGGTTGCACTTTATCTTTAATTCTCTGATGCCAAACGATGTGTGCTGAACATATTTTGAAATGTTGTCTTTCGAATTAAGTTTCCCACAAAACACAGAATCGTTGATCATTCTTTCATGACTACTTGACTAAGAACTACTTTTATGTGATATACCGTATAACGGGTATTTTCTGCGGTTGGAAATTTTTGCGATTGAACCCCTAAAAGGTAGCAAATTAATTTCTGCTTTTTCAATTTCTGCGGTTGCACTATACCGCAGAAATTTTTTTTACGGGGTATGATCATGCACTAAACTTTATGAATTATCAGAACGTTGTCATGTTTACGATTTATAAATTCATTAAGACATATTGATCAAAGGTGCATGAAAACTGGTATTAAGCTATTATGCTTAATTAAACTACTATCTTTTATTTAGTTTTTGTAAAAAATATTTCGAGTACCAATTGAAATGAATTAATGCACCCCGTCCACCCAAACAACAATACAAATTATTATTCTAACAGACGTTTTATGCGATCTATTGAAAGATAATAAATGCATCCAAGCCATATTCTAAAATACTTTTCTAGTTAAAACTGCCATCAAAATTAATTTGGTGTTGATCTTTTAAGCTAAAACAAACAATTGCATAATCAAGTAGCCCAATGTTGATGGTTAACACTCACAGGTGTCATGTGCATTGAGGCGTAACTAATCCTGTCAGTCTTATGCATTAGGTGAAAGTCACGAGATGAGTCACATTGTGTATACAAGCAGTAATTATTGTCTCAGTATAAAACACAAGATTGAAAAAAGTGTTTAAAAAAGAAAAGCTACTATGTGTTGTTTGCAGCTATCGGAGTTTGCACTAATAATTGCAAAATAGGTACAAGTAAAAATGTTTTTGTATCAACTTATTTAATTGATATTATTTACAGGAAGGTTTTGGTTCAATATGTTTTGGACAAATCCTGACATCTAAAATCTTCGAATTTCGATGAAACCCGAATTTCTCGCTAACGAGGATGTGGAAACTCATAAATCTGCGGACACATCGATTTTAAAAACCTTGTGTTTCAAATAATTTTGCTGTGTCCAGTACGCAGGTTCTTGCGTTAATGAGAACCCTGTCAGACATACGCACCACTTCTCATAATTGCATGTACAAAATATCTGAATGAATATTGAAAAAATATTTTGCGATTGTAATTTTTGCGGATTTGTCCTATCCGCAAAATTCCGCAAAAATTGGACAACGGCAGAAAATACCCGTTATACGGTATAATTGCAAAATAAGCAATGATGGTTCGACGAATCGGCTTCATATATTCCACTGTATTATGTGGAATTGATTATCATTCTTAAAATTATCATGTCTTTACTTTGAGTCGTAATTTCTCTGCAAGGATTTCCTCCAGGGTAACGTAACTTACAAAAGTATGGATATTAGTGTGTGCATTGAAATTAAATGCATATTTTATGTAAATAATAGCAGATTCTTTGGTTTAACAACACAAACAAAGCATACCCATAACATAAATTGAACCAACTAGAACTTTATTAATTCACAGGTGTACAATAAATGAAAAAACATTGGATAAACCTTAAAATGAAAGCCAATAATGAGAAATATATAACTAAATTAATTCCCAGTTGGAGCATTAAGGTTGTTAATATATAGTGCATTTAATATAAATTACTTGAAGTATCAAAATGTATATAATTTTCATACCTGATTTTCTCCAGACATAAATAGTTCAGGGTAACGTAGCTTTCAAAGTGAGAACGTAAATTACATATTCCAGAAACAGTTTGAAATATGCATTGTTCAAGGAATATAAAAAATGCGTGAAGATAACGTAAATGGAAATTATTTCTTTAGATGAAATTGTTCCATAGAAATGCTTATAAAAAGTAAGCCAAATGCACTGGCCAATATTTTGTTCAATGAAATTATTTCATTGCAGTTTTCTTCTGATGAGTCCATAAACACATTGTATATAATTATATAGATTTATAAACTTTGTAAAGATAAATATATGTATCTATCTATGGTTACTAGTTTCATTACTATGAAAATGTTGATGTATTAATGATATTTTATTTGAATCTAAAAGAGTGAGAACGTAGATTACGGAACGTAGCTTACAGACAACGATGTAATAACATACCAATCAACTACATACACTGAAAATAACAATCTCTTACCTTCATTTGGTTCTTAAATCTCATGTTTTTGCGATTATCATTGTCAATGAACTTTATAAAGCCGTAAAATATAAAAGCGAAAGGAACATAGATTACATCCTTGAAAAAAACTATTACGCTGACTCTATCTACAAAGGACATCAATTTCTACTGATACGTGATATCATTTTCAAACTTTATGAAATGAATAAAATGGTGACTCAGCGTAGTTTTAAGCATAAACTATTGATATAGAGCAAAGTTTTCGACCTTTAGCAGTGATTTTTCTACATTTTTTAAAAGGGGCCTGGGCCTTTACAATTGGGAAAAATCATCAACATTTGTGTAAAATTGGGAAAAATCAATATGATTGAAATAAACCTTAATTGACAGGTAAAATAAAATATATAAGTAAATGTAACATCATTCATTCAAAATATTTACTACAAAATAACAAATTAGACACAGTTCTACATTTTTAACTTTTTTCAATCTTTGAAAGTTATCATTAGTTGTGACCGTCCTATATTTCAATTTTTTTTTTTTTTTTTTTTTTGCCATAATGGTAGACATAAGAAAAAAATCCTACTCATAATAGCCATTGAAGATGATATAATCTGACATGATTTAAAACAAATCATTTTTCTTCTAGCTTTCTAAATCACCCTAATCAATGTGCTGCAATTACCCTGCAATATTAGTTGCATCTGCCGGGTGAAGAAACAGTTTGATTTTCAGGGAATCAGGGATGCTTGTTGTAGAACTACTAGTTCTTGGATTTACAAATAAAGCTATGTTTCGCCTGTTCACATGCATCTTACACTTTCTTACGATGTATTTAGTTTGACATGATCCATGTGTTTTTCTATGTCTTGTAAACGCACAAAATGTTCTGCTGTTTTTCACTATTATTTTAAGAGTATGAATGACCGAGAGCAATAGCGTTCCAATTTAGATAAGTCGTACATAAAAAATTCAATATAACAAAATCAATAACGGTTTTTCTGGGGGGGAAAAAGCAACTGAAATTGGGAAAAAATCGGTAATTTTTGATAGGGGAAAGGGCCGATATTCGGACCTAAATTGAGTGTAGAAAAATCACTGTTTAGGTTAGTTATATAAGGCGACGTAACGTAGCTTACTAAATTTCGGCGACATTTTTCAATAGTTTCTATCTTGCACACCAATCAACCGATTGTTAAGAAAATTTCAGGGCTAGAAGTGTACATTATATGCAATGATTTAAAGTAATAAATTGATATTCTAATTATTAATTTTTTAAAATGACGAAACGTTGAATTTCCACCAATCATCGAGCGACATGTTGAATTTGATCAAGTAGGGGTGTATCCATTGCTATCACTTCAAAATGTTTTAATTTTCAGTCATTATTTTTTGTTTATAACCTGAAACGTTGGTTTTATTTATCTAAAATAAATACGATTTGAAAATATGTTTATCTATTTCTTTTGAAAAAGCTTGCGACAAGGGTCAAACAAAAGTGGACGACTTATTGGAGAATAGGTGATACACATGTATATGCATAAATATTTTTTTTTCTTTAGACTAAATTAAAATCAGTTTTTATTAGCTTTGAAATTAAATAAGGTTGGAAAGTGTGATACCTTTTTATTCTCTAGTTCATCCTTGAGATCCTGTAGTTTAGCATTATTTCTGGCAAATTTGTTGATTTTCTGTTGATCATCATAGGTGACCTGGGTATCAGGGTCCTACAAGAGATGGAGACATTAAAAATTTCTTTACAATGTTCTGTAGAGTTATTAGGCCAGCAGTACTTGTCCATTTTCAAGCCCCCCCCCCCCCCCCCCCCCCCCCCCCCCCGCCTTCCCACTAAATGAATAAATCAACCAGGGTTTTATTTCTGATAAAATAAGCATGTTAAAATAAAGTAAGTAAGTTTAACTTAGGATTGAGCTAATTAAATAGCATTATGAATCAATATACCTGACTGAAATATATTTATTTAACATAAATTATGATGAATACTTGATCCTGGACTGGCTGTATCATTACCTGTATCATAGAACTTCATATAACAATAAATCATGTGTCAAAATTTTGTAGCAATCCTAATAGATGAACAATGCACTTCTCACTAATCTTGATTTATGAATTCTTACAAATATCTAAAAATCTCATAGTAAAAAAATCAAACATAATTCAGCTGCAAAAATTACAATTGTAGTATACCATATATATTGTTTTAAAAGAGTCGGGAACGTGATTGGACGAAGAGATGACTGCCCCAAGAAGAAGTAAAAAAGCATGGAGGGACAAAATGGACTGTGTTTACAAATTAACACCAGAGGAGGCTGCTTCAAAACAAGACAAAGGACCTTAAACCACATCTCAAAAACTCGGACTGGAGGATTTACAAGCACAGATACACCAGTGCATAAACAAGACAAAGGACCTTATACCACATCTCAAAAACTCGGACTGGAGGATTTATAAGCACAGATACACCAGTGCATAAACAAGACAAAGGACCTTATACCACATCTCAAAAACTCGGACTGGAGGATTTACACAGATACACCAGTGCATAAACAAGATGGAAAATCAGCCATTGTCATAGAACTAAGGTTACCTGTTGGAAAAGTCATTCGAAAATGTACTAGATCAGAAACAGAGCTTGAAACCAACTTTTTATGTTTTAATCAGTGCAGCTGGATTGATAGGGTATTATTTCAACCAGTTTACAGAAATTCAACCAGTCCAAAGTTTTTCAGAAAATATTAGAGACATTTTTTGTTATTCATATTTAATAACAAAATCAACATCTGCAAACAAGTTAAGTTTACATCATTTGTTTTTACAATGGTTCAAAGGTAAATAAATTTTAAAGGAGCAAGTTGATATATTAAAATTTTTTAATGTATTTCTTGGCTAGAACATTTTTTTTATTATACATGTAATGCAAAACACACCAAAATGTATCAGCAAATGAAGTTTGATAAAAATATCTTGATTTGTTTCTTTAAAACTTAACTAAAGACTAGTTGAAGAAATGTGAGGTCAAAGGAAAGGCAAAGGTCAGAAATTTTGAAGCAATTGAATGGCTCTCATCAATTTGCATAAGGATATGAAGATTGATGAAAATATCTTGACTAATTTCTTTGAAACTTAGCTAAAGACAAATTTAAGAAAAGTGAGGATAAGGTCAAAGGAAATGTCAAGGTCAAAAAATGTTGATGAATTTGAATAGTTTTTACTTATATGTATCAGCAAATTAGGTTTGAGGAAAATATCTTGAATAATTTCTTTGAAACTTAGCTAAACACTTATTTAAGAAAAGTAAGGAAAAAGGAAATTTCAAGGTCAAAAAAGTTGATGAAGTTAAATAGCTCACACCAATATGCATCTGCATATGAGGTTTGGTATAAATATTTTGAATAGTTTCTTTGAAACTTAGCTAATCATAAATTAAAGAAAAGTGAAGTCAAGGTCAAAAAATGTTGATGAAGTTGAATAGCTCTTACTAATATATAACAGCATATGAAATATGATGAAAATATCTTGACTAATTTCTTGAAAACTTAGCTAAAAACTAATTTAAGAAAAGTGAGGACAAGGTCAAAGGAAATGTAAAGGTAAAAAAATGTTATATAGCTCTCACCAACATGTATCAGCATATGAGGTAAGGTATAAATATCTCTGAATAGTTTCTTGTAAACTGAGCAAAACACAAATTTAAAAAAAGAAAAATGGCGTCAAGGTCAAAGGAAAAGTCAAGGTCAAAAAATGCTGATGAATTTGAATAGCTCTCTCCAACATGTATTACCAAATGAGGTATGATAAATATATCTACAAACTGAGCTTAACACAATTTTAAGAAAAGTGAGGTCAAAGGAAAGATCAAGGCCCATCAGGCCAGAACACTCACCTGAGTCACAATGGCCCTGCGCATGCATCAGATTTTTCCCCGATATACATGTATTTCATGTAAAATTTTTATCACCTTTTGTGGCCCCACCCTATAAAGAGGCCATGATTTGAACAAAATTGAATCTACACTACCAAGGATGCTTCCACATTAATAAGATTCATCATGACTTTGCTGTTCTTGAGAAGAGGAGTTTTAAAGATTTCCCCCTGAATAATCCCTATTGTGGCCCCATCCTACCCCCAGGGAACAATTTACAATCAACCCGGTATATTACTTCAGTAAGCTTTCTTCTAAGTTTCATCTTTTCTGGTCCAGTGGTTTTTGAAAAAGAGATTTTTATAGATTTTTCCTATATATTTCAATGTAAAACTTCCATATCATGGCCCCAACCTTTAACCCAGGACCAAGCTCTGAACAATTTACAATCTACATTAACACCTCAGGAAGTTTCGACATTAGTTTAAGATTTTTTGGCTCATTGATTCTTGAGAAGATTTTGAAAAATTTTTCCTATATATTTCAATGTAAAACTTTGATTCCCTATTGTGGTCCCACCCTACCCCTAGGGACCATGATCTGAACAATTAAGAATTTACACTGCCTTAGAATAATTTAAGATAGCTAATTCAAACTATATAGCTTAATGGAGGGGTTGTGTTGGACCTTTGGGTAGACTTCACTTTACTGGTCCCCAGATCATAGCGCTCATTGCACTATGATGTAAGATTTACGTCGCTCAACTGATTAGGGTTAATTTGCACATTTTTCGACTGGTTAGGGTTAATCTTGCATCCACCTGAAAGATTAGGGTTAATCCTTGCACAAGTTTTAAACTGATTAGGGTTAGTCTTGCATCCATCTGAGAGATTAGGGTTAGTCCTCACCATGGGTTAGTCTAGCATCCACCTGGGAGATTTGGGTTAGTCCTCGCATACTATTCGAGGTATTAGGGTTAGTGTCTTGTTCTTTTAGATTAATTAAGAAATTAAGTTGCATCTGTATTTTTTGCAAGATCTTAATTCAGCTTCAACAACATCTCGTTGGTTTGTTTACATGAAAAATGGCTAAGTACGAAAGAAACGGCACTAAGCATGCACTTTGTTGACAATTATTTTTTGTCTCCTTTTCACTGAATAAACAATATTTATTACTTTTTTCAGAGAATGAGGTTAAAAACTTCATTAAAAAACAAATTTTGAAACTAAACTTTTAACCCTAGAATTCAATTTGGGGTCAAAAAGGCTTCAAACCTCATACTTTTTTTTTTGGATCGCTCAAGCGATCTCATATATATTGAAGTCGTCTACGGTGACATTGTATTTAAGTGCGTTTTTCTGGGGACTGGTAAAGTAAAGTAGTTCCGCACCTTTTTTCGTTTGTTTGTTTTATCATCCCTCCGAAGAATTTTTCACTCAATGGAGACACCACCACTTGCTGGTGAAGGGCTGCAAATTCAGACCTGATCAGTAACTAACTCGAATTTCCTCTCGGAATTCTTCGGTTGATAAACTTATTCAGCTGTTACATGAAACATACAAAATCAAATTTCGGAAAACAGTATATGACAAGCATACTCAAAGTAAATTTATTACAAAAAAAAAAATGTAGAATAGTTATACCATGCTTGCAAACGAATGCAATGCCAATGGATCCGAGAGAATACACTCGCTCTCCCGACTCTCACTCTGTGACATTAAGAACAAGAAAGTGACAAAATGGAATCTTTACACTTTTGTATTATACTTACTGAATCTTTCATCGAGTTTGCCATTGTAGAATGAGAAATACAACTCCAAAGAAATGTGGAAAATAACTAGTCTACAATAATAATATTCAGGCCGAATCCGATAAAAAATAATTGTTAACTCAAACATGGAATATTGGAAATGGTTTTGTTTATTACAATTATTTAGCTTAGTTTTGGACATATTTTCGATTCTTTTTCATGATATAAAATCATTTAATAAATATAAGTCAAAGTCGTAGTTAAAAATTTCCATGAAAGTATCCTTACCGTAATTTACGACACTCATGGAAATCGAGTTATCTAATAATTTATTCTGAGTTCCGGGATGTTCCTGATAGTTCGTCTGTTCGAGAAAAGTATATACTGGAGGAAAACGAATTGTTTATTTAATTATAATTAAAGGAGAATGTCTAAGAATTCGCACAAAGAACATCTATCTTCATATTTGACGAAACATCGTGTAAAGCCACGGGAAAATGAGTGAGTAATGAGAGTAAACGGCCTTTACCTATTGTTACTAAGGAAGCTTGCATTTTCGGTGCACTCTAGCTTGAAAAAAAAAAATCAAAGACGCACTTTATTTAATTAATTAATAAAATTGATTATGACTGTGTCTTTCCTTTGCTTTTGTTGAGAACTCTTGGGGGGGGGGGGGTGAAAATGCTTTTTCAGGGGAGACAAATCCTTCTATGACCTGGCTCTTTTTACACATTTTCCCCCTTTATACTTGAATTCTAGTCTTCCTGCGTACATTTCACTTGTTATTGATGTCGTAGTATTAGTACATGCTTAAAGGATATACTTTCTGAGAAAAACCTTTAAAAAATAATTTATTTAGTAAGATAGAATGAGCTTCTATTTACTGAAATGGACCTCTGAAAAATGAAAATTTTCTCTCAAATGATAGAGGTAAAATGAAATGCAAATTTTAACAGCATATTGAAAAATGGGGTAAATATTTAGGGTAAATTATTATATTAAAGACATAAATTTGATAAAGGAAAAATATTGATTTATCAATTTTAGACTTACAATGTTACAGTGCCCCTCTAAGTAGCAGAGGGTTTGTCATTCTTGGTACAAGAAGGTAAATATAATTATTAAATAAATATTATTTTTACATTTTACCTTGTTAGCTCACCTGAGCCAAAGGCTCAAGTGAGCTTTTCTGATCAAAATTTGTCTGTTGTCTGTCGTCGTTGTTGTCTTTGTTGTTGTAAACTTTTCACATTTTCATCTTCTTCTCAAGAACCACTGGGCCAATTTCAACCAAACTTGCCACAAAGTATCCTTGGGTAAAGGGGATTCAAGTTTGTTCAAATGAAGGGCCACGCCTTCTTCCAAGGGGAGATAATTAAGAATTTGTGAAAAATTAATGGCATCATTAAAAAATCTTCTTCTCAAGAACCACTGTGCTTGAAAATATGTGGAAGCATCCTCAGGTAGTGTAGATTCAAGTTTGTTCAACTCATGACCCCTGGGGGTCGGGTGGGGCCACAATGGGCGATCAAAGTTTAACATAGGAATATATAGGAAAAATCTTTAAAAATCTTCTTCTCAAGAACAGCAAAGCCATGATTGGTCATATTTATATGGTAGCATCCTAAGACAGTGTAAATTTAAATTTGTTCAACTCATGACCCCCGGGGGTCGGGTGGGGCAACAATGGGAGATCAAAGTTTTACATAGGAATATATAGGAAAAAATCTTTAAAAATCTTCTTCTCAAGAACAGCAAAGCCATGATTGGTCATATTTACATGGAAGCATCCTCAGATAGTGTAAATTTAAATTTGTTCAACTCATGACCCCTGGGGGTCGGGTGGGGCCACAATGGGCGATCAAAGTTTTACATAGGAATATATAGGAAAAATCTTTAAAAATCTTCTTCTCAAGAACAGCAAAGCCATGATTGGTCATATTTATATGGTAGCATCCTCAGATAGTGTAGATTCAAGTTTGTTCAAATCATGACCCCCGTGGGTCGGGTTGGGCCACAATGGGTGATCAAAGTTTTACATAGGAATATATAGGAAAAATATTTTAAAATCTTCTTCTCAAGAACAGCAAAGCCATGATTGGTCATATTTACATTGAAGCATCCTCAGATAGTGTAGATTCAAATTTGTTCAAATCATGACCCCCGGGGATAGGGTGGGGCCACAATGGGTGATCAAAGTTTTACATAGGAACACGTAGTAAAAATCTTTAAAAAAAAACTATTTCTTAAGAACAGCAAAGCCATGATATGCATATTCATATGGAAGCATTCTTAGATAGTGTAGATTCAAGTTTGTTCAAACATGACCCCTGGGGGTCGGGTGGGGCCACAATGGGCGATCAAAGTTTTACATAGGAATACATAGGTTAAATCTTTAAAAATCTTCTACTCAAGAACAGCAAAGCCATGATTGGTCATATTTAAATGGAAGCATCCTCAGATAATGTAGATTCAAATTTGTTCAATTCATGACACCCCCCCCCCCCTTTTATATTTAAACTTTTCAACCTTTCAAGACTGAACTGATTTCTGCTTTTTCCTAGCCATAGTGCTCAGGTGAGCGATGTGGCCCCTGGGCCTCTTGTTATAAACCCCATGACATGGACATATTTTTTTAGAGTACACACAGACACACACATATATATAACTCTAATCTAATGAATTTTCATATTAATAGTACAAGGAGTAAAATACCTTCCAAAGAGAGTGGAAAGGTGCCAGCAAACGAAGACAAGCTTGCTCACACTAACAGTAAAACTGCTGGATATAAACCAATAAAGAGGGGCAAAATATCAATTCAGGAGTAAGTATTAAAACTAGATGTCAATCTACAATTACTGTATAGGGGGGATTTTTAGTGGGATACTAACTTTGGCTTATTTTAGCAGTTGTGAAGTAGCCCACTAATATTTTAATAGCTAAATTTGTGCCTTGCATATAAATACTGAAAAAAAAAAACTTTGATTAGTCCATCCTTAAATCTTTCAACTGGTGTTGGTTTTTACTCAAACTCTTGCATAAATCGATATTCAAATATATTAAACACACTGAAAATGCATCTAGAATATGAACTTTCTCTGTTTTACAACGTTATTGGCATATCTTTGAGCAAGCAAAATGCCAAATTTTACACCCGCTAAAGAAACTGCATTCAAAATTGAAGCAGCTAACTTAGCTGGTAGATATCTATAGGTCTATTGAATGCACTGTCTGAATTGATGCTTTGTCCCTATAGGTAGCAGAAAGGCTAGCTACATAGCCCCTACAATCTTGAATACAGTCCTGCTTGATATAAACCAATAATCCAGGAGTAAGCCTGTAATGAAAACTGCTGAATAATAAACTTATCAAGAGGGACAAATTAACAATCCATAAGTAGTCTAATATCGTAAATGTACATATTACATTTAATAACACACTAAAAGATAAGCCCAACCTTTCTTATTCAATGATTATGATAATCATAAAAAAGGCAGAGGCGAGCTGTTATACGTACCGGTATTTGTTTTAGTCATATATATATTAGCATTTACTTGAATTGGCAGATAAGAAGAGGCACCAAAGGAGCTAAAATATGATTTTACAGTATAAGATAGCCTCAGCTAAATACAGTAAAATATGATTACAGCGAACAAGTTTATAAAGAATAATTTGTTAATTATTGTGAACTGATTTTCATTCCCTGAGTATTTAAGTTATATTTATTTATGACTTTATTGGATATAACAGAACCTCTAAGTGACCTATAGAATTTAGGTGCCAACTGGCGCCTTATCAAAAAATTTAGTCGCCAATGCAAATTTTTAGTTGCCAGGCAATTTTTTTTAAGGCACCAACTTTAAAAGTTAATAGTAATCAATATAGGGACCCATGATGTGACTAAGAAAACACGACATGTCCATTGCTAAAAATAATTTCCTTTTCTTTTAAATTCCTTTTCACTTTTTCAGAAAAATTGTTAAAAATGTTAAAATTTCGACGATTGCCAAGTCAATTTAAAATGGTCGCCAAATTGGAGACTTATGGAAAAATTTTAGGCGCCAATCAAACATTTTAGGCACCATGGTGACTAAATTAGTTGCCAATTAGAGCCCTGATATAACAAATTTTGTTTATAACGAATCGAAATTATTCATTCCTGGCTATTGTTATGTTTTACTTTAATTGTAGTAAACTTTAAATCTTTACGTCCCTCAAGGACTTCTTGTTTTTCTAACCCTTAAAAATGAATAGGAATATATAGTTAAATAGAGTAAATCATCACAGACATCTACGTCACTTAAAAAGATGTAATTTTATTCTCAAAATATGGTCTTATAAGCAGACTAGGGATCATAGCATGTTTGCCAAATTAAAACACATTCGGTTCTCATATATTTCTGATATATTGATGCATTTTATATTCTGTGAAAAATTTTTGATAGTTTAATATATTTCATGATATTTTAAAAGAAATAAGCATGCGTTACATTGCAATGGATTTTATACTCTTTCAAAGTTTTGGTAGTTAGAATAATAGATCACAGGCTATTGCTTTCAAAAGTTATAATCATAAAATTTTCCATACAGCATTCCAGGTGAAATCATGATGACCATATTTAGATACCTGTCACCTCAAGATCTGATCCTGGCGTCACAAGTCTGTAAATCATGGCACGGCCTGGCTAATGATAAGTATGCTGGACATCCTTGAATATGACATATACTCTACTTTCATTAAAGATGTAAAGTATTTCAGTGACAACAGCTCTGTCTCAAAATTAAGAGAACATTAATTTTCATCATAATAAAGGACATATTTTGTGATGTTAGAAATAACAGATATAAATAGTTATATAATTAAAATTTTTATATTTTGAAAAACTTAAATGAAAATTTAATTGCATAATAACATTCATCCAATACTTTGTAGGTCCACATTTAATCATAACAGAAATTCTTTTGGCATATTTTGTATTAATAGTTTTGGGAGGAGCTAGAGTACCATTGCTCCCGTATTTGTGTCCACTCGTCTTCTCTCTGTGTTGACCTACTTTTGAAAATCCGTAATTCATCTTACTAGCTGATATTTTGGGGGGCTCCACCATGAAGTTCCTGTTGCTATAAGACCTAAACACACTTTTAAAATAAAGAACAGTTCTTTATCTGTAGGCTTTTTAGTAAAATGTTTATAAGACACTGAAACTCCCAGACTCCCTCTTTGGTCTTGCACCATGGGGTTTGATGGTCAGTACTTTCTTCAATCAACCAAGAATATTCTTGGAGATGAAAAGTTTACTCGTTTTATTATGTCATGGACTGATGTATATACATTTTCTAAGATAGACTTTCCAGTGTGAAGCTGTAAATTATAAAAAAAAATATATCGTGAAAATATGCTTTGAAAAAAAAATCAGCATGTTTTGAGACAGAGCTGTATGACAATGATTGTGTTTAACATTAAGTCATACATTGTTAGGTTGAGGTTCTACAAACTGTTCTAAATTTTACAGTACTCTATGGAGACCAATATTAAAGAAGTACATGTACTCAGGAACTAAATCAGATAGAAGTGATGGAGAAATCAAATCTAAATCCATTGAGAGCTTAAAAAAGGACTGCATGACAAGGTCTGCTTTATCATCTGATTCAAATTTTTGAGCGAAACAAAATAATTAGGGCCCCACAAGGATTTGCGGATGCCCTATAGTAATCACTCTGTCTGTCCGTCTGTCTGTCTGTCCGTCTGTCATTCTTCCTCCACAAATTTTCTGTTTTTTTCTAATAACTTTTTTTAGGGTTGACCAATTAAGTTCAAATTTGGTATGTTGGTTGAATAGGCAGTAAGACATATTTTGATGCTAAGTTTGGTTCTCTATGTCATCCGGTTTGGAGCTGGGGTGGTGGGGTATATTCCTTAACTTTATATAAGAGTGAATGGGCAAAGAGAGATAACTGCTGAGAATGTTACTATTGTAAACTATGAAAGGCTGCAATGAGTCTCTTGGGATTAATTAACTTTCCTCTTGAAGAAAATCCAAAGCATTTATCTTTATCTGTCACATTAAGATTAATTAACACCTCTGTCTGCAAATGAAGCTTGTTTTGAAGTTAAGGTCAATTCTGAATGATGTTTACATTCTCTGAAATGTGGATTTAAATAATGTTCATACTTTATTTTGGTAAAATACACAATGAGTTATGATTTTATTGAATTCTAAAAACAAGATATAGATAAAGATATCGTTTTTATTATTATTTTCTTTTTTCTTTTTTTTTTCTTTTTTTCTGCCTTATGTAAATTCAAGAATACTAATTATTTTAACAGGTATTCAGATAATACCCTCATTCTTTCATTGCTGAAAAAGTTCTTATTGTAAACTTAGAAGAAAAGGTTGAGAGAGCAGTATATAATTAATCCCGTGGGTTTGATTATCTTGCTGGTTTGCAGAATATTTTAGAGGGTTATCTTTCTGTCACTTTGGGATTAATTAACACCTTTGTCTGCAATTGATATTTGTTTTGAAGTTAAGGTCAAGCCTGGGTGATATTTGCATTCACTGGAGGCTGGTATTTTAGAAAACACATGCTTCATTCATTTTTAAATATACATTTAATTGAGTTATTATAGATATGATGTTTTTTACTGCCTGATGTAAATACAAGGATACTATTTACAGATTGTTGGATATTTAGCAGTTGCTGTTGCTTATTCTTTATATATTTTGAAATTTTTTGGAATCAAGTAAAATTCTCATCCCCTAATCTGCACCCTTATATTTCTAACCCTCGGCGGGGCCCTTGCTGACTGGTCAGATTTCTAGTTATTTTCAAATTGTAAAATTTTTTCAAACTTGTATTTTCATGGATACCATTTGAAAAAAAACATGCAAAAGAAACATCATAAAAAAATAATTTAAAAATTCATGAATGTATAGTGCAGAGCGATCATATCAATGATATATAGTTTAGTTATCAGTGAAAGAAATGATTATAAGGTATAAGTTTGAAGAAAAGATTCATTTCTCATGAGGAGGTTAACCATCAGGAAATTATTTATTTCTTTGGCCAGCAGTGATCATGCCTTTGTTTAACACTGAATGGTGTTGATTTATTTTTTTTTTTTAGCTCACCTGAGCCGAAGGTGCAAGTGAGGTTTTCTGATTGAAATTTGTCCTTTGTCTGTCGTCGTTGTCATTGTAAACTTTTCACAATTTCATCTTCTTCTTCAGAACTACTGGGCCATTTTCAACCAAACTTGGCACAGAGTATCCATGGGTAAAGGGCATTCAAGTTTCTTCAAATGAAGGGCCACACCCTCTTCCAAGGGGAGATAATTACAAATTAGTGAAAAATTAATGGCATCTTTTAAAAATCTTCTTCTCGAGAACCACTGGGCTAGGCAAGATGAAACTCATGTGGAATCATCCTCAAGTAAGGTAGATTCTAGTTTGTTCAACTCATGACACTTGGGGTTAGGGTGGGGCCACAATGGACAATCAAAGTTTTACATAGGAATATATAGGAAAAATCAGTAAAAATCTTCTTCTCAAGAACAGCAAAGCCGTGTTTGGTCATATTTATATGGAAGCATCCTCAGGTAGTGTGTAGATTCACATTTTTTCAAATCATGACCCCCGGGGGTAGGGTGGGGCCACAATGGACGATCTAAGTTTTACATAGGAGTATATAGGAAAAATCTTTAAAAATCTTCTTCTCAAGAACAGCAAAGCCATGATTGGTCATATTTATATAAAAGCATTTTCAGATAGTTGTTCAAATCATGACCCCTGGGGTATGGTGGGGACACAATGGACGATCAAAGTTTTACATAGGAATTTATAGAAAAATCTGTTAAAATCTTCTCAAGAACAGCATAGCCATGATTAGTCATATTTATATGGAAGCATCCTCAGGTAGGGTAGATTCATGTTTGTTCAAATCATGACGCTTGGGAATAGGGTGGGGCCACAATGGTCGATCAAAGTTTTACATAGGATTCTATAGGAAAAATCTTTAAAAATCTTCTTCTCAAGAACAGCAAAGCCATGATTGGATTTATTTATATAAGCATCCTCAGATAGTGTATATTCACAATTGTTCAAATCATGACCCCCGAGGGTAGGGTGGGACCATAATGAAAGTTCAAACTTGTAGGGGAAAAAGTTACAGTTAGTCAAAGAAATTTGTAAGCATCTTTAGTTAGTATAGATTCAGTTTTGTTCAAATCACCCCCCCCCCCCTTTTAGGGGTAGGTCGGGACTACTTATGCATTAAAGCTTTTCAATACTGAACTGATTTTTGCTTTTTCACAGTGCTCAGGTGAGTGATGTGGCCCATGGGCCTCTTGTTTATAATGTATTCTTTTTTGATACAGTAGAGAATGCCATCAACAAATTTTGCACTTGTAAAAATAAACTTCAACCCATTGTATACGTAAGACAAATCAATTTTTGATTTTTTTTAAAGTATCCATAAAACATCTTACATAATTTTCAAAACTGTATATTAATGCTGTCAGTGTTAATTTATGATAATTTTCTCAATTATACCATTTTGTTATTATTTTAAAATAAAAGAGGAAAAGGGGAGGTAAAATCTTCCCAATCACAGCAAATTAATTATCTGTGTACCAGACAAGTGACCATTTCACTAACAAATCGTAGATCATTAACGTAGACGTAAACTTGAATGTAGCACGTAAGTTAGTTCCAAACAAAAAATCTAGTGGCACAAGAATCTGATGAATGGTCAGTGTTATCAAAACATCCAATCTCAGAACATCAGGTAGCACAGGTAGCTAGCCTGTCAATCAAACCAGTAGCTATTGTTTCTAGTATGACTGACAAGTGGTAAACTATTGATGTTGAATTAGGTACAGTGTATATTTTAGGGGAGTTAACATAAAATTGGGACTTTAATTAAATTACACCCTTTTTTCCATTCTTTCAGTATAGGGTGTTTCAGAAAACACGCATCCATTTGCTTTCCTCACTTTATTGATATGCAAACAGAAATATATAAAAGATTTATTTAAAATTATAGTAAATAGGCTTAAGATTTTATTGAGAACAAAAATTTGGGAAATAATTATCATTTGAATTTATTATGATGTCATATTTGACATCATTGAAAATCAGGTCATTTCATTCTGAATTTACTAAAAAGCAATATCATCAAAAGTTTAGACATAATGGATAAATTAAAAGAAAAGGAAAAATTGGAAGTATGAAGACAATTAGAACACATGAAAACATTGAGAATGTTAGAGATGTTGATTCAGGGACTAGCAGGAAATCCTTAAGTAAAATAACTGACCTTGAAAATGAATGCGACTCAAAAATGAGAAGTCAAGTGTATATCGGATGCTAAAATATGATTTGAATCTTACATATTGGACTTGTCGAAACAATATTTGGAGGACTACTAGTATTCTTCTCTTCCAAATCCATAAACATTGGGTCTCCACATTCACCTGACTTAACCCCCCTTGACTTTTATTTCTGAGGACATTAAATTTTAAAGGTCACAATTTATAAAACACACCCCATCACAACACGTGAACTCAAAATAGTAAAGAAAAATGAGTCAAGGTTCATAACAAAGAAATTTTGTGCACTAGTTATGGTTATGAGACATTTCCTGCATCAATTACATTTTATTCATTCAAAAATGACGTCATTTAGAACATATTTTGTAACTAGGTGAAATTTTAAAGGTTTTCTTTATTATTTCATAATTCATTATCTATTTGCCAGATTAATTTCATTTTTACAAGAATAAATTTTGAAATTGTGCCTTGTACTTTAACATGATGGTGGATATTATTAGAAGAAACACAAGTAAAATGTAACCAATCAAAATGGTTGCAGGTTTTCTGAAACACCCTGTACCTCTAAGGAGATGTAAGACATTTTATAAAAAATTAAGTGAAAATAGATGATGGATGACAAAAGATGAGATAGCTAACTTCAATAATCAATTTTGACCAAATTTGGAATGTAACATGTTTTAAACAGGAGACCCATGGGCTACAACGCTCACCTGAGTAACTTTGGTCCTGCTGTTCTTCACCAGATTTCCCCCTTGTAATAGTTATTGTGGCCCCAACCTACTTCTGGGGGTCATGATTTGAAGAATTTCTGGTCCAGTGGTCTTGAAAAGAAGATTTCTATAGATTTTTCCTTTTTAGTTCAGTGTAAAATTTGATTCCCTATTGTGGCCCCACCTTACCCCTGGGGGCCATGATTTGAAGAATTGAGAATCTTTACTCCTCCAGGATACTTCCACCTTTTCTGGCCCAGTGGTTCTTGAGAAGAAGATTTTTAAAGATTTTTCCTATATATTTCAATATAAAACTTTGATTCCTTATTGTGGCCCCACCCTACCCCCAGGGCCATGATTTGAAGAATATAGAATCTACACTATCCAAGGATGCTTTCACATAAGTTTCAGCTTTTTTGGCCTAGTGATTCTTGAGATTTTTTAATGACCCCACCCTTTTTTTGTCTATCTTAATCATCTCCCTTTGTAAGGGAACTTGGTTCTTCATTTTAAGAATTTAAAGTCCTCTTCACCTAAGGATGCTTTGTACCAACTTTGGTTAAATTTGGCCCAGTGGTTCTTAAGAAGAAGTTGAAAATGTGAAAAGTTTACAGACGGACAGACAACAGATGATTAGAAAAGCTCACTTGAGCTTTCAGCTCAGGTGAGCTAAAAAGGGTGGTTTGAGGTTTGAAATCCAAGGTTCCCAAAAGTTCCTGCAACTCTATAACATATACAGGATCCAGGATAGGTGTAAATTAAATTTTTATTCAGAAAAGGTAAAAAGTCTATGATGTTAAAAAAAGAAAGAGCCGTAATGTTGTGATTACAATAAAGTAGAGGCTCATAAAAGATACATGTATATGAAAACAAGATTTGGTACTCTGGACAAGAAGAAGTTTGTATGTCAGCATAAAGTTCACTTATTTCTTTATAGCTGCAATAATGTAGCCCTCTCTGATTTTTTTTTTTTTTGGGGGGGGGGGGGGAGGTAGCCCTCTCCTGAAAATATCAGATTAAAAAAAATTGGAGAGGGCTACATTATTGCAGCTGAAGTTATCAGATTTAAAAAATCAGAGAGGGCTACATTATTGCAGCTAATTTCTTTAGAGTTTGTCATGTTACTTAGTTGACTGACAAGGTCTATATGCCTCTTTATTAACTACATGCAATTCTGTTTTGTAAAGATGTATTCAGCAGAGAAATAAAAGAGTCTTCAGGCTTTTGAGAAAAAGGAAGAGTCCCTACACAGGTCTTCCAGAAAGTAAGGAGGTGGAACAAGCACTCAAGTAAGTGTGTGTGTGTGTGGGGGGGGGGGGGGGGGGGAGGTATTCCTTAAAATTCTGAACTACCAAGAGAGCAAAAGGGGGGGATAATTCATTCAAAGAGAAGCATGTATATTTTTACTGAAACTTGATGAGAATTATGTATACCTTGATGTTATACAGGGTGTTTCATAATATATGTTAACCAATAAGCAATTCTGTATATAATTGCCATCCCTAGTTTATAAAAAAAATTAATTCCAGTCACACCTTCAATATAGTGAACCTTGGATATCTTATATTTTTTATTTTATATTTAGCTCTTTAAGGTAAAACTGTAATTGAAAACATATGCTGTTTTCTTTCAGTTTACCCCGTTTTGAATTTGCCCACTCATGATGAGGGCAAAAGGGGCAAAAAAAGGGGGGGACAGAAATTTCCCTGCACTAGTATACAGTACCGAAATTCATAGAATGGAGAATATCTGTGTACATTTAAGAACCCTCTATACACTGCACACTAGAGAGTTCTGATTTTGTGGTATTTTTATGCAGATAGAGTGATCTGCCCTTTGATCAAGAATAAAATAAATTGAAATGTACAGTTTATTACTTAATTTGCGATCAAATCAAGCATTCATAACACTTTAATAGGCCAAGATGAATAGATAGAACACTTCATGTGCAGGTATTTTGCCCACTTAAGTAAACAACAGTGATTTATGCTCATCAGTACTTCATTGTCTTTGAACATTTTTCCTGGGGGTAAATGCAAGGCACCCCATGCTGAAAATGTGATAGATAAGCTCAATGCTTACACCTTTACACACTATAATTTTCTCAATGTCCAAAAAATATTTTCCTCTAGTGTATAGAGGGTCCTTAAATCTCAGAACTGTGTCTGGGTGAACTTAAAATGGGACAAAATTGTCTTCAATTGTGAAGGGCTGAAAATGAAACAGCCCAGTAATAATCCTGTATGCAGTATTAGTATATGTCCTTTGTTAGTATGTATTCCTTCTTGGAAAAAATACAAATTATTTGGACAGAATTACATCCAATCATTATTTATTATAGGACAGCTGGTATGACATTTGAACTGGTGATGATAGACAAAGATGATAGGGAACATACATTAAGACATCAGGATGTATTTTACCACCCCATGTCTGTCAGCATTCGATGGTTTGCCTTGGAGTTGCCACCTATAAATAGCATCAAGGAGTTTCAATTGTATTCAAGGAATCCTCTCTTTTATAACCAAGAAACTGGGAAACCAGTGAAAGAAGGGTCAATACTTTTATTGTTCTACTGATAAAATCTGAATTTAGATCAGATTTTGATTTATATTAAGGTATGTCACTCGTCAGCTTTAATTTGAGAAAAGTTTGGTCAGAACCTCTAACTTAAAAATTATCTATTACAATTCAATTTGTATTCAGCAATGCAAATAATACAATATTCAATCCAAAAAAACTGCCCCAAAAATTTTAAGAAACAAGATTAATGGGGGATTATTTATTTTATGGTGGAAGGACATTTAGAAGAAAATTCTTCAAATCTACATAATATTTGTTTGATTTAAATGTACTGGAACTTTATAGCCATACATATTTTAACTCAGAGAATTTTTTTTTATTATGTGCTCGGAATGTTAAATAAAGGCTTCAAATAATACTTTTAAAACAAATTTTACACACTCACTCAATAGTCTTTGCCAGAAGTTGAAGATATATTATTTAAAATTCAAGATAAAATTTACACTGTTGTTCGATTCGCTTGAAAATAGCGTATTTTGGCTAATATCTCACAATTTACATCACTGACCCCAACTTTTTCTTCATTATCTTAAATTAGATGATACATTCAAGCAATCAGCACTAAAGTCATAAAAAGCTTGATACAAGAAAATATTTTATTGCCTATCTAGATTTTTAATACCCAAAATATGATATTAATTTTTTTAGTGCAAAAAGGTCACACAATACTTTACATGCATTAATTTTCAGGATTGTTTCAATAATAAATACTATTCAAACAGTTTTACATAAAATAAGATGATATTTATTGCCATGATTGCATTTGGTAAAATATGATAAAGGTTTACCTAAGATTAAAATTTAAGTGCAAAAAGGTCAAGTTAATTGGACTGTTGCTCTGTAAGATGCACACCGACCCCCAATTTTCTTTGCCATTTGAATCATGCTATATGAGAATTTATCTATGAAATACTTTTCAAAAAATCCTTGATTTAACTTGTATCACAAGTGACATACCTTAAACAAAAAAATATGTGCATGTCTTTTTAACCTTAGGAATGTTTTATAAAGAACTTCATATTTTCAGACCTTATCAGAGATCCTTATTACTCACACAGGAGTTGAAATGGGAAGACTGGAAAGGAAAGTCTATAGGAGGAGATGAGCTAATCAGTCTCTACAGCTTACCACAGGGACTAACTATAGCTATGTATAAGGTATACAGCTTACCACAGGGACTAACTATAGCTATGTATAAGATATACAACTTACCACAGGGACTGACTGTAGCTATGTATAAAATATACAGCTTACCACAGGGACTAACCATAGCTATGTATAAGATATACAGCTTACCACAGGGACTAACCATAGCTATGTATAAGATATACAGCTTACCACAGGGACTGACTATAGCTATGTATAAGTTTACCACAGGGACTAACTATAGCTATGTATAAGGTATACAGCTTACCACAGGGACTAACTATAGCTATGTATAAGGTATACAGCTTACTACAGGGACTAACTATAGCTATGTATAAGGTATACAGCTTACCACAGGGACTAACTATAGCTATGTATAAGTTTACCACAGGGACTAACTATAGCTATGTATAAGGTATACAGCTTACCACAGGGACTAACTATAGCTATGTATAAGATATACAGCTTACCACAGGGACTAACCATAGCTATGTATAAGGTATAGAGCTTACCTCAGAGACTAACTAAAGCTATGTATAAGGTAGACAGAGACTAACTATAGCTATGTATAAGATATACAGCTTACCACAGGGACTAACTATAGCTATGTATAAGATATAGAGCTCACCACAGGGACTAACTATAGCTATATATAAGGTATAGAGCTTACCTCAGAGACTAACTATAGCTATGTATAAGGTATACAGAGACTAACTATAGCTATGTGTAAGATATACAGCTTACCACAGGGACTAACTATAGCTATGTGTAAGATATAGAGCTCACCACAGGGACTAACTATAGCTATGTATAAGGTATAGAGCTTACCTCAGAGACTAACTATAGCTATGTATAAGGTATACAGTTTACCACAGGGACTAACTATAGCTTTAAGGTATAAAGCTTACCAAAGGGACTAAGGTATACAGTTACTTTATATCAGTATTTTTGAGTCACCTGCAAAGCAGAGCACCACTTAGGGATCACATTGCTGGGTGTCTGTCTGTTTGTCTATCTGTGACACACTATAATTTGAAAATTATTAAAGGTATGGATTAGATATTTTACTCATGTATTGCTTGGAAGAGTGGCTTTTGTAAAATACCAGTATTAACAACCTCATAACTTTTGAACTTGACCTTTGACCTACTTTTTCAAAATACAGCAAAGTGCTGATATACACATATTCTTTGATCTTTGAGAGGTAAATTTGTGCTATTTGACCTCTGGATCATCAAGTTATCTTATGTCTCATAAATTTTACTGTACATTACATTAACCACACAAACTGAAATTTAAATTCTGTTAGCATTTGGATCCTCACTCAGCCTCTACCATCAACCAAGATAAAACCTCAGTTTTTCTTGATTTGACAGAAAAGGCCAAGTGATGTCCTCAATATGATGGAAAAGGTCTTGTGATGTTGTTCTAAACTTGACAGAAAACCCTGTATGGTATGGTGCAAGTGTTCTGTTAGTTAGGATCGGTATACAGACCTGTGCTTGAGAAGCTGGGGGATTTTTGAGATAAACTCATAAGAATGAATGATTCTTTTTTAGCTCACCTGAGCCAAAGGCTCAAGTGAGCTTTTCTGATCAAAATTTGTCCGTTGTCTGTCGTCGTCGTCGTTGGCGTTGGCGTCGTCGTTGTTGTAAACTTTTCACATTTTCATCTTCTTCTCCAGAACTACTGGGCCAATTTCAACCAAACTTGCCACAAAGTATCCTTGGGTTAAGGGAATTCAAGTTTGTTCAAATGAAGGGCCGCACCTTCTTCCAAGGGGAGATAATTAAGAATTCGTGAAAAATTAATGGCATCATTAAAAAATCTTCTTCTCAAGAACCACTGTGCTTGAAAATATGAAACTTATGTGGAAGCATCCTCAGATAGTGTAGATTCAAGTTTGTTCAAATCATGACCCCCGGGGGTTGGGTGGGGCCACAATGGGCGATCAAAGTTTTACATAGGAATATATAGGAAAAATCTTTAAAAATCTTCTTCTCAAGAACAGCAAAGCCATGATTGGTCATATTTACATGGAAGCATCCTCAGATAGTGTAGATTCAAGTTTGTTCAAATCATGACCCCCGGGGGTCGGGTGGGGCCACAATGGGCGATCAAAGTTTTACATAGGAATATATAGGAATGATCTTTAAAAATCTTCTTCTCAAGAACAGCAAAGCCATGATTGGTCATATTTATATGGTACCATCCTCAGATAGTGTAGATTCAAGTTTGTTCAAATCATGACCCGCGGGGGTCGGGTGGGGCCACAATGGGCGATCAAAGTTTTACATAGGAATATATAGGAATAATCTTTAAAAATCTTCTTCTCAAGAACAGCAAAGCCATGATTGGTCATATTTATATGGTACCATCCTCAGATAGTGTAAATTCAAGTTTGTTCAAATCATGACCCCCGGGGGTCGGATGGGGCCACAATGGGCGATCAAAGTTTTACATAGGAATATATAGGAAAAATCTTTGAAAATCTTCTTCTCAAGAACAGCAAAGCCATGATTGGTCATATTTACATGGAAGCATCCTCAGATAGTGTAGATTCAAGTTTGTTCAAATCATGACCCGCGGGGGTCGGGTGGGGCCACAATGGGCGATCAAAGTTTTACATAGGAATATATAGGAAAAATCTTTAAAAATCTTCTTCTCAAGAACAGCAAAGCCATGATTGGTCATATTTATATGGTAGCATCCTCAGATAGTGTAGATTCAAGTTTGTTCAAATCATGACCCGCGGGGGTCGGGTGGGGCCACAATGGGCGATCAAAGTTTTTCATAGGAATATATAGGAAAAATCTTTAAAAAACTTCTTCTCAAGAACAGCAAAACCATGATTGGTCATATTAATATGGTAGCATCCTTAGATAGTGTAGATTCAAGTTTGTTCAAATCATGACCCCCGGGGGGTCGGGTGGGGCCACAATGGGCGATCAAAGTTTTTCATAGGAATATATAGGAAAAATCTTTAAAAATCTTCTTCTCAAGAACAGCAAAACCATGATTGGTCATATTTACATGGAAGCATCCTCAGATAGTGTAGATTCAAGTTTGTTCAAATCATGACCCCCAGGGGTCGAGTGGGGCCACAATTGGCGATCAAAGTTTTACATAGGAATATATAGGAAAAATCTTTAAAAATCTTCTTCTCAAGAACAGCAAAACCATGATTGGTCATATTTACATGGAAGCATCCTCAGATAGTGTAGATTCAAGTTTGTTCAAATCATGACCCCCGGGGGTCGGGTGGGGCCACAATGGGCGATCAAAGTTTTACATAGGAATACATAGGTTAAATCTTTAAAAATCTTCTACTCAAGAACAGCAAAGCCATGATTGGTCATATTTAAATGGAAGCATCCTCAGATAATGTAGATTCAAATTTGCTCAATTTATGACACCCCCCCCCCCTCCCCCCGAACCACTTTTTTATTCAAACTTTTCAACCTTTCAAGACTGAACTGATTTCTGCTTTTTCCTAGCCATAGTGCTCAGGTGAGCGATGTGGCCCCTGGGCCTCTTGTTTCAATTTAATTTTTCATTTTAACCTGAATTCATGTAACTTTTATGATATATATTATGTATTACTGTCTTACTATCTGTGGATTATCTTTCTGTAATTGAACTATAGTATGATCTTTTAAGAGAAGATGAACACCCTTTAGTTTTATATATGTTTCTATTGATGCTAAAGCAGGTGACACATAGTCCTTGAACACTCAGATCTCATACAGAGTTCACCAGAGGGGCATCTATAGCTGTATTATACTAAGATGTATATAAGGACCAACAGATTTCATAAATATTTTAATAAAGTGTTCTATTCTAGTTGAATTTTATCTAGAGAAAGCATTGCATCTGGCTTGGGTGGTAAGTTTACAAAAACTTTTATAAAATATTTTTTAGTGGGATGATAGAGCACAGGCACATTAAATTTTTATCAATTTTATCAGTAAGTTTTAAATAAAGTGCTATAGGTTGAAAAATCCTACCATCTCTAAAGGAGGTTGGATTTCTTTAGATTTATTTGTATATAATGCATAAACTAATCAGCCAATCCCCTCCTAGAGTTATAACCATAAGAAACATACAGTTTTGTTATTTGTCTTGAAATGTGAGCAAAAAGTTAGTTTATATACTAATACATGACTTGTTTTTGTCAGGGAGATGAGGAGTTAGCCTTTGTTTCGTTTGCTCTGTCTTTGGATAATTTGGTTCAGAAGTGTATATACGGAACACCCAAGGAGTATGCATTTTGTTTATATATTCACAAAATCATATATTGTACATCACATTTTCATGACACCTTATTTTCACGAAAAAGTTATTTGGTTTTTAATAAGTGAGAGTGAAAATTCATGAACTTTGGAAATATTGTAAAAAATATTAAAAAATACAAATATATACCAGAATGAAATTTTTGCAAGCAGATGGTCTCACAAATTAATGTTAAAAATAATGTTTTAGTAATTAAAAAGTGATTTACAGTATCTCTAAAAGTTACAGAGTAAATTTTCCATTTCTTTTATAGTGTATTTTCTAACAAATGAAATGTATAAAAATCAATTAAGAACTACCCAACTTTTCTTTGCAGACCATTTACAACACCTGATAATAAATGTGTAGATCCTGGAATGAGCACAAGACATGGTATGTTCAATATATTGTTAAAAGTTTACATATTTTGAAAATTTAATCGAACTGTCTAGTATATACCGTATATACTTACCTATAAGTCTATCTACCTATAAGTCAGTTTTTTAAGCTTCTATTGGAGGGATTTGCAATTGATCTACTTATAAGTCGGTACACTACAACTTTTTGCCAGAATAGGTTGACAATATCAAGTCAAAGCTCTATATAATAAAGTTATTAAAATACCATATATAAAAACTTATATTTTTATGAATAATGTTAGAATACATAAACAAAATAATACATCCAGACATCTTTCAATGATAATCTTCAGAGTTATTTCAAAAAAATACATTTCTTCATCCAGAAAATACCAATCTTTTTAGGACTCGCCCATAAACAACCTATAGGCGAAATAAATAATATTTATAATATGCCAATAGACAAAGAGGAAACACAATATTTTTGTAACAACTCCAACTATAATGGTTTATAAAGAACATAATCTAATGCAGGAAAGGAAGATCTAAGGTTACCAATGGCAGGAAACACTAGGCTTACAGATTTTAATCATTTCATTTGTTTAAATTCTTAATAGGAGAACAAAATCAATATTGATGCCACCCAAATCATACTTTGAAACACAGTTTATTACAATAGAATACAAATATGATATTGGCAACAGATTCTAGCTAAAAAACCTTACCAATTTATAAGGGGGTCAATGGCAATTTCATAAAAAATAATCTGAAATATTAGAACTGACTTATAAGCAAACCAGCTTAAAGGCTAGTATATACAGTAAGTATAACTCTTGCCTTCTTGAAGCAGTCATGAATTGATTTAATGCAATGAATGTTTAATTGTATGCCTCAGTCTCCAGTTGAATTGTGCCAATGCATTAGGTAACAGTGTACCAGATGTAGGTGTAACAGGTAACAGTGTACCAGATGTAGGTGTAACAGATAAGGTGTACCAGATGTAGGTGTAACAGATGTAGGTGAAACAGGTAACAGTGTACCAGATGTAGGTGAAACAGGTAACAGTGTCCCAGATGTAGATGAAACAGGTAACAGTTTACCAGATGTAGGTGTAACAAGTGACAGTGTACCAGATGTAGGTGAAACAGGTAACAGTGTACCAGATGTAGGTGAAACAGGTAACAGTGTCCCAGATGTAGGTGAAACAGGTAACAGTGTACCAGATATAGGTGGAACAGATAACAGTGTACCATACGTAGGTGTAACAGATAAGGTGTACCAGATGCAGGTGTAACAGGTAACAGTGTACCAGATATAGGTGTAACAGTTGTCAATTTACCAGATGTAGGTGCAACAAGCAAAGTTTACCAGATGTAGGTGCAACAGGTAACAGTGTACCAGATTAAGGTGCACCAAGTGACAGTGTACCAGATGTAGGTGCAACAGGTAACAGTTTACCAGATGTAGGTGCAACAGGTAACTGTGTGTCAGATGTAGGTGCAACAGTTATAAGTTTACCAGATGTAGGTGCAACAAGTAACAGTTTACCAGATGTAGGTGCAACAGGTAACAGTGTACCAGATTAAGGTGCATCAAGTGACAGTGTACCAGATGATGGTGCATCAAGTGGCAGTGTACCAGATGTAGGTGCAACAAGTAACAGTTTATCAGATGTAGGTGCAACTGGTAACAATGTACCAGATGTAGGTGCAACAGGTAACTGTGTATCAGATGTAGGCGCAACAGTTATCAGTGTACCAGATGTAGGTGTAACAGGTAACAGTGCACCTGATGTAGGTGTAACAAGTAACAGTGTACCAGATATAGGTGCAGAAGTTATCAGTTTACCAGACGTAGGTGCAACAAGTAACAGTTTACTAGATGTAGGTGCAACAGGTAACTGTGTACCAGATGTAGGTGCAACAGGTAACTGTGTACCAGATTAAGGTGCATCAAGTGACAGTGTACCAGATGATGGTGCATCAAGTGGCAGTGTACCAGATGTAGGTGCAACAAGTAACAGTTTATCAGATATAGGTGCAATAGGTAACTGTGTACCAGATGTAGGTGCAGCAAGTAACAGTGTACTAGATCTAGGTGCAACAGGTAACAGTGTACCAGATGTAGGTGCAACAGTTATCAGTTTATCAGATGTAGGTGCAGCAGGAAACAGTGTACCAGATGCAGGCACATCAGGTAACAGTGTACCAGGTGATGGTGCATCAAGTGACAGTGTACCAGATACAGTTGCATCAGATAATAGTTTACCAGGTAACAGTTTACTGGACAGGTGCTCTTGCTGGGTGTATGATTTTCTACTTAGAAATGGCCTGATTTTATTCACACTGCATGTAGATTTAGTGAAAAGCATTTTTATTAATTAGAAGTGGCCACTGCAGTTCATATTCATTTGCACATTTTAGATGTATAAGTAGGTAGGTCAAGTGTTGTCCAACCAATATCTTGTGAACCCTTTGCTTGACAGACATCAAACTTGGTACACTGGTATTGCCTAAGGAGAGTAGATGACCCCTGTTGATTTAGAGGTCACAAGGTCAAGGGTCAAACTACACTTGACATAGAAAGATATTGCCTTTCAATTTGCTTTCAGTTAGTCGGTATTTCAATCCTTCGGTAGCTAGACCAATTGTTGTTCAACCAATATTTTGAATACCCTTTGCTGACAGATATCAAACCGATACACTAGTACCCCCCAAGAAATAGATGACCCTTATTTAATTTTAAGTCACAAGGTCAAGGGTCAAACTACCATGGACATAAGAAGATATTGTCAGCTCACTATATCTTAAGAACTTCTGCTTGACAAACTTGGTACACTTGTGTTTCTAGAAGTAGATTCCTATTGATTTTGAGGTCTCAAGGTCCCAAGTCAAGGTTAAACTTTTTTGAATATATGAATGTATTGATACATTGGTACTCCCTAAGAAGTAGATGATTCCTATTGATATTGAAGCCACAAGGTCAAAGGTCAAACTACCATGGAAAAAGGAAGATATTTTCAACTCACTATATCTTGAGGTCACAAGGTCCAAAGTCAAGGTTCAACTTTTCTGGATGTAGAATATATTGTCTGCTCAATAATTTGTGGTTACTTTGCTTGATAGAGGTCAGAATTGGTATACTGGTACCAGCTAAGAAGAAAATGACCCCAATTGATTTGGGGATCATAAGGTCAAGATTCATTCTTCTCTAGACATAGGAGGATATTGTCTGCTTAATTTCTTGTGAATGCTTTGCTAGACAGACAAACTTGGTACACATGTACCTTCTTAGGTTAGAACCCCTATTGATCAGTCTCTCACCCGAGGGCATACAAAGCTATGGTACAACAAATACATATATATATATATAATATATATATATATATATATATATATATATATATATATATATATATATATATATATATATATATATATATATACATGTATATATATATATATATATATATATATATATATATATATATATATATATATATATATATATATATATATATATATATATATATATATATATATAGCATCATGTCAGTAGAATACACACTATGAGTTGAGCTGGTGGGAATGATAACTCTGGGTAGAGATTGCCTATTGATATTGATGACAGAGGTAGCATTCCTTATAATGAAGTGTCCATTGGTTTTCAAATTACATTACAGAAATTCTAGATTTAAAGTTCATTCTTTTCATTATTGCCACACAGGGGTATAATTTCTTGTTTTACTTTATATTACCATTGTCAATACTGATTTTTTTTGTAGGTTTGTTGGGGTACCAATTAACGGTACAGCTTAGATCCTTAAGGAAAGCACATTGGGATGACCAGTTTAGGAATATTGACTGTAAGGATGGAAGCATAAATGGAGGTTATGCCATCTTTTCAGTTGTACGTCCTGACCAACGGATAAAAATAAATATAGAGGATTCCTTGTACCCTTGGAAAACAGATGCCTTTAAAGGGAAAGTGAAAGTAAAGAAATCTGCATATTTTTTTACTGTTGAAAGACTTTACTAAGTATATAATGCAATGTATTAATCATGTGATAGGTTGTGATATGATACTTTTCTTATATTGAAAAAAAATCTTAAATTAACTAGATATCTTAAGTTTTTTTTCATACTGTATACAGCTTTGAATTCACTTGAGGTTATTCTAAATATATTGCAGTTTGCTGTTAGTATATTTTTTCCTGTTTATTTAATGGCCAGATTGAAGATATGGATTGCATTTCATCTATATGTGTGTCCCTTATTCTACTTGTCTCTTTTTCTGCTCTCTATAACTTAATTAGTCTAATTACTCTGAACATTTGATTTAAACATAGAAAACTTTATATTTGGTTAAATTGTAACTTTAGGCCATGTGTCATGACATTGAACCAACATCAATGGAATAAAGTCAATCATCTTTTTGCCAATTATGAGCTCATTATGTTTCTCCATTAAAAATTATTGTAATGGAAAAAACTGTTTACACATCAAATTGTTTAATTGACCTTGTTTTCAAGGTGAAGGCCATCCTTAACCATAAGCTGTTTTTTTGTTTTGTTTTGTTTTGTTTTTTTTTGCCAAGTATAAGCTTAATTCTGATATTTCTTCATTGCAAAGATATGGTCTGAGTAGACTAATTTTTTATCAGGAACTTCCAATTTCCAATCAAATTTCTGTGACCTTGACTTTGTTGTGGAGAATGCTTCATGGCCTTGAATCAAGGTCACCTTCAGTCTGCATTGTTTTGATTCTGTCTGATTTTTTGTCCAGATTGCCAGCTGTGCATTTATGTTTCACAAATGCATCATATTAATCAATTTTTGCTAGATAATAAAAATTTACAGGTCTTTATCACAGCAGAAGGTGCAAAAATAAATCTGGAGCAAAAGTTTACACAGACAGTATATGGATTCAACCTAAGTATTGTTTTCTTCACAGGATGTTATGGTGTTGGATCTAACAATGTTGGATGAAGGAAGCAATGTTTTTTGGACAGCAAGGTACATATCTATCACATCTCACCAGTAGAATTAAGTCTAGAGTGCATGGGTACAATACCAAAGATTAAAACATGATTGTGACGTAAACCTTTTGTTTGTGTTGTCCATTCTATAGCTTAATGTTGAGCTAACTCCTCAAACAATCCATTAAGTTATCTGTAAGTGTCCATTCTTTTTGGAAAACTGTCCATTCTTTTTAAGAATGGACAGTTAAAACAAACAGAATGGAGAGTTACAGGTAAACTTTGAAATGTGTTCAAGAGGGAAACAAAACAAATTTACATGTAAACAACAGAAAGAACACGGAGATCTAAGCTAATCCAGAACACAATGTCTGCACAGGATCCACTTGATTTCATGAATAATGTACATTATTTCAATACTCAAAACTCAATTTTCACAGAACTTGATTTCAAATGACACAATTTCACATTTGACTTTTCGGAAAAATTACTCCCTCGAGGAGAATTCATTTTAAGATGGAAGTACGTCTAATATTAAATCCTCCACCCAGAAAACAGTTTGCTCCATGAACACTTCACTGCTGCAGTTAATATTTCTGTAGAAAATAATTAAAAATGAAACGTCTCCAGATTTGATTTGTAAAACATTTCGAAGATTGGCTCATGGCTAACCCAACATTTAGAACACAATATGCATTTCACCAGTACACTGCTGCAGTTAATATATCCTCAAAAATAGAATTCAAATAAAACATTTCCAGGTTTGATTCAAATTTGATTATCTGTATCTGTTGGAGAAGTTCACTTTTGGGTCAGAGTTTGGCTAATATTTCTTTTATTTTTACTCTTCTGCATGTTTCCAGATCCAAATATCACCAATTTTATGCATATTTTGGTTTATTAGATTTTGATTCTGTCATATACTCTCTCCATCACAGGAAAACATGTATGCCTTTACAACGCAAACTATAAACTGATTTTGAAGCATGGCATACTTGTATAAATACTAGTGTATATCCCCCAAAATCCACCTGTATCTGTCCATTCTTAAGACAAAGACCTTTTGTTATTTGCATCTGCCCGAAACACAATGGTTATTCAACAAATTGCTCTGCATCCCTAGCTTACCTATGATTGTCCATTCTGTAAACAATGAATTTGTCATTGTATGTGTGCTACCTGTCATATCTGCAACCAGTTTTGTAATTTTTTTTATTTCATTTTCAGAACAAAGGAAATCATGTTTTAAGTAGGAGAAAGGCCGAAAACTGTCCATTCTGTGAGAGAAAGAACTAATCTCGGGCCTATGGCCCTCGATTAGTTCTTTCTCTCACAGAATGGACAGTTTTCGGCCTTTATCCTTTACATAAACAGTGTTGTGTACAATACTTAGAATTAGCAGTATACCGGTACTTGGATACATGTATTTTGATATTTAGGTTTAATTAATTATCTTTTTTTCAGTTCTTTGGTGAAAATTGAAAGAAATAAAGACATTTCAAAAAGTATGTGATCTATTGGCATTTGAATTTTTGTTGACACATTTTTACTATGATGAAAAAAATAAGTAAAATTAACTTGTGTTTTTAACTCACCTGAGCTGAAAGCTCAAGTGAGCTTTTCTGATCACCCTTTGTCCATCGTCTGTTCATCTGTCTGTCCGTCCGTCCGTCTGTAAACTGTTCACATTTTCAACTTCTTCTCAAGAACCATTGGACCAATTTAAACGAAACTCAGTACAAAGTATCCTTGGGTGAAGGAAAGTTTAAATTGTTAAAATGAAGGACCAAGCCCCGTTACAAGGGGAGATAATCAAAAGACAAAAATAGGATGGCATCAATAAAAAAAATCTTCTTCTCAAGAACCACTGGGCCAGAAAAGCTTAAACTTATGTGGAAGCATCCTTAGATAGTGTAGACTCTAAATTGTTCGAATCATGACCCCCTGGGGAATCCAATTTTTACATTGAAATATCCAGAAAAAAATCTTTAAAAATCTTCTCCTCAAGAACCACTGGGCCAGAAAAGCTGAGACTAATTTCGAAGCATCTTTGGGTAGTGTAGATTTTAAATTGTTCAAATCATGACCCCCGGGGGTAGGGCGGGGCCACAATATGGAATCCAATTCTTAAATTGAAATATAAAGAAAAAATCCTTAAAAAAATTTCTTCAAGAACCACTGGGCCAGAATAGCTGAAACTTATGTGGAAGCATCCTGAGGTAATGTAGATTCTAAATTATTCAAATCATGACCCTGGGGGGTTGGGTGGGGCCACAATAGATATTATTACAAGGGGAAGATCTGGTGAAGAACCACTGGGCCAAAGCAACTCAGGTGAGTGTTGTGGCCCATGAATCTCTTGATTGTTTTTTTAACATGAGCATTAGTGTAAGTATTCAATAACACTCATTTTTAGAGATTTCTTCAATAATGATGTTTAATGTTTTACAATCAATTGCTTTGTTCTAATATAATCAATATCTTTCATCTTTAAGAATGTCTCTTCAATCCTCTAACTTTGTTTTACATTTTTAGCCTTCTGAGCCACAGGCTCGCAAGGTCAGTTGATGCATCATGCTCTTGAAGTATATTAACCAAAAGGTAGGTCACAGTGACCTACTTTTGATATTTCACATTTATATCTAAATATTCCGGATAATAGGAGGCTTAGAATCATAAAACTTTGTCAGTTCATACATCTTGGATTCTTAGAGTATTTTAACAAAAAAAATAGGTCACCGTGACCTTTCATTGGAATTATGAAGTTTCATCTCATTATTTAGGATACTAAGAGTGTTAGAATCATCAAACTGGTAATTGACTCATTTAGGTCCTCAAATTGTGTGAACCAAAAAGTAAGTCACAATGATGTACTTTTGGAATAAAGCTATATCTAGATATTACAGATAATAAGAAGCTTGGAATCATCTTTATCTCAATATTGACAATACTGAGAGGTTTAGAGTAGAAATGATGAAGTTATGCAATTTATCAGAAGAGCGAATCTAGGCCCTTTGGCATCTTGTTTATGAATAGAGTGTATATCAGAAAGACTGTATTAAGGGGGCCGACTGGGGTTTTCATTGCGCAATACTTCGCGCAGCATAGTAAAATAAAGCGTATTTACTCTTTTAAAGCAATTAGTGTTACATAATTTATTAAAATTAATAAATCTAGGAAATTTCTGGTTAAAAATTCTAATTACGTTTTTAAATAACTGATTTTTTTATACGATTTTTGAAATGATGGGTAGATAGATGTGTTTTTGACATTATGAATAACCGAAGTTCTTTAAGAGGGGTCATTAATTATGCCATAAAATAAAAAGTATAAAATTTATGCTCTTGAAATTTTAAACATAGGAAATTGAGAATCTCACAATCATTTTTATAATTTTTCAAGTAAATCTGTGGTATCTGTCATATTTTGTAGTATGCCATAAAAACAGGAAAATATCATGAATTTTGACATTTTGAGATGCCCCCTCTGGAAACCAGATGGTAGAATTTTGTGTTTCTTGCATAAAATGTACAATGTAGTATTACTCATCAAATAATATAATCTGAGCAAAAAGTCTATAGTAGTATTTGTATAATTCGCTCCGAAGTGCGAAAAGAGGGTATTTTCCTATATAATCCTATAGTAAATGTACCTGTATTTTGAGATGGTCCCTAAAAAATAACCAGATGGTAGATTTTCACTAAACTTGGCATGTATACTGAAGTCAATGTAAGGTACATATGGTATAAAATTTAAGAGTTTCTCTATAGTAGTTTTCACACAATAAAACCCCAGTCGGCTCCCTTAAATAAAATTCTGATTTTGTTGTGCTGAATTATTTTCAGTGTTTGATTTTGACTACCGATATGATGGCATCATGTCAATAGAATATGCAGATCAGAAAGGGAAATTGTATCTCCAAATTTGTAAAGTAAGTTTTCCTTAAAATGCAGGAAAATTCTATTCATTTTTATCAACTGCTTTTAGTGCCATAGTGAGAGTAACAAAAATCTGAATTTTGTAAAGACATTGAATGCCACAGTTCTTTTGTGAGAATAAAAATATTAGTGCAAAACCTTAAAAGTATAGGAAGATGTCCACAGATCTGATGAATAAATACATTGTTAATCATATGATATTATCATTATAAATAGGTACCTATGATTTGATGTTTCATAATTCATATTTGTTTAGATGGACACAGGAGAAATGTTTCTGACAAATCTGACTGTAAGAGTCGCATTAGAAGTGATTAATGAGAGATTTGGAACAAACTATAAATCTACTGACAAGTGATCTGTGATAGATTTTGAACAAACTATAAATCTACTGACAAGTGATCTGTGAGAGATTTGGAACAAACTATAAATCTACTGACCAGTGATCTGTGAAAGATTTGGAATAAACTATAAATCTACTGACAAGAGATCTGTAAACCTTTTTTTTAAACAAACTACATGTATTAAACTGATCACAAGTAATATGTGAGATTATATTTGCCTTTATTCACTTTACATATATACATGTATACAGCAAGTGAAGTTGTATCCTGTGGACACATGGTGCTACATGTATTAACTTTTGACAGTGAGTCTTTATCTCACGTGAGGTCAGTCTCTGAGAGGACATATTGTCATCCAGTGTCAATCCATTATAAATGATCATCAATCTTGTTTTTATCTTGCTCAAAAAAATATTGTGGAATCTTAGAGATTAAAACGTCCAGCTTAAGTTTAAACCTTTCGTTTATTGGAGTTCCATATGCTTTCAAAAAAAATCAAAACTTTGAATTCAACACACTTCTACTCCTAAGCATGCTGTGAATTCAATGAAAAATACTAGATGTGTTACATGTACTTATATATATATATATATATATATATATATATATATATATATATATATATATATATATATATATATATATATATATATATATATATATATATATATATATAATGAGTAGTAATAAATAAGGTTAATAAGTGTGTCACATATTACTTTATTCATGTAATTTACATTCATGTGTGTGTTACACTAAAATCTTAGTAGAGACAGAAAATATAACAATACAGGCTACTTGTATGTAGACAAAGCCATTTAAGTTTTTGTATCATGGATAGTTTTATGTCCGATACAAATTGTTGTGGTAGAAGTTTTTTTAAGTACTTGATGGTCAGCTACAATGCACTAAATAACAGTATTTGAATATGTATTAATGATTATGTACATCTAGAATCACAGCTCAATGTTGTATCTCAAGGGAGAGGAGATCATCAAGGAATTATAATCATTGTAAACATGTTATATATAAAAGTACTGGCATACAATCAATAGTATAGCTGCTGCTGCTACTGGAATATACTTGACCTAAATCAAAAAGTCAAGGAAGGGCAGACTGTGGATAAACTGATAGTGTGTTTTATTTTATATATAAAGATTTGCTGACTAGATAAGTCTGAATTTTTTCAGTCTTAGTGAGAAAGACTTTTTTCTCTCACCAAGATACTTGTAGATATATTACTAGAAGTAAGCCCCCTAAAGACTGGATACATGTATGTGAAACTAAAATGGACCTGGTGGCTTTTTTAATGCATAAAGTAGGTCCAAGGCACAATGAAAATGCAACTTATTATAACCACCTATATGGATCATTATTAAAAATAAAGCACTAAGACAAACAGGGATAAGAAGGCTTTTATACATTTGTATTTAATCAGGAACAAACCTTTTCCATTAAACAAACAAAAAATACACAGACAGAAACACAAAATAGACCCTAGTCACATGTTTAATACATGAAAGCTTTATTTGCACACTTTCAAACATAACCAGGATTATAAAAGCAAAAAGTACATTATTCTATGACTCATTGTTACAATTCAAAGCCAAACAAGCCTAATGTCAATTTCATCTTACAAAGAGTTTCACCAGAAATCATGTGAACAATCACCTTTTCATGTGAAATTCACCAAGAAAAGTTTTATAACTCTCTCTTTTTATTACAAAGTTTTTCTAAAAATATTATTTGTACCTAAATTGCCAAATGAATGAAATTACGATGACAAATTCTTGTGAGGTACTAGTATGTGTACATAGGAAAAATTGTACAAATAACAGTCATTACAAAAATACAGTTTTATATAAATGTATTATATACAATCAAATACAAATACGTGTAAGAAGTCAATCTTCAATTTTATCTTATGCATGTGTTGCTAGAATCCATCCAATGTTTTATAAACACAGACAACTGTCAAACATCATATAATCTCCCATACCTAGCCTGACAATTTTATGGCACATCATTACATTTCATTATTAAACCTTTTTGTTCCTCAACTATTACTGTAAAATACTTCATGTCTTTAAGTTGTGAAAGGAGAGAAGCATATTTCCCACATAATAGTCATGGACGTAGGCTAGGATGGCGACAGGCTGTCCTAGAATTAATGACAACCACACAATCATGTTCCCAACCTGATGACGCCCTTTACAGAACTTTGCTGTCAACATTGCTAGTGGTACCTGAAAGGTTTTTAAAAAAAAATTCAATAATTTTTATAAAATTCATATTTATGTTGGTAACAATATTGTTAATCTACAACTCCTTGTTCTTACCTGAGAAAGCATGGCAGTAAAGGCCCAGACCCGGAACATTCTAAGAGGAACACTTACTAAATACTGTAAACAAAAAAAAAAACACTAAATACTGTAAACAAAAAAAGGCTTCAATTGTCAAAATGTTTCTGAAAATGACAAAAATAACAACCACTAAAGTACAAAAATGGATCAAAATCAAACATACTGTACATATCTATGTAGTAAAGCCTATACAAGAACTAACCTCATGGAAAAAAGCTGACGTCGCAAACACTGCTACAGAAGCCACCTGTTTTGATACACCTCGTCGAAGAAGGGGTTTGTATAAATGTCTGAAAAAAAAAGGGAGGAAAGCTGAATTACTAGACTCTAGACTCAAATCATTTCTGATCACATAGAAAAATCAAAATAGAAAGTTTCATGTTTTGGCTAATTACCTGAGTGCCCATCTGTGGACAGGAACATTCCAGTTTTGCCAGAATTCAGAAATAGAATCAGAGTTCCTGCAAAACAAATCAGAGAGTGAAGACTCTGATTTCAATCAAACAAATTACAGGTAAGGAATGCCACTCAATAGAGAATGAAGACTTTAATGTAACCTCATAATAAGAAAGAAGTTACAGGTTACAGAAAGCCACTCATGAGAAAGTGAAGATTGTAAAATTACAGGTAGGGCACTCACCACCAGTCTTTATAGAATTCTCTGTCTCCAAACCTCAGCAGTTCTGCTGTAACATTCAGGCAGGAATGGAAGAACCAATAGAAAAAGATCAGCCAAATGAGATGGTTGGGAATCTGAAACAGAATCCACATTCAACTTACACACATGCAAGTATTATTTAAAACAATAGCCTATGACTGACAAATCAACAACATTTGTAAAGGTTTGTCTACTTACAGCTAACTTCAGTAGTCTTTCAATCACTAATGGAATTTCCATGTCAGTTAAAGGTTTCAGGGAATTGTTTACTGTTGGAATGATCCACTGAAACAAGGAACAAGTATCAAATGTAGGCATTAAATCTCTGGTTCCATCTCTAATCACTTACAGATGTCAGGATTTTTTCTCTGCTTTATTTTCAATTAAACATTTAATGAGCCATTTGTAATCAATGTCTTATGACAGAGTTAACACATATGCAGATTTAAAAATAATTTAATAATAAGCTCATTTCAAAATGTGTACACTGAAGAGAGAACACGTCAAAAGAAAACATAAATTAAATTTTCCCAGCATACAGTGTCTTGCTTAGATATCTCAATCTTTTATTATACTGATCTATTCTAAGTACCCGGTACATGTGAGATATAAATCCCTACCTGTTGTACTAAGCCTGTCATCAGCTGGGCCAGAACCATCTGAAAAGTGTCAGATAGGGAAATTTTAAAATACATGTCAATTTCTGTCCATAGTGTTCTTAATCTAAATACACAATTTAGATATATGCCATTAGCTGTTGTCTTACCATTTCTATGATTCTTTTAAGCAGAAATCTTTTCCTGATTCTAATAGTTCTGGGGAAGTTCAGTTCATAGCACAGAGTAGGTGCACATATAAAGTAGTACATATCTGAAAATGAGGAAAAATATTCGTGGACAATATTTAGAAGTGCTAAAAAAGATAAATATCTACTATAAGAAAGCCTACTGGTAATTAACAAGAGGCCCATGGGCCACAACACACACCCAATTCACTATGGCCCCTACTGTTCTTCATCAGCAGATTTTTCCCCTATATATTCCTACCTGGTATGTAAAACTTTTGATTGCCTAATTAACTTACCCTACCCCCTGGGGTTATTGTTTGAACAAATTTGAATTTACACTATGTAATGAAGCTTTCATATAAGTTTCAATTATTCTGGTTCTTTGAGAAGAAGATTTTTGAAAGATACTACATGTATTGAATTTTCATTAATTCTTAATCATCTCCCCTAGAAAGAGGGTGTTGCCCTTCATTTGAAGAATCCCCTTCATCTAATGATGCTTTGTGGCAAATTTGGTTGAAATTGGCTAGTGGTTCTTGAAAAAAAGTCAAAAATGAGAAAAGTTTACTGAAGGATGGATGGACAGACGGATGGATAGATGGATGGACAGCAGACAAAACATGATCAGAAAAACTCACTTGTGCTTTGAATTCAGGTGAGCAAAATATATATTCTAATCATGATAGGCTGTATATATCTTTCAAATGATTTATCAGTCTATGTAAAAACAGTGAATTAGATATCTACATGTAACTACATTGCCTGTAGACCTGTATGTGAACAAACCTACCACTGAATGTGAGATTATCCGGGTAACTAACAAAGGTTGTCTTCACCTCCCCATTCACCATGTCTTTTGTATCTGTATAGAACAAAAGAAAAGGTTAGAAACAAGGACACAAACTAAACTCTATATAAAATATATGTATATTAATTATATATGTCTTATTAGCATTTATTAAAGATAATCTCCATCTGCTGTAATCTTTTGTATGTTTCTTCTTTTTTATCATGTTGCTGCTATTTATTTTTTTCTTCTTTTGTGTGCTGCTCTTTACTTGTATGCCCATTAAGGGCCCTAAATTGGTCTCAATAAATCTTATCTAGGCCAAACAAAAAAATATGTGTGGTTCCGGTTACACTTCCAAAAAAAATTAGGGTAGGTAGGTAGGGATTTTTTTTTTTTTTAACAAAATGATTTTCTTCATTTTTTCTAAATAATACCTATCACTGCTTTGCAAATGGCATTTAGATGTGGTGTGATAATATACTAGTCAATATTGGTAGGGGACACCTACATGCTAGCTTGCTTTGGATTTAACACTATTAAACACTTGCACTATGTTTTGCAAGGAGGCTGTCATTGCTGAACCTAAAACTTAAACTGGAGCCATTGATGGAAATCGGGGGAAATTCCGGAAAAAATATGAAAATTGCCAAAAAAAAGTTTAGGGTCGGGGGTATAAAATAGGGAAGGTCGGGTAACCGGAACCACATATATTTTTTTATTTGGCCCTATCTTATCTGTATTCAATAATTTATACGCAACCATTGAGATTTTTTTAAAGGTTCCGGTTTATACCAGAATCCTCTGAGACTAGACACAGATACATACCCCCTGGTTCTGACATGCTGACGTGTCTACGGATTGATCTTTTGACCTCTGACCTCTTCTGGCGACACCACATATTGACACAAACATAGGAGACCAGCTTCAAGAACACAACACTGGTAACCCCACATGTCAACACAGAAAACCCTATATCACACAATTAAATCTGATATAAGTTCATTTATTACACTCGCATTAACAATCAGTGGTAAATGAAGTAAAGTATTTAATAAGTTGTCATAGTTCAATAGTGGAAAAAAATTAAATATATCATTATGATACAATTACATAAAAGTGAGGCATATACATGTACACAAAATACAGCAACAAACATAATGAGAAAAGAAAGCAAAGGAATGAGGACATGTAAATTATGAAGGACAGACGGCATTGTTTATTTTAGATATAGCCATGCTCATTTTCATATTCATTTTCATGTACATAACTTATTAAGATGTACATTTACCTGGATTCGGATGGACATACAGAATCACAGTGGCTGGTACTATCAGACACAGCAGGAGGTTGATCACATTGAAAACCAGCCCCACCTTTTCTGGCAGCCATTCCTAACAAAAGAATGTGCAGTTATAATGTAATTTAATCACGTTAATATATAGTGCTTTTATCTTTTAAAAAAAAAGAAGAAGAAATAATGAAGACAGGATTTCCTTTAATGATTAAGGTTTTTTTTTCTCATTTTAAATTGTGTATGCATTTAATATGCAATTATATTTTACTCAGATTTAGTTTAAAAAACTGATCATTACTGTCTCCTTAAGTATTCAAATTGAAAATATATATCAAATATTGCATGTCATAACTTATATTCTCAACAAAACATCTACGTATTTATACATTAACACTTACCTTTGATAACAAAACTTCCACTGTAAATGTTACCAATATGTAAATATTTGTACCTGAAAAATAGCATATTGTACATATAATATATAAATTACAATCTCATATAATTTGACACATATAGTTATACTGTTATCTATGTATAGAAACTACATGTAATTTGTACAGAGAAGAGAAACTGAATACTCACAAAACAGAAGTAATGCATTTGGCCAACTGTATGGCTCTGCTAGGAAATACTGGATAACTTTGAATGGGTCAATCAAAATTCCATACCTGCGAATAAAAAGATGTTTTGATGATAAATAAAATAATGAAGTTCATTTGAAAAATAATGTTTTGAACATGCTGAAAATGTGCAATTAATACTAAATCAAAGTGTGCCAATATTTCATACTTACTTTAACAAATTTTCAATTAACAATCTTGCATTGGACAGCACCTAATTAAAAAGAGTGTTATATTAACTGGTATCAAAATTATTCATATACAGTGTTGATAATGAATCTAGGTAAATTATAATTAGCTATATTGCTTTGTATTTTAATTTTAAATGCATAATTAACATCCTCTTAAAATCCAGAATTGCATTTGTTTCTGACAGGTGTATATGATACACAACTAATACAATGTCCCTAATACATACGGTATATACATGTAGTACTGTAGGTGAATAAGTTGGCAAAATGTAGCAGTGCAAACCAAAATGTTCACAAATAAAAAGCCTTTGGTCTTAATTTTCACTGGAGTATCATGCAGCAACATTTTTTCTAGACAAAGCTTTTAACATAAGCCATTTTTATCTCAGATGCAAGATTCATTTGATCCTCTGTTAAAAACATGGCTTCAACAAAAGTTTTATACTTTTCTCCCAGTAACCTTGACCTTGTGAAAATGTCCTTAAATCAAGTGTTTGTCCACTTTGTGTGGTTGGGATCTAGGAGTATGCTATACGTATTTGTCAAAGGAGGAAGTTTTAAATGTTTTTTTTTTCTTTTCAAGTTTTAGTCCTACATGTTAAGAAGAATTTCAAACTTTCAATTCCAATGACCTTGACCAATCAACAAAAATGAAAACCATTAGTCCAAATGTCTTCAGTGACGAGGGGTTGTTTGTTTTTGGTAAAGGGGCCTGTTTTTTTGTTCAGTTCCAAATCTCTTGTCCTTGAGTAAAATTATCTGTGTTGTACTTTATCTCAATCATTCAAGGTAGAATATTGAACTGATTACTACTGCCAAGATCTTATCTCTTAAACTAAAATGTCAACAACCGACCTCAATCTAAGTTCAAGATTGCATTTTATATATCTCCTTGAGATACAAAAAAATGAGGTTACAAAAAAAATGCACAAAAATAAGTAGAAACTGAGCATCTGGGATGAACATTAAGTGATTTTGTTGTTCATACCACTTTAAACTTGTTAAAATGCTTTTATCAAATTAATACATTCTAACCAGGAAGTTGATCAACTCCTCTCGCCTCTGATGTAGTAAATGGTCTATATTACATCTTTGTGTCTGTCCTTTAACACACAGCTAGACAAGCTATGAAACAATTATTCCCTTCACATCTGAATTTCAAAGTATAGATGTAAAGAGGGGGAGAGGGGTATATCACATAGCATGTCTGGTCCCTGTGGTACAACAGTACCTACTGACTTTATATTCACAACATAGAAAGGAGAAAGTTAAGGGAAAACAGTCCTTCGATTTTGGGATCATTAGGTCTTACATCTTAGTAACATTGTTAATCAACACTCATATGACATGACATCTCAAATATTTTCAAAACATATTATTATTAAATCATTTTACATGTTTATTTGCTAAATTAAAAGAGGATTGTTGAATAATATTGTTATTTATATTGCTATTTTAATAGTTACATAAATATGCAAAAATATAGTGAAAGTGTTAATGTTCAATACAGATACATGTACAAAGTTATTTCATGTTTTGTTTACCTTCAATTTACAGTAACATACATTAAATTGTGCTGATCATACAGTTTATAAAATGAAATAATGTATGTAGCATTTTTCTAGAGCACAAGAATATTAATTAAGAAGAGTTAAATTTCACTGACTATTTTAAATGATGTGACTAAATCACTATTAATATGAAGGCTTTATTAGCATTATTTGTGTTAAACCATTCAAAGATTGCATTTGTCAACTGTTTAGTCTCAAGGTTATTACCTTGGAACAGGGAACAAATGTAATTTATTTTCTTAAAGACTGTTCAACTTTCTATGCAAACAAAGTGCCTTTATTCCATGATAACATATAACCCTGGAACATGACCTCTTAGTCAACTGTTCTGAGAACTCTTTTTTCAAGGTCTTGTTTACTCCTTAAATTTCAGAAGTTAAAAGTGAGGATTATAATTGGTAAGGGGCCTCAGCATTTATGCAAATTTTCTCATGCTGGTTTGTTTACTAGTATCACCTGATAGGCCATTCAAGCAAAACACTCTTTTTATGCCCCCGGATCGAAAGATCCCGGGGGTATATTGTTTTTGTCCTGTTTGTCTATTTGTCTGTTTATCTGTTTGTCCGTTTGTCTGTCTGTCTGTTGTCAACTTTCACCTTGCCCATAACTTTTGATTGGTTGGAGCTATGACTTTCATATTTCACTTGTGTACTCCTTGTGACAAGACCTTTCTTTGGGTACCATCATATTTGACCTTTTGACCTTGACCTTGGAGTTTGACCCACTTTTGCAAAATTTTATGAGACTTTAACCTTGGCCATAACTTCTGAACAGTTGGTGCTTGGGGTTTCAAACTTCACATGTGTATTCTTTGTGACAAGGCCTTCCTTTGGATACCAACAACTTTGACCTTTTGACCTTGACCTTGGAGTTTGACCTACTTTTGAAAAACTTTAACCTTGGCCATAACTTTTGAATGGTTGGAGCTAGGGCTTTCATACTTCACATTTGTAATCCTTGTGACAAGATCTTCCTTTGGATACCAACCACCATTTTGACCTTTTGACCTTGACCTAGGAGTTTGACCTACTTTTGAAAACTTTAACCTTGACCATAACTTTTGAATGGTTGATGCTAGGGCTTTCAAACTTCACATATGTAATCCTTGTGACAAGACCTTCCTTTGGATACCAACCACTTTGACCCTTTGACCTTGACCTAGGAGTTAGACCACAGGTGTATTCCTCGAGACAAGACCTTTCTTTGGGTATCAACATTTTTTATCTTTTGGCCTGGAATTTGACTTGCATTTGAAGAAACTTTAACCTTCGCCATAAGCTGCCATACAGGGGCATCAGTGTTTCACAAACACATCTTGTTTCTTTTTTTTTTGCCTTAAGAACCCTCTATACACTGCACCTAGAGAGTTCTGATTTTGTGGTATTTTTATGCAGATAGAGTGATCTGCCCTTTGATCAAGAATAAAATAAATTGAAATGTACAGTTTATTACTTAATTTGCGATCAAATCAAGCATTCGTAACACTTTAATATGCCAAGATGAATAGATAGAACACTTCATGTGCAGGTATTTTGCCCACTTAAGTAAACAACAGTGATTTATGCTCATCAGTACTTCATTGTCTTTGAACATTTTTTCTGGGGGTAAATGCAAGGCACCCTGTGCTGAAAATGTGATAGATAAGCTCAATGCTTACACCTTTACATGCTATAATTTTCTCAATGTCCAAAAAATATTTTCCTCTAGTGTATAGAGGGTCCTTAAATCATGAAACATTTCTCTCAAGTAAGAATTTTCTTTTCTTTACAGTTCTCCATCACATTTCCAGTATATGTCCCTATACAATAAATAATCTATACTGTATACATCCTTTTTACATATAAGCATAGGAATAATGATGAATAAACCAGTTTGATTATCAGTACATCTGATAAATCCAGATCTTGAACCTAAACAGTAAGGAATCAATGCTAATTCACATATTATTTTTTATGGTACATTAAAAAACCTTGAATGTAGGTAATCTTCTAGAGCGGCACATTTATAAGTTCATAATTAACTGCCACCTCTGGCTCTTGTATAACGCAAAGGTCCAGTTCAAGTATGCATAACTTATGACAATCTTTAATCAAAACTTAATGTAACAAATATCAATTTTCATTGTCTATGCTAAAGAAAATGTATTAATTTTTATATATATATATATATATATATTTTTTTTAATGTTCAATATATACAATTCTTATAACTATTAAATTTTCCAGTGAATCAACACTGCAGTCAAACTACTAATCTTCACCGATATTAAGATTAAGATGGTAATTATATCAGCCCTAATGTCCTTAACCTTTACTAACAGGGGCTCTAAATGTCTGAAGGTCAAAGCAGTGTTCAACCAGTGTTCACGCAGTTATCAAACTATTATGTCTAAATGCTTATACAATGCACTGTACTCCAAATAAATAAAAGATAAAAAAAAAACTTTTATTGTAGACATGTAGTAATCATCAGTTTATAAAGAAAAATTACCATCTATGCAAAATAAATTATATAATGCACAATCTATAGTAAAAATGTTTGAGAAACTTAACAAAAACTTCATTTCATAACAAAAATAATGCACAACTCTCTCTTACTTATCTACTGTGTAATCATAATATTTAAATAGAAGAGACATGCAGTTCAATTTATAGCCCATATTTTCTGATGGTGTAATCAGTACACTTATGAATACAATGTAATCACTTACCAACAGAAGAATGCACAGGTTTAGTAGCCCTCTGTAATTTGTGAATCCACTGTCAGTTGTAAATAAAGAGTCCGCATGTTTGTGGATTCTGGAAAAAAAATTAAATAACTTAAAAATATAATAACACTATTTCATAAAATTTAACAGACCATATATTAACAAAAAGAAACAAATGTATACATCATGAAGATTTCATGCAGATAAAACTCTGGCTAGGTAATGGTATTCATTAAATTTTAAATCATGATATAGGTCCGGCACAATCTCTTGATTAAGCTATATATACCTTGAATTAGCTATATAGCTTTATAAAGCTGTTTAGAATAGCTTGGTTTAGTTATTTCATCACACCTTTTTCTTAAATTGTTATTTTTTCAGCATGTACAAAAAGTCCCATCTTGGTGCAGTGATAGTATTCAACTTTGAACCCTTCTGAAAACAATTAATGCATGTAAAAATTGCTCATTAAATTGCATCTCCTTGAGAGACTTTGTAATCAAATTTTTAAAGTTCTGGGACTTGATTTGTGACCACACAGTTACTTTTTGAATGAAATTATAAAGGAAGTCAATTCTTGTCAACAAGATAATTGATTGGTAATAATTTGAAGCAATCATACTTATTCATGCCCCTATACACACAAGGTGTGTGCAGTTATCCAAACAAAGGAAATGCATGATTAGATGCATGCACTTAATAAACAGATAAACACTGTATGTTGACTGATTGATTGTATATTGTTTAACGGAGAGTCAGCAGTATTTCAGCCATTCTTCAGCAGTATAAACACTATGAAAATAAACACTAAATGAAAGTACACTGGAAGTGTTGAAGTACTTAACCAAGATGAAGAAGAGAGCAATTTTTCCCTCTGTATTCCAGGAATTAGATAAAATAAGAATTTGAAGAAATGAAGAGACAAACTTGGAACTTAATACCCTTGGCAACTTTATCCAGAAAATAAAAAAATAAAAATTCAACTAAATTACTTTTCAAAAATCTGACTTACAATCCTTTAACTTTCAGAGATGTCAGGACATACTCTGGTTCCCGCAGAAATGATGGAATCCACTTTGTCCAAAAACTACTGTATCTTACATCATGATCTTGAACTTCATCTTTTTCTTCTTTACTTATCTCTGATCTATTTTCATTTAGTTTTAAATGTTCTTCACATTGATTGGTAAGGTCAAACTTATTTCCAATTTTGTCATTAATATTTTCAACTCGATTTGCATCACATTTCTTGCAAGTGACATCAGCTTCTGCAGTTGCAGTTGACAAGGAATTAATATTGTTCCTGTTTTCTGAGTCACTGAGTTTAGATCTTTTTCTCTTGTAAACATTTTGTGCATTTATCTCTATTTCAGAATTATTGTTAATATCACCTATGGCAAATCTTTCATGAAATTTGTAATTATCTGTACTTTCAAAAAATCTTCCTGATTTTCTCTGCAGTCCATCTGGTAGGACACTGTCTGAAATCCTATGGTTTTCAATCAACATTTCCCTGATTTACAGCCAACTATCAAATGCAATATAGAAACACACCAGTGCAGGAAGTACGTAGACTCCTCTCTATTGTGCAAAGCTTCAACAAAAGTCTGAAAAGTGCACTAATATTTCCATACTCGAAAGAGCTCCTTTCAATAGTGAGGAACAATGTTCAATACGATGCGAGAACAAGATTTTATATGTGTGGGGAATGTGTTTACTTGGTTCTGGCATTCAGCATTAAATGCACGTGCAGTCACTACTGAATGGTCCTCAAGATACATGATACATGCGTGAGAGCTATTTATAAACTGGAATGGTCAACGCGTGGGATTTACCTATGCTGTAACTGAACCGTGACGCGGTCAGGTGTCAACAGACAACACGCAGTAGATGGCTGTGTAAACAACTAGATCTACGTATATTTAAACCCTTAAAAAACTTACGGTTTGTCTGGCTCGTTTTCCTTATGCCTTTGCTGTTCTTTGCTGACGGCTTCAACGTGATTAAAACTTATTGTTCGACGAAGACGAGTACTTCCATCACTTCTGGGTTTTTTAATACCGGACTTTGTTGCCATTTTTACCGGAAGCACTCATATGTAAATGACTGCTTATATCATATAAAAAAGAATTATCATTTTATCCAAATCATTAAAAAAGTTTCCCAAACATGCATGTTGAATGTATTATTATTGGTAAATTAAACAAATATTATGAAAAAAAAAATGTTTTGTTTCCTGTGGATTATTTATCAGTCACTGATTTAACAATGATACAAGGGGCAAGGGAGAGTTGTCTGCTTAGACGGTAGTGATTTTCATAAATGACGTGTAAGAATAATGTTTACGAGCAGACATGGTGATTGAAAGAAGAGCCAGTAGGTCAAAAAGAGACAAACCAGCACGGAGAACCAACTCAGTGGACGCAGATGGTGCTGAATGTGTTCAAAGTTCAAAGGATCACGAAAACGGTATCTACAACGTACCTGAATATTATAGTGAAAAATTGCACTGTATTTTATGAGGTACTGATAAATATTGACTTCAATGAGTAGTTCATGATCACACATGACTGGTTTATGCATAGGCGTAGTCAACGACGTTCAGAGGTTTTTATGTCACTGACGATTTGCAAAAATAGCGTCAGGTGTACTGGTAGTAAGAATAACTGTGTCTCGGGACAAGCCCTCACCGGGTCCGTAGGACAATATCATTTTAACGATAGAACGTTCTATCTAGTGTACGAGGTACTGTACATATACTGAAAATTAATATCCTCCAAGGGTAGAATTTACTTTAACGGTCCCCAGATCTGCAAGACCTGTGCGCCCATTGCACTATGACGTATGATCTATGTTACTCAACTGATAAGGGTTAGTCTTGCACATTTTTGACTGGTTAGGGTTAGTTTTGCACCCACCTAAGAGATTAGGGTTAGTCCTTGCACAAGTATTCAACATTAGGGTTTATAGTATCGCATCCATCCGAGAGATTAGGGTTAGTCCTCGCACATTATTTGACTGATTAAGGTTAGTCTAGCATCTGCCCGGAATATTTGGGGTGAGTCCTCGCATACCATCCCAGAGATTAGGGTTAGTGATTTGCTCTTTTAGATAAATTAAGAAATTCAGTTGCTTCTGTATTTTTTCTAGATCTTAATTCAGCTTCAACGGCATTTCGTTGGTTTGTTTACATGAAAAAATGGCTAAGTACAAAAGAAACGACACTAAGCATGCGCCACACGCACTTCGTTAACAATTAATTTTTTGTCGATTTTTCAATGAATAAACAATATTCATTAATTTTTTTCAGAGAACGCGGTTTAAAACTTCGTTTAAAAACGAAGTTTTAAACTAAAACTTTAAACCGTAGAATTCGATTTTGGGGTCCAAAAGGCCAAAAACCTCATACTTTTTATTTTTTTCGATCGCTCACGCAATCTTATATATATTGAAGTGGCCTACGGTGACACTATATTTTAGCGCGTTTTTTCTGGGGACCGGTAAAGAAAAGTCGTTCCTCCTCCAATTTTCCCAAAGTTTCTAAATGGCCATAAAATTTGTGTTAAGATTTACTGAAATTATAACATTTAACATTGAAGGGGAAAAAATGTTGCCATGCTGGCCAGGGATTAGTACAACAGTGCTAAATTTAATCATACATGTACATGTCTAAAGGACTGACAAATGTATATTGGCCAAGATTAGTAGTGGGCGGTTCTGTCAGATTCTGAAAATAAATAAGCTGTCCTAAAAAATGTTGGAAATAAATAAGCTGTCATCCTCTGGGAAGAAATAAATAACCTTGACTTGTGGCTATCTTAAAGTCAATCTTAAAGTTCAACTGAAAAGCTTTGTACATCCATGTAAGCGATTCCTAAGTTAAGTTCAAGTTTCAATGATTTTTCAAAAAAAAAAAGTTTTCATCATTTAAAAAAGTTTTCATTGATTTCAGATTACTCTGAAAAAGAGCAGAATATCCTCAAAGTTTTGGATAGTGGCAGTGCTGATGTAGAAGGATTGAGAGGTTTTGCTGTCAGTCCAGGAGGACTAGTTAATGATGATATAAGAAAAGAAGTGTGGCCCAGACTGCTTAATGTTAATGTCATTGACATTCCCCAGAAACCATGTAAGTTATCCTTTGAAGGCCCCCCCCCCCCAAATATTTTTTGTTTTTGTAAATACTTATAAGCATTAAATGACTATGATCGTATAGATGATATAGCAGTAAGAATATTAATGCACATTAAAAAATATTTTCAAAAATGAAGAAATAAGAATTTCAGGGCACATGTAGACAAAATATTTATTTATACCCATATTTATCAAAGGACATGTATTAAACAAACAATATTTACAATCTACATGCATTTTATTTATAAAGTGTGAGGAAAGCTACAGAATTCAAAACACCATAACATGGACAAGGAGGGGGGGGGGTTTAAAAGGTTAAAGTATGTGTTTTATTTTGACGTTACAAACATTGAATGCCATCAAAGTGCAATGTCATAAGCAAAAATCAAAAATCATGCTCACATTGAACAGAAGCTGTTGCGATGACTCTTCCATTAATTGTAACTTACCAGAAGGATAATACAGGGATTTTAAAATATAAATTACATTTGTAGCCAAGGCAAGGAGTTAAAAATGAAATATATATTAAGTATTGAATCATTATTTTTTTAAAGATATAGTCTTATAACGGCAATGGTGTGCACAAACAAATTTTCATAATTTATTTGCACACACCATTGCAATTATGAGACTATATCTTTTTAAAAATAACGATTCAATGCCTAAAAAGAAGTCCATTTGAGTTTAATGCATTATTAATTTGAATGAACATTTTAGCAGAAAGTAGTATAGATTAGTGTCTGAATACTTTTGTAGCAGTGGAAATTTTACATGGACACAGGGATTATACACAAGTTGTTATGGATGTTAATAGGTCCTTAAAGAGGTTTCCTCCAGGTATATTTTATAGAAATTTTAAAATCTTTCTTTTAAAAAAAACATCTCTTCTAAATATATTTTGTACTAATACATGTATCAAAAGACCTGTTGACTCTAATGTGAAATAAAGATTGATATTTTAGAAGGTAACTCAGTTGTTCATATGAATTTAGAGAGTTTCTCTTAGTTCAAATCTTTTTCCTGTCATAAATTTATTTGTGTTATGCAACATCAAAGTTTGTAATAAAGAATTTAACTTTGTGTATAATAAGTAAAGACTTTGAGGACATTTTAGGTATGGATGAAGATGTCAGAATGTCCTATCAGGATCAGCTAGTGGACTTGATAATGCGGGTGTTGGTGCAGCACAATGAACTTCACTATTATCAGGGTTATCATGATATCTGTGTCACATTTCTGCTGGTTCTAGGGGAGGATCTAGCTTTTGCCATTCTTGATGTATTGTCATTACAGCATCTCAGGTATGTCTACAACATCTCAGATATGTCAAGTGAGTTCAAGTCATTTTCTCGAAGACTAAATCAGTTAAGGATTAATCAAGAGATATTCATGTACAAGGAAACCACTGTATTTAGTTGAATCATATAGAAATACACCTAAAAATGGTCAGATGAATAAGGAATTCAGTTCTTTCAGTTTATTTTTATGTATTTGTTTCAGGGACTTCATGGACGCCAACATGGACAGAACAAAGCACATTCTCAATTACTTGTATCCAATTGTAGGAAGGGCTAATCCTACACTGAGGCACTTTATGGAAGAGTAGGTGTTTTTGGCTCATTTTTATGAGATTTATTGTTAATATGTAATAAAAAACAATAGGGTTTACTATTTCTTAATTCCTACAAATCATTTGAATGACACCCAGCTTCTGTGAAGGCAGGTAATTACAGCAGCCCGACTTTGATGTGAGGGCAGATGCCTTCAGTATCTATAAAATTAAGGATGTCATACATATTCTCTACAATTTCAAAATATTATTCCGATTATTCAGTCAATCAGTTTAAAGGTACATTTCTTCAATTTATTACCAACAGATTGCATTCTTGTCACTGTTTTTTCATTCATTGGGTTCCTTTTCTGCTGCGTTTGATGGAGTCTTTATAGGTAGATGATCTATTGAATTCAAAATAAAGTGAACAGGAAGAGAATATCAAAATATAATCATCATATATGATGCCATTCTCTACCATCGGCTCATACATGTACATTCACTCCGTCGATGGCTTGCATATATCACAGTGATAAGCATCATAAATAGTGCATTTAATTCATTTTAATTAAATACCTGCATTAATGTTTGTTCTTTAATGTAGATATTTACTAAATAGGTCTAGAATTATTATCAGTAGTTTAATTTGAAATAATCCTTGGAATATCATATGCATATGTTTTTACTTCATGTCAAAAACCTATTGTAGAGGTGTCTGAGAGAGAAACGAATGACAGCTCTGCAATTAGATTGATATGATGCTTGGAAAAGACTGAAGTTTATCTTGCACATGTATTTCAACTTGGACAGTATATATTGTATGCATTTTTTCCCCTTTTGTATTATATTCCATGTCTTTCTATAGGTCTGAAGTAGGAACTGTGTTCTGTTTGAGCTGGTTGATCACATGGTTTGGTCATGTGCTAGGTGACCTAGATTCCATAGTGAGGCTGTATGATTTTTTCATGGCATGTGATCCTCTAATGCCTATATACATGGCAGCATCTGTAAGTATATGCTAAATAGATGTTCAATGTCATTTTCAAAGTGGCACCATATACTTTAATTGACATGTACATTACGTACATGTAACTTTTCATACATGGAAGTGACATTTTTTACATAGTAGAATCAGATACAGTTCATCGTCTGTGAGGGCACACAGTTCAGCACACAAGTTAATGTCAAAGTAGTTAGTTACATCCTCCCACCATTGATTGCGTATATCATATGTGACACGGCATGTGCATGATACATGATTAAAGAGATCAACGTAGAGATCCACAAAGGGAACAAATTTCTGTACTTTGTCGAGGAGTTTCGGAGACTAGTTTGCAAATGAATTTGCACAGAGAAATCTTGTAACAGTTTTTAGGTAGTCGCCAGAATAATGCCGGGTTACCATCCTGTAATATTTTCCTGAAATGGACGAATCCTGGATTACCTGATATACGTGTGTCTCTCCGGAGCTTATTGTATCGAAAAGTTGCAGATCTCACAATTCTTTTCCAAGATGACCTTGACGGAAATAAACCAACTAAAAGCCACTCTCTCATATATTCACAAAGGTTATAAATGCATAATAGACTCAAAATATCAGGAATAAAGCCTAGCTGTTTATGAGCGATTCCCTCAAAGTATGAAAACAGCCTTGTTCAGAAGATTTTCTTGGACAAAGTTTTGCATTCCAGGCGACACAGACGGCCAAGAAATAGCAGCTTCCTTGTATCAATCTCGGCTTGTATTGGAAGAACTTGAAAAAGGTTTTCACAATGTCAGATCTTGTTGTTGTAGGCAGATTCTGGGCGTTTTTGACCACTAAATGTTGGAAAACATTCAAGCGATGTAAATCATTTGAGGACATTGGCTGGGGTTGTCGTCAAGGCGACTCAGTATCTCCTTGCCTATTAACCTTTGTGTATAAATTTTAGAACATATACATTAATTGACAATAGTCACTTTCCTTCATATGTCGACTTTCCTTCATATATCCCAGTGAGCTTCAAATAAAAGATACCACAGATTCTGACAAATGTGTTTCATATTTAGATATTTTACTAGAAAAAGACGTTAATGGTAACCTTACAACAAAGCTTTATGATAAACGTGATGACTTCAACTTTTCAATCGTCAACTTCCCTTACTTATGTAGCAATATACCCTTATCACCTGCATATGGGGTTTATTTCTCTCAGTTGATTCGATACGCAAGAGCATGCTCTACGTATGAACACTTTCTAAAACGAGACAAGCTATTGAAAAATAAGTTGATGAAACAAGGATATCAACAGTCTCGTTTGAGGTCATCTTTTTGCAAGTTTTACGGTCGATACAATGACCTTGTCAGCACATACAACCTATCATTGAGTCAAATGCTGACTGAGGACTCACTCCTCCATGGCACCTGATACCACCTCTGATGTCTTAGAGGTCCGTGTTTACTCTGCTCATATTTTGTAATGTTTATTGGACTTTTGAGCTCGAACACTGTTCGTTATTTCCACATATTTCATACTAATTGTTAAGCCATTATTCATACACTGAACTGTCTACGGATTTTTCCGGTCCCCCCCCCCCCCCCTCCCCCCCCCCCCGATCATAACAAGGAGCACACGGCGGGTGTGACCGGTTGGAAGAGGATGCTCACTCCTTCATGGCACTTGATCCCACCTCTATATTTTGAAGTCCGTGTTTGCTGTGCTCCAAATTTGTATTGTTTCATTGGACTATCGAGATTGAATACTGTTCGTTATCTTCATATTTCATGATACGACAAAATGGAAATATTAAAGGCATTAAAACAGGGAAGGAAAAAGTTTGTCATAAAGTATGCAGCTGACACAGTTCTTATCTGGATGGATCAGAAAAGAGTCTAAAAAGTGCACTGGATCTTATCTTTCAATTTATAAAATTTTCATGTTTAAAGCCTAATATTTCAAAAACAAAAGAGCAGTCTGGATTGGTTCTAAAATTAACACTGAAAATACAACTTGTAGTGAGACAGGATTTAAAATGGACGAGTGAACCTTTTACTTTTCTTAACGTAAACTACAAATCTTTGAAAAATGGAAGAATGTTTAAACTTATTCAGAAAGATTGAAATCATTGGTCTTAAAGAAATATTACCCATTTAGGAAAAATAACAGTAGGACTTTTCACTGTATACATTAAAATTTGCTTATTTTTTTTCCTTATATAACACTATTTCGACAAATTTGTTTCAGTACGTATTATTCATATGACCACAAAGTCATTAAACGATTGACATAATTTCACAGTGACTTCAAAAGTGGTCGACATGTTCAACACATTCAATTTAAATACCTTGGAAGTTTGAAAAAGTAGATCATTAATTTTGTGATTTAATATTATAATACACAAATATTTGTTAATAATTAGTCATAAATGTAAGTATAAGTACATGTACTAGGTATGTAAATGAATTAAAAAAGATATATATGCAGATTTCTTAACAAAATCCTTTCACAGAGGTCTAAAAGATAAATATATCCATATAAGAGCATACTGACTAAGTAAAAAAAATATCTTACAATGGAATTTATGTTCTGAAAATCAGTTATATGTTTCCTACAAGTTATTGAATTGGCCAAGTTTTCAAACATCAAGAGAATGTTAATTAAAATTTCCAAGATGTTGAGATTTGAATGATGTTATGTATTTGTAGATTGTGCTGTATCGTGAAAAGGAAATTCTTGCCAGTGAGTGTGAAATGTGCACTTTGCATGGGATGTTGTCTAAAATACCAGACAATCTGCCTTATGAACAATTAATTGTAAAGGCAAAAGATCTGTTCTCAAAATTTCCTCCAAAGACAGTTGCCAAGGAGGCAAGAGAAATTCACGAACAGAAAAAGTATGTTATGAGTTAAGTTCACACAGTTACAATAAATTCTATATAACTTTCATATTTTGGATGGATTCATTCATTTAGTGTAATGTACACATTCTTAAAACAAATAATATTAGTGATGGGTTTCTGTGAAGTACATTCAACTTTTTGATATGAAAGGATGAAGATATATTTGTTGTTTTTTAAAGTTGTTAAGTTCAATGAAATGTTAATGTATACTTGATATCTCACTTATATGGACAATATTTCCATTTTTGTGTTTTACAGATGTGCTCTTTCTCAGCATAGAAAGACAAACATTGAGAGGATGAGGCAGGGCCATCAGAAGGGGGGAATGTTGAAGAACTTGTTGTACCTTGATGGGGACAGACTGTTTATTAAGGTGACACTGTGGACTCTTGTAGGGGTTATTACAGCTGCGGGATTAACCTGGCTCAATCATTATTATGTCCATGATTATAACTCATGATGTTGTCGATTTTAATGAAAACTATGACTTTTGTTGTCATGATTGTTTAGAAAAACATAGTTTTGATGTAAGGAAAATCTTGTAAGCTGGTCTTAGAGGATATCTGACCAGAATTTTGATGTTTTTCAGAAATATTTGATGAAATCTTCTGGTGCTTTTTTGTGATTATGTTATTTTTTGCATGATTTTTCCAAGTAGTTCCCAGGTCATTGTTTATTTTTTTTTGATAGTTACAGGAATTTATTCATTCCTGATACATTTAATTATCATTAATTAAGCATGCTGATTCAGTGCTTTAATAAATTTTGAGCTCTGCTACTCAAAGACCAGCAGAGCCTAGATGGTGGTTAAGTGTCTATCTTTTTCTTTATCTGTGAACAATTTTTTGTCGTAACTCCTTGTACAGTTTTAATCTGATTTCAGTAAAACTTGGTACTCAAGTAGACTACATGCATCATTCTGTATATCAGATTTTGAAATTGATGAGTCATGATGCCATGATTACTGAAAATAGAAAATTCACCAGTTTTTTTTTTTTAAACTACTCCTAGTTGTAGAGTGATATCCATAAAAATTACAAAAGTAAACTACACTAAAATTCATGACTTTGTATAATAGTTTTGGGTTTAGATGAATGGGGTTGTCATGGTTACCAAAACTGTCCAAAAGTAAAAATGTCTGTAAAACTAATTCAAAATATTACTCCTGCAGTTTTGATTTGCTTTAATAAACCAATGGTACACAAGTAGACTAGACCAGTTTACATAATTATAATGTGTAAAAGATTTGGTTTGATTTAATGAAACTAAATGTACAGGTTTAAAAAAAAAAAATAGGATACATTATTCTGTAAATGTAGAACTTAAAAAAGACGTTTCAAGTCCAGGTACAACTTTTCAAGTATAGCAGTGTACAAGTAGAAAACAGTAGAGTTACAGTCTCAGCAGAGACTTTTTCATATAAAGGAAAGGTAGATAAATCTAATTTCTCGATCTACAGCTTCTCTTATATACATGTTATTGTTGTTATTTATGTGAAAAGTCTTTCAAATTAAAAGCTACATGAATTTTCCTAAGGTACATATTATTATTATTTTTGTTAGAGATGTCTTACATTTGATTTGGTATTATAAACTACCTATCATGATCACTGTCTATTCAGACATTGAGCAAGTTTACTGTACCCCTTGACAGCAACTAATTTTGGAAGCTGTGTCTCTAAAAGTTGTTGCTGTGAGGGAAAAATTAATGAACTTGTTCCTCATATCCAGTGAACACATGTACCTGTAGGTGTATATCTTCATTATCAAAATTATTTAATTTTTACATAATGATTTAGAGAAATGAAAATCTCTGATATGAGATTAAGTTGTGAAGGTGTTCAAAATTGTTGTTTTATTCTAGTCGCTTAGTGATTTTTTATTTATCATATAACTGCTCATGTAGCTGTTATGAACACAGAATATAAAATCTTTTTGGGCAGCAGTGATGTGTATTTTTCTGTTTTTTATCCTTCCTCATTCTCTGGTTAATGGTGAATGTTATCATTACTACATGTGTCAATGATTTTTGTGGGTTTTTTTTTTTCATTTGTATTAAAAGTATTGCACAGGTTTATCTTAATAAGGTCTTAAATATGTCTGACAGATATTGATAAACGTGATAGACATTTTGTATGTGTATACTATTAATTTCCATAAAAACATACTCTATCTTTCAGAAGGATAGCACTGAAAACTTTGTACGTTCATTATAATCTTAATAAGCAGCTTTCTAGTAGTGCCCCCCTAACTGATGGAATGTCATCTTTGTTGTATCAGTGCATATGTCAACGGAACATAAATGCAAAATTGGTTTCTTTTTGTAAGATGAATTTTGTTGAATATAGAAAGTTTTAAATTACTTATATTACCTGTTGTTGTTATGGCATCGTTTACCTGTGGAATTAAAGAAAATTATGACAATGTCACTAATGTGCTCTGTCAAAGATGAGGGCAGTTTGGAGAAGCATTTTGGATATATTTGGGTCCTGTAAATTTTAGCACATGGGAACTCAGATTTGCTGCTATAGGTTATACCAGGGTATAAGAAATATTTCATTCATAACGTTTTCAAGGTAGAGTTGAAGTTTTGAAGAGGGAGAAATGTTTCAGTAACACGGATGTACAGGTGTATTTCAAAACAGTCATTAATTTCTCCCTGTTATCCTCAACTCTCAACATTAATCAACAAATGCCTCAAATGGTTATTATTCTGGATAAAGTAAGAATACATTCAATATAAGGCATCAATCCTTCACATTCAGAATTAACTATGTTAAGGTAGAATGTTATCTAATCCCAGACCTTCAATAAAAGTGCAGACTTTTACAATTTTATGTTTGCTATGTATGTCTCAAGGTTTTATTGTTTACAACGATTATCTTTTATTCTCAAGGTTGAGAAAACTGTCTAATTTTTTTTTTCATAATATATATATAAATAGACCGTTGGTTAAATTATCATGGTAAAACATGTCACCACTAGAGAGGGATTATTTTAAAGTCAAGGATATAACTGCAATACAAAGTACATTGGAGAAATTTGTGCACCTTGTCACTTTGGAATTTTGGGCGCAATTTTCTGGGGATAAAACATAATAATTTAATTTTGTTTGTATTCTGGCCTCTGATTGGTTAATATCCAAAAAGGAACACAAATTATTTCTGTATAACCTGGTTTGGTATGGTGAACCCCTCCCCCCCCCCCCCGACAACCAGCTGAATCATCTGTATCCATACAATCCTCTCACTTCCAGTCCTCGGGATTCATGGAAAATTCCAGATTTAATAAATGTACCTGTAACTTCATACATAGCAAGTTAATTTCGCAAAAAACGTACTCAAATACAAAACAAACAGCTTAAAATAAAATCAACAGATTCATTTGAAAAATCAACAGACTCTATTGCAAAGCTGCAGTATCATATTTTGATTTTTCTACTGAAATGTTTGTTCTATTCAATTGTTGTTATTCTTTGCATCAGAACACCGGATCTAGAGGGTCGTCAGTACATAGTAAAGTATATGTAGCTAAAAAATGACCTTTCCATCGGTGATCGTTCGTTTTGCAACGGAGTCTGTTGATTTTATTTTAAGCTGTTTGTTTTGTATTTCAGTACTGTTTTTTTTAATTAATTGTTCTCTTTAATACCCTTTTCGCCGCCCATAGTCAACACGCTTTGATAAAATTATTCACTTGGCTCATAATTTGTGAAGCTCAGTTCTATATACACAATTTTTCTCATAATTACGAGAAATGAGAATTCATCTCATCACCACGAGATAATTTTCTCAAATGAGATATTTTTCGAAAATGCGAAGTCTTTCGTCGTAATTACAAGGTACATTGTAATTATCCTGTAATTATGAGATAATTACGAGATAGTTGGTTGTTATTTTTTTATTTTAATAGGCCCGAAGGCTTAATTAAGTTATTTGGTTTATTATTACAAATAGTATATGGTCATTTCTTTGGATGTTAGAAAAAATGGTTAGACAGACGCTGCGTAAATATATAGGACAGACACCAAGATTAGCGGGATCCTAAGAAATACTGAAACATGCATTACTGAGCTGGTTCCTGAGGGCAGAGCTAGCTAGGTTCCCTATCCTCAGGGGAACATTCAGAATTTAATTCTGAAAGGGCAGTGGTACCTAGTCTTTAAGCATTAGGTTTTGGTCTGTGTCTTTCTCAATATATAAAATCAAGAAGGACACTCGTTCCGATGGCCCGTTTTATCCGCCAGTGGAATTCAGTCATATCAGAAAAATTTCAATAGGTCTTGGAGGAAATATCTCATAATTACGAGATATTCTCGTAACTATTAGAAATTTGTTTCGTTAATTACGAGATCTTTTCTCGTAATTACGAGATAATTTACTCGTAATTACGCGATTTTCTTGTAGGTACGAAATAATTTCCTCCTAATTACGAGACCTGTAATTCTTTTCAGGGGATTCAAACGTAGTAAACCTAACTGAGAGACAGACATCCTTAGTTTCTGACACAGACATGTTATCTCGCATCATTGTTGATTTTTATTTCATCTTTATTTGCATATACTGCATTGGTGATTAAAGATAACTCATCATACGACGTAACATTATATCAAATCCTTTTCAAGGCCATAAGTCTGAGGTCACTAGTCTTGGCAAGGGGTGGATCAAGCAACCCCTTGGGGTTGGTGACTTTAATAACCCCCCCCCCCCCCCATCACCACCACCATCACCACGATTTTCAGTGTTGTTAAATTTTATTGTTTTTATAACTGTTTATTACTAAGAAAAGAAGTGAGAAATTTAGGCAAAAAAGTTTCACGATATCCTAACAACATTGAATTGCGGCATGCTTTTTCAAATTCTAGGAAAAATTACAATAGACTGAGAAAACATCTTAAATTGAAGTAAAACAATAAATTTGCTGAAGATTTCATTTTTCACCGACATGTTTGTCGCACTAAAGACACTTCGGTCGCCTTGTTCACCCATCTTCTTTACATGTTTAGGTAGGCTGAATATGACTTTAATCCCCCCTTTTGGAGAAGAAAACTCCTTCTGTAATCTAAAAAATAGGTATCCGAAGTAAAACATACACCCCTCTCATGCACGCATTCAAAATAATTTGTGTGGGTATGTTCTTTTTGAGAAAGGGGGTGGGGCTAACTTTTCAGAAATTTTTTATGCCCTCTATTCGGATATTAGAGGGCATATAGTTTTTTGGTCTGTCTGCCTGTTTGTGTCCGCAAAACTTTAAACTTTTGAATGGTTGGTGTTAGAGCTTTCATATTTTTCATTTGTATATTCCTTGTGAAAAAAAAAAACAAAACCAAAACCAAAAAAAAAAAACTATTTGGGGTACCAACATTTTGGACCTCATGGCCTTGACCATGTTTTTGGAATAATTTGCAGCAACTTTAGCCTTGGCCAAAAATTCTGAACGGTTGATGCTAGGGCTTTCGTATTTCACATGTATGTGAAGACCTTTTCTTAGGTACCAACATTTTTGACCACATGACCTTGGAGTTCGACCTATTTTTTCAAAATTTTAAACTTGGCCATAATTTCTTCATGTGCCAACATTTTTAACCCTCAAGACCTTGACTTTGGAGTGTGACCTATGTATAAAAAACTGTAACTATGGCCCTAACTTCTGAACAGTTGGTGCTACGATTCTATATTTTACAGGCGTATTCCTTATGACAAGACCTTTCTTTGGGTATCAACATTTTGACCTCGTGACCTTGACCTACTTTTGAAAAACTTTTTACGTTGGTCATAACTTCTGAACAGTTGCGTATTCATTATGACAAGACCTTTATTGAAGTACAAACATTTTTGACATCATGGCATTGGAGTTTAAATATGTTCGCCTTGGCCATGAGCTGAAACATGGTGAAATCAGTATTTTACAAACACTTCTTATCGACTATGTCTCCATCCAGAAAAATTCCTGGATCTGTCCTTTTGTAAAATATGGAATTATATGCACTTCTCTTCCAGGATATGTGAAAGAACATTTAAAGTAAAACTGCTCTTTGAGTCCGACATGACCTCAGGGAGTAATATTTTAAAATTACAAAATGTAAAAATAAAACAATGTTCATATATTAATCACAATCTATCATTGTATTGTACAAGATCTGAAATGGAATATCCTAGACTGGCTCTGTCCGTCTCTACTGTATGAAAGCATATCAAACAGGAAGGCTTAGGACCTCCTCCCCGTTTGTACACGGCATCTTAGTTTTTATTGCTTTTCAATTAATTTTATCCTCGTTCATGACATGCCATGATATTGACAACCCCTCCTTGCCCTACACCCTGATTGACTTTGCATTAATACAACACCCCACTCAAATTCTCTAAGGTATACATCATTATATGATTTAAAAGAAAGCACTTTTTATTATGCAGTATCCTTGTTCTTGATCAAACACTGGGTAGCAGTGGTTTATTATATGAACTTATCTAAAAAATAAACTTAAACAAGAAGGACATGCACACATGCAATTGTAGAAGAGACCTTATGAGTATGAGCTGGGAAAGATATAATAAAGAGGAAAGGGTGTTATTAAAAATTAAAAACTCACATTTAATTCTTGTTGTTTGAAATATTACTTGCATACAAGTTACTATTAGTTTAAATATTCATGCAAAAATTTCAGCATCTATTTGTAATAGAGAGGTAATTTATATTTGTTTATAGGGGTGGGGGATCTGCCACTTACAAAGGTGTAAACAGGCAAGGACATCAATCCCAACTATTCACTATCACCAAAACTAGCATCATATTAAATTAAAATTTCATCATCTTCACAATGACCTTCCTTTTTTCAAAAACACTAAAAAAAAAAAAAAACCATGCTTTGTGGTTACAACCTAGTGTAGCAGGGGGGGAATATCCCGAGATAATGAATAAAATGATTTCATCATCATTTACCCCAATAAATGGAAGCAAGGTTATACATGTAGCACTAACCCTTCTGCACTAAGGAGAAAAGAAGCAAAATCAAAAGGCACTTAAAAACCAAACTTGCCTTTTTTTCTTCCCTAAAATTACTATAAAGGCCAAATCCAATGTTTCCAATAAATGTATACAACTACAAGACTCCAGGAACTTCATCAAGTTTCAGGAATTACTTCTAATTTTCCATTTTCAAGTTACAGTTATAAACAAGCATTCTGAGAGTATTGTATTAGCAATACTAGTCCCCTACCGGCAAGTGTAATCTGGTTCCCGTTAAGAATTGAAAATGCCATAATTCCGTCAAAAATCAGTGAAGCGGGTCGAAATGCAAACTTGATGTATAACTAATCAAAGTTAAGTCACATACCAAAAATCAGCTCAATATCTGAAAGCGTTAAGAAGAAAATTGCGGAAAACCCCTAAAAATTGAAAAGGCGGTAATTCCGTCAAAATTCAATGAAGCGGAACGAAATGCATACTTGATCTGTAACTCATCAAGATACACTCACATACCAAAAATCAGCTCAATATCTGCAAGCGTTTAGGAAAAAAGTGCGGAAAACCAAGTGGGACAGACAGGCAGACGGACAGCTAGACAGACAGACAGACTCAGAGGAAACCTATAGTCCCCTCCGGTTTCACCGATAGGGAACTAATAATATTCGTTTGAGCCACTTAAGACCTTGAAAAAACATAGGTAATCAGAGATTACAGAGCTCACCTCAACGAATGTTGTTTTTAAGTAAGGCAAAGTCCCACACTAAACTAATAATCTAGGAGTGTGCATCCCTAGATGCAACATTTATGCAATTTTGGTCTGATAGGGCTTGCAGTTACTTGGGAGTGGACTTATCTGAAAACTTAAAACTAGTCACTCATTCAGAAAATGCAAGTCAAATCCAGCATCCGAAGTTTTGAGATTGTTCGTCCCTTGATGCATCATCCATGCAAGTTTGGTTCAGATAGGCCTTATAGTTACTTGGAAATGAGATCTGCTCCAAAAACTTTAATCTGGTCACTCATCCGGAAAATATTGGTCAGATCCAGCATCTGAAGCAAGTCCAGTTGTGTGAATCCTAAGATGTATCATCCATGCAAGTTTGGTCAATATAGGGTTTATAGTTACTTGGAAATGACATCTGCTCCAAAAACTTTAACCTGGTCACTCATCCGGAAAATATAGGTCAGATTCAGCATCTGAAGCAAGCTCAGTAGTGTGCATCCTTAAATGTATCATCCATGCAAGTTTGGTCAATATAGGGCTTTTAGTTACTTGGAAATGGGATCTGCTCCAAAAACTTTAACCTGGTCACTCATCTGGAAAATATAGGTCAGATCCAGCATCCGAAGCAAGTCCAGTAGTGTGCATCCTTAAATGTATCATCCATGCAAGTTTGGTCAATATAGGGCTTTTAGTTACTTGGAAATGAGATCTGCTCCGAAAACTTTAACCTGGTCACTCATCCGGAAGATATAGGTCAGATCCAGCATCCGAAGCAAGTCAAGTAGTGTGCATCCTTAGATGTATCATCCATGCAAGTTTGGTCAATATAGGGCTTATAGTTACTTGGAAATGAGATCTACTCCAAAAACCTTAACCTAGTCACTCATCCGGAAAATGTAGGTCAGATCCAGCATCCGAAGCAAGTTCAGTAGTGTGCATCCTTAGATGTATCATCCATGCAAGTTTGGTCAATTTAGGGCTTATAGTTACTTGGAAATGAGACCTGCTCCAAAAACTTTAACCTGCTCCAAAAACATTAACCTGGTCATTCTTTAGCTGAAATTGCAGCATCTGAAACCTTGACTGGTACAATGAAACACACTAGAAGCATCCTCCATGCATCTCTGACTAATATAGGCCATAGAAGTACTTGAAAAGAAAACTGCTCCAAAAACCTTAACCTGGGACGCCGACGCCGAGGGTATTACATAAGCTCCCCCAACTTCGTTGAGGTGAGCTAAAAAGATATTTCATAGGTCTACAAATTGCAAAAACCTGGCTTTCTCTCCATTTGAAATTAGGCCAACTACCAAGCTTCTGGTTTCAAAACAATAATTATAAGTAGGCCCAGTCTCAGTCTGTCATAAGCATTAGCTCTCATTTCAAAAACAAAGAATTATTTAATTCAAACGTAAACTACATGTATAAGCTTATTAGCTCAGGTGCCAATCAAGAACAGAACCAATTTAATGTAAATTGCTTGGAAACAATTAAAACTTATAATGTCAAAATGTAACAATTATGAACCTCTGAATAGAGAATCGGGACACAGAGCTCATCCCAGACAGCTTACACAATCTGCATAGACAGCAGCCATGAATGTGGTCAATAAAGGGTCATCTGGGGACACGTGCTTGAATAACACACGACTGGCCTTGAATTCTCAAGAGGCCTGATAACGATGTATACAAAACACAAGGTTGTGTTACCTTTGGCCAAAGTTGATCCCGGAAGAAAATGCTCTATATATAAATTAAAACCAGTAAATAAACACAGGTCACATTCAGGTAAAAATTTATTTTGAGTGGTGTTAGCATACATGTGTATTTTACATCACTGTTTATGCAACAATTCATGACAAAATACACGTTTTGAAGTTTCCAATCTGATTCTTAGATAAGCACTTAATTCAATGGAAAAAAAAGCCCTGCTCAATACAAACATGAGACACTTCAGCTTCAAACCTGGTTATCAAAATTACAGATGTAATTTGTTTTGAAATTTGGTTGATACTCCCAGCAAACTTATTACAGAGTACTTACCATCTCAAAATCTTAAAAATACTTCACATTTGTACAGAAAGAATCCAATTTTTAGCAAGAATAAATTGTTTGAAATCTGAGATGAATCCTTTAAGATCAAATACTTTATTGTAGCATTATATTTGTGCATTTATATTATAGGAAATTACAAGTACAGTATATCCCAGTAAGTTAGTGACTGAGCCGTACTTCTGACACATCTATCTCATTTAATTTATAACTGGTATTATAAGTGGCAATCATAAGTTTCAGTACATTATCAGTACACAATTTATTTTGAAAAATCCCTAAATCAGTCTTTTAATAACATAACGTATCAATATAAAGAAAGCAATTCTGTTGCTTAACATAATATCATTTAACACCTTTCTTAACATAATGATTTCATATCAACTTAGTATGAGCTAACTAAGTCTGATTCAATGCTGATGTGTAAGAAATCAACCTAACCTTCAAAATAGAAAAGATTCTGATTTCAAACGAGCACTTCTCATAAAGCTAGCCACTCTGTCACTGAATGTTAGTGTCTGAGACAAGTAGACCTCAAGAAGCATCCAAAATTTTAGAACAAGTCATGTACAAGAATCTTCAAATTTCAGGGTACATCTTAATAACCCTTGCTTTATTTTCATGTCCCATTCAGATCTTGGTGATCACCCTGTTCTATTTATAGAATCACTATATCATCATTTTGGTCAGTGCTGGACTTCACTCTTTTGGCCTTGATTGACTCAGAATCTTGGTCAGCTTTGCGTTTTGTTCCAGTTTTGATAACCTCAATATCGTCCACCACCATGACATCGTCTTCTTCTGAAAAGTAGGACAAAACACTGAGTAAACTTTTCAAACAAACCTCCACATGTGAGTTAAGACTAGGTATAGGCGTTTCTATGCAAATGAGCTAATAAAAATGCATAAAAGGTATATTTTTTATTCAGAGAAAGTGTTGATTTATTTTCTTATGCATAGTTAGTACCCATGATATCTTATAGCCAGTACACATTATGACATCATATTATGACAACACTGATCTTACCTTCTGGAGGTAATAAAACGCATCAACAAAACAGCTTCGACGCAAGGGATTACCCTATTCATTTTTACATACAAATTGAATAATGCTAAGAAGAATATTCTATAGATTAATAAAACTGCTGCACAAAATCCTAGGCATTTTCTCATTTGATCGTAATTTGAGGAAACTTATACCGGGCTGTACATTTTTACCCTTATTCAAGTTAAAACTTTACAAATAGAAATTATACAACTGAGCTGTTGAAATCTGTGCAGTAATACCAGCAAACTTTGAAATATTTTGTTTCCAATTATACCTTGTTTCAGTCAAATAAAGTAGAGCCTGCCCTTGCGCCGAAGCATTTTTGTTGATATCCATTATAATCTTGTGTAGTAAAGAACAATGACGTCATAATATGACATCATAATGTGTACTGGCTTTCTCAAGTCATGGGTATGAGTACGTATTAGACAATAAGATTTAACTTTCTCTCTTTAATAGATATAGTCCTTATGCATTTTAATTAGATTATTTGCATAGGAATGCCTACACCTAGCCTTAACTCATCTGTGTCTAAAGCACAATTATCATGCATGCAGATCTAGCATGTGACAGAAATACATGTGAAAGATAGAATGTATATAAAATTTAGAAATATGCCCTTAGGACCTCTATTTTCACAACATTAAAAAATTTATCCTGAAACTGCCTGATGCTCGTGGCATCAGGCAATAAAGTTGTAGGAAATAATCCTTTACGGAATTCAAAACAAAATGGGCTAGGAGCAAAAAGTTTAAAGTAATGGGAAAGGTCAAAGTAAGGTCAAATATCATAACTGTACAATCCAAAAGGTCATGTCACAAGTAATGCACATGAATTGTGGAAAAAAATTAGTATGAAAGCCCGATCTCTCTTAAAGCAAAACTTACCACGTTAAAATTTTGTAGTATAAGTGTACCAAAAGTATAAGGTCAAACTTGTAGGTAAAGGTCATGAGTCAAAAATGATAGTTCTTTCTGAAAAATGGTGTCACAGGTAATTATGTACATGTAAAATATGAAAGGTCTATCTTCTCTCATTCAAAGTACTAAAGGTTTAACTTTAAAGTTAAGGTCATTGGGGTCAAAAACCAAAGTACATTTGGAAAGGTCTTGTCAAAGGTAATGCACATGTCAAATATGACTGCCCTATCTTTTCTCCTTCAAAAGTGATCACCAATGTTTAAAATTTTTGAAAAGTAGGTCAAGCTTCAAGGTCACAAGTCACATGGTGAAAAACATATATTTGGAAAGTCTTGTCACAGGCAATGCACATATGTACATATCAAATATGAACACACTCTCATTCAAAAGTTATCACCAATGTTTAAATGTTGAAAAAAGTAGGTCAAATTTCAAGGTCAACATGTCAAAAATCATAGTACATTTGTCACAAGATATGTACTTGTGATACAGGAAAAACCCTATCATTTCTCATTCAAAAGTTATGACCAAGGTTAAATTTTTTGTGACAGATGAATGAGTTTTAATGTTCCCTTGTTTGTAAAGTGGAGCACAAAAACAATAAATCTTCAAGAATTAATCTTTTTTAAAGAATTTAATCATGCTGTGTAGCATGTTTTATGAATTCCAAACCTGATTAATGACCTGATCAAAAAATAAACCTAACCAAAATTGGAGATTTTGTACAGTGTATCAAACCAAGAAAAAATACTGTGATGAATCGATACCACTGTGAACCGTTTCAAACCTAATGAATAGTTTCTTTGAAACTATACTAACTGCAAAATAAAGAATTAGTAAGGTCAAGGTCATAAGGAAAGTCAATGTAAGGAAATTTTGACACAGTTGATTATTTCTCTTCAATTTGTATCAGTGTATAAATTCTGATAAAAATATCTTGAATAGTTTCTTTGAAACTGAGCCAAATAAAGAATAGTAAGGGTCAAGGTCATATGGAAGGTAAGGATAATTTTTTTTGGCAAAGTTGAACAATTTTTTTACCATATGAATCAGTGCATATATTTTGATAAATATATTTTTAATAATTTCTTTGAAACTGAGCTAAATGCAAAATGAAAAATAGTGAGGTCAAGGTCAAAGGGAAGGACAAAATCAGACAACCCTGATGAAGTTGAACAGCTCTCATCAATATGTATCAATGTTTCGATTTCGATAAAAAATATTTTGTACAGTTTCTTTGAAACTGAATGCAGTGACAGATTTAATGATAGAAGGCTGGAAGAGAAGACACACATGACAAGCTACTATATGCCTCGGCCATATTCATGACATATTCATGGCATGACATAACCAGAAGACTCTAGTGAGACTGTAGCTCTACTGGTTTGAACTAACAACTGTAAAAACTAGAAGCCTTTTAAATAATTCACAGAAATTTCTTTAGTAACCATGAATACACCATCAAACAAAATTAAAAATTGATATAAAGACTTGTTAACCTTAGTGAAGTCTTAAAAAATTATTGAAATCGGACTAAAACAAGAAGTAGCCTTAAGAAATAATTCAACAAAAACTTCTATTTTTAGTTACCATGGCAACAACATTCATCAAAATCAAAAACCAATACACAGAATAATGTATATGTATTCTAATGTGGTCTACTTGTGTAGAAAATTTTAGGGATGGGTATTACCAAAAATTTTGTATCACAATATACAGTGTATCACAATTTTTCCCAAAAATATCACAATAATATCATATTTTTACACACAATTTTTACTATGGTTTTAAATGAATTTCCATAATTTTTCTAACAAATATAATGTGAAAACATAACTTTTACCTTTTTCATTTTTATTTATATTTAATAAAGCATGTTTGGGTGTTAGGATGGCATTGTTTTACAACATTTCTTTTTTACAATTACAGTAATTGTAGTTCAAAAGTTTGAACAGAAAATTACTCCCAGAATTTAACAAGAGGCCCAACGGCCTTGAATCACTCTTCTGATAAACTGTACAACCTATCACTTCTATTTGAAGTCTCTAAGTATCCTGTATATTTAGTTAAAGCCTTGAAATTCCAAAGGTAGGTCATCATGACCTACATTTTAGATGAAACATTCTGAGAACCCAAGATGATTCTAGGTCAATTAGTACCTGAGAGTTGGTCATGTTGACCTACTTATCACTTGACATTCTCTGAGGGACCCAAGATGCATCAACTAACTTTGACGATTCTAAGTCAATTACATGTAATACCTAATATATTTTTAAAATTATAACCATAAAATTTCAAAAGTAGGTCACAGTGATCTACTTTTCAGATGACATACTTTGAGGACCCAAGATGCATCAACTGACAAAGTTTGATGATTCTAAGCCAATACGTACCCGATATATTTAAATAAAGCCAAAAAATTTCAAAAATAGGTCACAGTGACCTCCTTTTAAGTCGACTAACTCTGCAGACTCAAGATGCATCAACTGACAAAATTTGATGATTCTAAGCCAATTAGTACCTGAAATATTTAATTAAAGCCATAAATTTTCAAAAGTAGGTCACACTGACCTACTTTTCAGTCGACCTACTCTGAAGACCCAAGATGCGTCAACTGACAAAGTTTGATGATTCTTAGCCAATTAGTACCCGAAATATTTATTTATAGTCATAAAAATTGAAAAATAGGTCATGGTGACCTACTTTCTAGTCGACCTACTGCAAGGACCCAAGATATATCAACTGATAAATTTTGATGATTCTAAGCCAAAAAGTACCAAAAAATATTAAATACAGCCATAAAATTTCAAAAGTAGGTCAGGGTGACCTACTTTTCAGTTGTCGTACTCCAAGGACCCAAGATGCATCAACTAACAAGATTTGATGATCCTAGTCCTTATAGTACCAGTAAGCAAAATATCAACATTTTAATAAAATGTAATTTTTGGTCAACTTTGAAGTGACCTTGAGACCACACCCTTTGCCCCAGGGTAAATCCCCGTGCAAATTTTAATCTACAACATATCCTCATCCTTTTGTGTAAGTTTGGTGATAATCTGCCCAGTGGTCCTTGAGAAGAACCAGCACTTTTGTTTCTATTTTCCTAATTATCTCCCCTTTTTTAAGGGTCACAACCCTAGTTTTAGTATAAACAGGAGCCCTTGGGCCATGGATACCTGTGACAAATTTGACAATAATTGGCCAAGGGGTTCTTGAGTTATGGCCCATATTTTAAAAAGTTTACGCACACCGCACAAATGGCCATAGCATTAGCTCTTTGAGCCTTTGGCTCAGAAGAGCTAAAAATACATACTAAATACCATGGCATCACAATACGTATCACGCAATAGAAAAAAAATCATGATATACCAGTATTCATTTAAAACCGTGCATCCCTTGAAAATTTATTGAAATCTGACTCTACGAGAGTAGCATTTTGAAAGAACTTCATAGAATTTTTTATTTTTAGTAACCATGGTAACACCACTCATCAAAATCAAAAACTGATTCATATTATGTACTGGTATCTTACTGTAGTCTACTTGTGTACCAAGTTACATATACTGAAATCTTAAAGTTACATTGATCAAAACTATAGGAGGAGTAGCATTTTGAAAATTGTTTACAAATGAATAGATGAACAATGGACACCTCACCATCACATTTATAATTTTTGGATTAGGAGGAACTAGCAGGACTAGAAAAATAAGCGGCATGTTGGCCTGGGCTGAGCCAATTTTGGAGTTTAATTAGTGATTTGTTAACACAAGTTGAGCAATTCTTCACTAATTTTAATCCTATATCTGACCTATTTTGATGGTCCAAGTGTTGGTTTCCTTCTGCCCATTTTATTAAAATCTCAATATGTTAGAAAGAACATTTTAAGGGTTAAAGTTCTTGGGCAAAGAGAGCATTAACGACTCAATAAATATACTCACCCTCTTCCTGGTCTTTGGTGCCTCCGTTATGATTGGCTGTTTTCTCCTCCTCTGGTTTGGCCTGAAGCTCTGATAAATCTCCAACCACATCAAATTCCTTATCCTCCTCCAATTTCTCCCTGTCAACAAAACATAGACATAATGGGTTCTCAGTAAATTAATCAGTTCTACAAACAGAACACAATCAAGCACAGAGTTATTCTCTAGGGCTGGGACAATACAACTTTTTGTATATCGATATGTATCACAATATTTGAGCCGCGATACGATGTGTGTCATGATATGTTTAATTGGTTATAAAATCTTTTTTTTGTATTGAAATGAACAAAACGTTTCTTCACAAATGAAAATAATTTATACAAAGAAGTTGTATATCTGTTGTAAAACAAAATTATTTTACACATATTATGTATTTTATATTTATATTTATATATAGCATATTTATTTTATATATTAAACCCAAAATGTTAAGTAAACAAGGAAAAACATAAGTCAGAATTTTTAATCCATATTTCAATATTTATTCATATGTATCGATATGCGTATTGTCCTCAAACAGAATCGATATTATAGATATCTCGATATATCATCCCAGCCCTATTATTCTCTCTGGAAACAAAACAAACTGGCTTTGTATCAAACCAGAACGCAATGAATTTGTCACTTATGAAATAGGTATCTATATAATGTAAAGTATGACATAATTTCAATTATAATACAATTAAAAGCAACTTTTAAGAATTATTTTAAAGTCATAGGTTTACTTCAAATTACCTGGTAATCAGTCTGATTATATAATATACTGTAAAATCACGTATTTTCATGGTGTCAAATTTCCGCGGTTTGAGGAAAATAAAATTGGTTCATGGTGTTCTGATTTCCTGAATGACAAAGTGCTGCGTTGTTATATATTTGAAAATTTAGTTTGTGTAGGACATGAATCTGTGGTTCTCATAATATGTCAAAAACAACGGAAATTAAATCCCCACAAAATTTGTGATTTCATAGTATCCTATAAATCTTTAATACAATGGGCAATAGCAAGGAAGAGCAGAGTTACAAACTAGATTAAAAATCAACCCCTAAATAAAATATTTCAATAATTAATACTCACGTATGTGCTATTATCACTTTCAATTCATAACTTTGTAAAAAGTCATCACACTTAAGAATGCTGCCATTTCCTATATGGAATTCACTTAAAAATTTATCACTGTTTTCTGAAATGAAAAGCAATCCATCATTACACTTGAGTCCATCATTCTGTAAGAATACATATTTTAATAGTCTAAATGTATGGATGTTGACCTAATTTATCATTTTTTTCACAGTTAAAGGTGCATGAACACGACATATAAATAGGCATTTGCCATATTAGTTTTCCTACCTACGATATCAGCACTAGTGTATACCCTTCGCATTTGTTACACCTGACAGCTTTCTTGTCAAGGGTACCTGCATAGAATGAACATCTTGTGCTCATGTTGGTTATCTTACATTACCTTTGTTTACATCATTTTGCAGTTTACATGTATTTGTGTTTGTTTGTACATGTACCGCAATGACCTGTGCAACTGATGTAAGTTTCTTTGGTAACATTTTCTTCTGCTGAAGAAGACATGGTTACTTTTGTTGCTACCTAGAGTTTTACAACAGCTATGTAGAATACGTCCGTCCACACCAGTGAAAACATTAAACTGAACTGAGACCAAGTAAACAGCTTACATAGGGGTCGTACAGCTAACAGAAAATGCAGAGTAATATGGTGGACAATCATAGATCTCTGCCTTTTACAAATCATGTTCAGCTTTAAGTTTACAGAGCACTGTGTCATACCTTCTGTCTCTCCCTCTTCACTTGAAATGAGAATAGTTCCTAAAAAAAAGAGCAAGAAAAATTTTGGTCCTTGCACAAGTTTCTAAAACATAAGAACATCTTTACAGCTATTGAAATTTATCTTCTTATATAAACATCATTACTTGGAGAAACTAACCTTTTCCATCATCAATTTCTACATCTGGGGCCACCATCCCTATGGCATTTTTTAAGATCTGGGAATAAACCAAACATCATTATGCAGATAATAAGTACTACTCTTCAGATTACAATTCCTACACTAGAAAAAAATGTTCTTATGCACTGAGCAAATAATACTTTTATTTTCCATGAAAAATTGCAAACAAATGATTTATAATGTACAGTAATGTAGTGAAGATTTACACAATGTCTTCTGATTTCCCAATACTCCTGTTAGAGCTGTTAATTTTTGGTAGTTGGTCAGTATGTATGTATATACCTTGTCTTCCAGTGTCTTGACTGTAATTTTCTCTGCATTTAGCACCACTGTGACTTCAGGCTTTGATGAACACACATAACACTTCGGACTGGGTTTGTCAAGAGCACACGGCACTAGGAGTTTTTTTCTGGGATTGGGTTGTCTGTTTAAGTATATCTGTAAATACAATATTGGAAATTAATACTCAATATTGGATATTAATGATCTGTCAGCACAATACTGGATATCAATGGTTTGTCATTACAATATTATATAACAACAATATGTCAACACAAAACTGGATATCAATGATCCCTAAACACAAAACTGGTTGTTAATATTGTCAATACTTCAGTTTGCTATGCCTTTAAACAGAGGTCCTTGGGCCACATTGCTCACCTGAGCACACTGGCTAGGAAAAAGCAAAAATTAGTTCAATATTGAAGTTTTTGCAGGGAGGGAAGGGGACAAACTAAAATTTACACTACCTCAGGATGCTTCCATATCAATATTACTAATCATGGCTTTGCAGTTCTTGAGCATAAGATTTTTTCAAGATGATTCCTATATATTCTTAGGAAAAACTTTGACCCTCTGTTGCACCCCCAACCCCTGGGGATCATAATTTGAACAAACTTGCTTCTACAATACCTAAGGTTGCTTCTGTATAAATATGACCAATAATAATTTAGTTATTCTCAAGAAGATTTTTAAAGATATTTCCTATGTAACATGTATGATCAGGTTCTTACAAGGGATATATAGGATTTCCTTTTACTCCGTCTAAGTTAATGATTAGAATAATTATTAAGACAGCTCTGTCTGAGGTTAAATCACATAGTACTAAAATTTTCTCTCATCTAGAGATGGGGACTGGGGTAAGGTACTACTTGCACTTTGTTTCTCCCCTAGGTTCCCATTCATAAATAAGAACCGGGTGTCTCAATCTTCTTCAGATTTACTACACTCAACAACTTAACATCCAATTCCCTAGGATATTTGCCACTGGTGCTTTTAACTTTTATTTTCTCTTACCCTTCTTTATTGCTGAATAAACATCCAACTTCTTTGGCTAGCTTCTGAATGCCTGACTTTCCCAAAGCTTTGCCTTATAAACCCTTTGGCTAGTCCATTCCAAGGGTTGTCAGGTCATTCCACTATTTGAAGTCTTCAATGCATTTTACACAAATGCCCCTTAAACATTATACCTATATATTCCTATGTAAAACTTTGATCCAATGTTGTGGCCCCGCCCTACCCAAAGGAGTCATGTTTGGAACAAACTTGAATCTACACTACCTGAGGATACTTCTGTATTAATAGGACTAATAATGACTTAGCTCTTCTTGATCAGAAAACTTTTACAGATATTTCCTACATACATGTATTCCTATGGTAAACTTTAACCCCCTGTTGTGGCCCCACCCTACCCCCAGGGGTCATGATATCAATGATCTGTCCACAAAATATTGGATATCAATAATCTATAACACTAAACTATCACTGACTTAAAACAGAAAATAAGCCATACATACTTGTTTACAATCCTCTATTCTTCCATTTAAAATCTTTATTCCCTCCATCACTATCAGTGCTGCTATGATTGCGTTTGTTGTTGCTATTGCAGGTATAATGTTTCCAGCCATTGCTGAAAATTCAGGTCATTTCAAAGATTAACTGGTAAAATTAAAAGATGATTATAGGGAGTCTTCAAATACTAACAAAACTTACTTTGCTTTGTTAAATACTGTAACATGGATTGATAATTTTTTTATTACGAAGTTAAAATTTGATATAAACACTATATTTCACACAAGCATGTTCTCCATATATTTTTCTGCACCATAACACAAAATTCTTGTATATGTTTGCAGCTTAATAAGATATAAATCAAAGGAATATTTATGTGTTTAAACAGTGCACTATGAATTTTTTAAGGTAACATATGTACATGTACTATCTTCTACATTTTTAAAACTTACACTTGATGTCAAATCTAGTTTTAGAGTTGATACCAAATATGTGAGATCTAATGTTAGCTGTGCTTGCCACAAAATCCATTGCTAGTTCATCATCCTGAAATCACATAAATAAAATACCAACCATTTCAGTGCTATAGTATCTTTCTTACTGTTGAAACTTTTTCTGCTTATGACAATAGTTTGATGACCACTGACCTTGTCCCAGATCAGCATGCCGTTTTCTCCCTGCTTCGCAAACTCCTTCTTAAGACCAGCCAGACAATCGGTAAACACCTCAGCACACTCCTTCATTGACCAAATTCTCTGATCCCTCATCACACTGGACGGTTCTGAAGATTCTGGAAGAAATCAGATCCTCATTATAACTTGTATCAGTAGTTAAAGAAAAACAACACTAAATATTAATTCATAAAAATACATTTTTTTGTGATAAGGAATTTCAATTTTTATTATTTTTTGCCACAAAATTGGTTGCATTCCTGGATTGTATTTTGATTAAATCAAGGTGCCCACATGGTGCAGTGGTTAGAGTGTCTGATCTAGAGTCGCGGAGTAAGGAGTTGATCATTACATCGCAGGTTCAAATCCACTGCGGGAAGTGGAGATTCTCTGGTCCTTCGGATGAGACTGTATAAACTGAGGTCCCATGTCACAGTAGATGTTGGCACGAAAAAGATCCCTCACTGCTCAATGGCACTGAGTGCCTAGCAAAAGTATAAATTTGCAGCCCTTCACTGGCAAGTGGTGGCATCTCCATATGAGTGAAAAATTCTCGAGACGGACGTTAAACAACAAACAAATAAACAAATTAATTAATTAATAATGGACAAACCTGAATGAGGTAGTTTGTCAAAATCCAAAGGAACAGGTGGTCTCCTTTTCTTCCATAAGGTCTCCATTGATAAAAGGTATTTAATGTCATCCCTGAATAACTGTACACAAAAATAAATGTCAAGTCTTAGTTGTGGGTTTACTTAGGAATCATTCTAATTTGTGGGGGCCAATGTTCATGGACAATGAAAATTTGACTGTTTGATGGGGATGTAATTTTGTGGCTAACCCTTACTTACAGAAGATTCAGTAAACTGATATGTTGACTCATTATGGTTTACCAGGACGTATATTCGTAAGGGACCCAAAATCCACGAGCATTGGTCCCTCATGCAAAAATGATGATTCCACAGTAATACATAGGACACATGTACACTCACAGTGCATATATTTATTTTATGCCAAATCACAATTATTTTTAAGTGTGATATGAACAGGATTACATGTATTTAATTAAGAACATCACCTCTTTTCATTAAAGTGAAATTGTATTTGTGGTTTTGTGAATCCATGGTTTGATACTTAGGAACATCCGACCGACCCAGTCTAGTAAATGAATGGTCCAGTCACGTAAAATGTACATGAATTAGACCGACTGGTCATGTGGATAAAATAAATGAAAACTCCCATTTCAGTCTTTCAAGTAAAAGTTCTAAAAACTTTAAAAGAATTTTCTTATTTGTTGACTGAAAACACAACCATCACTCTGTAAATGACAAATTCGCCGCATCAAACAATCCATATTTTTAGGCACAGCTGTAATGGACAAGTTGTGGTTGAAACTAGTTTGTCCAGAGTCAAATAAACATGTTACAGAATAATGTTTTCTTTTATAAGTTTATTAATATTCATTGGATGTTCTTTGACATTTGTAATGTCTTGATTAACCCGCAACCTATTGAACAATCTGGCAAAACGTACAAGAGATGATGTCTTTCTAAGTTATATCATTAAAATAAGCAGTTTACAAGAAGACAATTTGCAAGTTTGGCCTGGTCTAGAGAATTAAGAGAAGTAGCCTGACTGGTCTAGTACTCATAAAAATTACTGTCATACCCTGGAATCCTTGTCCAAACACTACCTTATTAAATATCTTCTTTGCATCATATCCTGTTTCTGATGCCCATGCTCTCGTTGACTTCCTGTCTATACCCCCGGCAACATCAGCTTTCCTCTCCTGTGTCAGCGCTGTCTGACCTGCCTCAGCTGTTTATCACAATAAGATTGCATTCAGTTATATCTTATTAATAATATATATACATATACTCCTTCTGGTAAAAAGGCATTGTTATACATGTACCTCTTTCAGGAATTTTCACAAAATACTGCAAATCCACTGTAAGTTAAGGTATTCTATATGTATTACAAGCAACACTGAAGATTGAAATATCACTGTATATTCTCTCATCTAAACTGTTTTAAGATTTAATTCCAAAGTTTCATAAAGTTTTGAGCAGATGTATTTGAAACATGGATGATTTTCAAATCATACTCCTGCCATAAAGAAAGAGTTATACTACAGAATAAGAACTGTATAAGAATTTTTTTCCCTTAATTTCACTTTTAGACTAAAATTTTACTTTCGATGAACAAAATTAATGCAAGTGCATAATACAGTCAAACCTCATTATCTAAAACTTTACGGGACCAAGAAAATACTTTGAGATATCTGAGGATTCAAGATGTCCAGGGTTAAATACTGAGGAAATAAGTGCTAGGGACTTCAAAATCATTTTGACATATCCAAGGTATCAGAATCAGAAAATTTCAGAATCAGAATCTAGCCAAGGATACTCTGTGACAAATTTGACAAAAATTGACCAAGGGATTCTTGGGATATGGTCCATATTCCAAAAAGTTTACACACACACACCACAATAATGGCTTTGAGCCTTTGGCTCAGAAAAGCTATAAAAAGTAGAAACAACTGAGTCCTAAACCTTTCATTACCTTTTTCAGCTGAAAGACCAAGTGAGCTTTTCTGATTGAAAAAATTCCAGTACCTGCCTGTAGTGTGTTGTCCCTAAACTTTTCACATTTTTAACTTCTCGAGAACCACTGGGCCAATTTCAACCAAACTTGCCACAAAGTATTCTTGTGTGAAATGGATTCAAGTTTGTTCAACTGAAGAGACATGTCCTCTTTTAAGGGGAGATAATTAAGAATTCGTGGAAATTTGATGGCATCTTATAAAAATCTTCTCAAGAACCACTGGGTCAGAAAAGATGAGACTTACGAAATGAAAGCTTTATTACATAGAGTAGGTTAAAGTTTGTTCAAATCGTGTCAGGACACAAAGGTACTCACCTGCTAACTCTGGATCCTCCGTGTCGGGGGACACATCCTGATCTGGATCCTCCTCCCCAAACAACTGACTTGAAAAAAATTAAATCTTTCAGCTTTAGATAATGATTACATTTGCTTATCTAACTCTAGGCTACCAGTTTACATGTTTTTCACACACTAAGAAAATTTGAATTCTTTTTAGAATGCCTATAAATTAACCATGAAGATTATGATAGGATTTGTTCTGTTCCATTGCACATGACACCTGTGAAATTGATATTAAATTGTGTAATTTTTAGTCACTTATTTTAAAAGGACATGTCTGTTAAAAACAGTTTAATTATGCAATAATTTATTTCACCTTTTATAAAAATAAGATTTACTTCAATTGCATGACTATTGCTGATTTTATTCTGAGTACAGTCAAACCTTGTTATCTTGAACTCAAGGGCACCGAGGAAAAACTTCGAGATATCCAAGGGTTCGAGATATCCAGGGTAAAATACTTAAAGAATGAGGGGTTGGGACTTCCAAATCACTTCGACATATCCATGGTATTCGGGATATGAGTGTTCGAGATACTGAAGTTCAACTGTATACACTGTTGTTTCAGGTCAATTGATCTAACTAAATAATTTAGTGATTAATAGCTAGAACATGTTGAAATGGGGAAAAATCATATCACATGGCACTTCTCATGTCTAGTCCCCAAAGATTTTTAAGATATTTTTCATTAACTGATACCACAAAATCATAAAATAAATGTAAGCCTTTTGATTCAGTACAATCCCTAAATAATGTATAAAGACCTTGGAGAAAGCATATGGTGTTAATTTTCGTTGTTTTCGTGGCAAGAAGAGAACTATAAATTTATGGCCTCCAATAAAATGTTAAAAATCAAACTTAAAATAATTCTACAAATCTGCAACCATAAAAATTAAATCCAACAATTATTTTTCCTCAAATCCTACAGAAAATGAGTAATTTTACAGTAAATCCTCATCAACAATAATTACATGTTCAGTAAATCATATTTAATTCAGAAGAAATGACTTTAGGCATAGTTTTGTGAGATTACATAAATGCAAATATCAAGTTTTAGTGGAAGATAACAGGAAATAACTATTTTCACCGATCACATGGAGGAACACTAAGTTTATGTTATAGGTTTATCAATAAAGAGGTTTTTCTCACTCAGAGAAATAAAAAACATAGAGTTATATCTACATGTATGAGACACAGTGTACTAAAACATCTGCCTGTTACTATAACTTCCATATAGACTACACACTCACTTAAATAGATGTTTTGCCCATACAACACAGTGGATGGGCTCTGATGGTGTGTTTCTAATGGTGCATCCTGGGAATGTTTTCTGTGGTGGCTTTGGTTGGCATTCATAACATTCTGTTAAACCCTTCAAGGAACAGATTGTCTTTATTCAATATTTACAAAGTGTTATTTAGGTTTGATCTTAATAATATTCTTACAAGTACATTTGAAATATGCCTTTTATGCTGTTGATCTATAATAATTTAAATATGATGCATGTATTTGTTAAGAATTTCCGAGTGGTCACCTTTTTGATGACTGTCACTTGTCCAAGGTAACCGGCCGTCCCACTCTCTATCAGGGGGATGTCCGCAGCCAGACACATTCTGTTGACATGGTTTCTAGCAGCTGTTAATACCCAGGTAGAAAATTTACAAAAAAACAAAAGTTTTTCAAATCTTTTTTTGTAATACATCATATTTGTACTTATTAAGTACATTTCATAGTACTTTGAAATTAATAGGGATGGGTATCGGCAAAAATTTCGTATTGTGATATATCACGATTTTTTTTCCAAAAACATCACGATAAATCGTGATATTTTTACACACAATTTTTACTAATATTTTAAATGAATTTCCTCAATATTTCTTTAAAATATGCTAAAAATATATAACTTTACTTTTTACACTTTAATTCATTTTAAAACATGTTTGGATGCCATTGTTTAACTGTTTTCAAAATTTTTTTTACACTTCCTGTAATTGTCATTCAATAGTGTGAACAAATAAATGAATAATTTCCGGAATTTATACTTATGTACCAAATACTAGTATTTTAGTCTCCGTATCACGATACATATCACACAATGAAAAATCGTGATATACCGGTATACCGATAAAATTGCGCATCCCTAGAAATTAAGTAGTGAGACAAATTCCTACATGAATAGGATTTCCATGGATTTAATTGGTTTTTAGTCTTTTCCATATCCAATCTCTTAAAGGTATTTGAAACACATTACCTCTGTTGTCCAAAGCATTCATCACCATGTCAAATTTCCTGAAGAAATCAACACCATAATCTGAGCTAAAAGAAGAATATTTTTTTAGTTATAGAAGTATCCAAAATGAAAACCATTTTAGAAGATGTATAAAACTTGGTACACTGCAATGGATTGAAAGTACATGAAGCCTAGATAGTGTGTTTCCTATTCTAACCTGGAAAAAAATAGGGTAGGTAAGAAAAAGATTTGATTTGATTTTAATTTTTTTGCTTATTAAAAATACTTGATTTTATTTTAACTTTTTTGGTTTATTCAATCATGTCACAATAAACAATATTTTATATGAGAAACAATGTTCACTCCCCCCCCCCCACCCATAACAGTTTATGGTGTCATTTTCCATGGGGAAATCACTGGCAAGTATAAGATATGTTTTCTAAAACATTGAAAAGATTGAGATCAGGATTTTAGTGGTGAAACCAGAATTTTTTATTTCCAGAAAGTATACAAAGTCAGACATATCTTCAGAGTCAGCTCGTATAATTTAGGGTCTGTTGGGAAATGTAAACACACAATTTATTTATCTAGGCCTGAATGACAATCTGTTGGGGAACCGTAAACACACAATTTATTTATCTAGGCCTGAAAAACAATCTGTTTGGGAACCGGAAACACACAATTTATTTATCTAGGCCTGAATGACAATCTGTTGGGGAACCGGAAACACACAGTTTATTTATATAGGCCTGAATGACAATCTGTTGGGGAACCGGAAACACACAATTTATTTATCTCGGCTTGAATGACAATCTGTAATTCCTCTTTAAATACAAAGTGGGCAATAAATATTTACATTTCCAATGTCTTTGTCCGAGCTAAAATTACAAATTGTAAAAATACTTTATTTCCACATAAATCTACTGGTTCATCGATAGGCGCGGTTAAAAAAAATCACGTGCAGGGCGGGACAAATAGAGACAGAAGCGGGGCTATTAGCACGGGAATTTGCAGAATCAGGAGCATGTAAATATAAGGAATAACTGTCAGATTTTTTGGATTCATGACGATGATCAATCGATTGGCTTGCGTGATAATTTTATGCATAAACGCCTTCGGCGTTTATGCAAATTATCACGCAAGCCACTCGATTGATCACATCATGAATCCAAAGAATTCGACAGTTATTCCTTAAATCAACTGATTTGTAGAAGACTTTATACATGCTATATCTCATAAAAGTGATGAATTCTCAATGATCAATAAATGATGCAAGAAATAGCAATATTACCTCATAATACTGTCATGATATGCCACAATTTTTGCATTGGGATTAAAGCTCATAGCACTCTCTTTTGCAACCTACAATGAATAATTTACAAACATTAAATGAACCTTTTAGAAATACAGTAAAACTTGTTTTATCTGGCCACCACTGGTTCAAAAGAAATTGACTGGATTAGACAACATTCCGGATTAGACAACATTTTAAACAATTGAAATTACTGATTCAGAAAGGGACTTAATGTTTGCACCATATTAAGCAAGATTTCGGAATATACAACATATACATTTAATCATTGCTACCTCAATTTTTTTGTAAAATTGATTAACTTAATCTTCAATTTAAGTACATGTATATACTTATTTCAAGCTCAAATATACATGTACATAAACACTCTCGGTGAATACAGGGGCGGTATTATTATGTAAAACAGGTCATAATCAGTACATGATGAAATATTTTGAGAAACGGGAAACACAAAAATTATTTTTACATGGCTGATGACGGAAATCTTATGTAGGTATACCATATTTCGCTTATTTAGCTTACGTGTGACGTCATAGTTGGTTTTTCCCGTACTCGAGAAATGTAAACATGACACGTTTTTGTCATGCCTATGTCTTCTTTAACATGTCCTGTGCAATATTGAGGTCAGCTTCACCATTCGAAATTTTTACAGTTAATCAATAATATGAACGTAAATTTAAAAATATTGAATGATAGAATTTTTTGCAAATTAAGTTTTTTGTTGTTTGAGTTGTCTTAAAAAGTGCGTAATTTTCACTATCCAGGTGCAGTGTGATAGGAGAAACTTGCCTTTTTGAATTTTAAACCCTATTCATACACTGAAATATTCTAAAAGATCCATGTAAACTTTCATATTTTTTATCTATGCTAAAAAAATCCCATTATGAAAAGAGTAATGGGCCCAGAAACTTGGAGAATAAAAACTCAACTTAGATACTGTAGGGCTTAATATTTTTCAATCAATATCTCTAAAATAAGGTAAAAAACTTAATGATATAACTGCTTTAAGATATGTGGGACACATTTAATTAGAAAAATACAAAATATGAAAAAAATTGAATGACAAGTATTTTTTCAGCTCAAGGTCTTTCTTCTCCTTAATATCTTATATCTCATTATTGTATCATGTTATATTTCTTGCTCAACTAAATCTCAGTTTTACCTCCATTTTTGGCATACACAATGTTAACTGTCTGAATAATGTATAACTGCAATGTAGCAATATGTTTTTATATTTCCATTCTCATTTACCTGTGCTTTTGATTTTCCAACATGTTCCTTCCTAAATAAGAACTGTCTGTTTAAATTGCTGACATCAATTGTGTCTAAATCAATCTAAAAATGATAAAAATATTCATATATACATGTAATCTGATCAAAGGTACACATGCAAGGTACTGCATGGTATAAATTTATTGTATATTCATATAATAAATGTTATTGCTGAATTATACCAATATCAGGATATAGAATATTTACATCAAATTTCATGTGCATATTCACTCATCTTAACACTTTAAAGTGGGGTACTACTAAACAGAGTACGCTAGAGTACGATAGAGTACTTTAGAGTACGCTGGTAAAATTTTATAATTCAATCCAATTAGATTGTTTATATATAAATATATATATATACAAATAATGTAAATAAACATCATTATAAAATAATATTGCAATATTAGTCTTAAAATTTTGTTTTTTAGCGGTATTTTGACCAGAAAATATAAGCTAACATCCCGATCCCGATTGTTATTTTGTTTCAAGAAACTCATCCAATTTGAAACTAAATCCAAAAATAATGATTTATTTTCTTGTAAATTATGTTTTTGAACAAATTTTACATAAATATTCTCGAAATCGGTATCACATACAAATAATAAAAGTTAACTAAAAAACAGTTTTACTAATAGATAAATTATAGTTTCAATATCAAATAAATAATAATGTGCATGTAAGTTACTTCAATGAAAAATACCTATGTTTAGTGGAGTCCCCTCCAAAAATTTAAACGTAAACAAGAGGCCCATGGGCCACATCGCTCACCTGAGCACATTGGCTAGGAAAAAAAAGCAAAAATCAGTTAAGTATTGAAAAGTAAACGGGGGGGGGGGGGGGGGGGGGTTGAATTTTAAACTACCTGATGATGCTTTCATATCAATATAACAAATGGCATTGCTGTTCTTGAGCAGAAAATTTTTTTCCCATATATTCATTTGTAAAAATTTGATCCCCCATTGTGGCCCCACCCTACCCCCGGGGTCCCTCATTTGAACAAATTTCATTCCACACTACCCAAGGATGCCTCCATATCAGGGATGGGCACGATTACTGAAAAATGTAATCGATTAATAATCGATTACTTAGAGGAATTTTGTGTAATCGATTATTAATCGATTACACTCATTTTTGTCCTGTAATCGATTGTAATCGATTACTTTGGAAGATGTAATCGATTAATAATCGATTACTTCTAAGTTTTTATCCCTTCATATATCAAACCAATATTTAAATGGTAAATGTTGATGTTCTCACTAAATGCCCAAATGAGGGATTCTCTACCATGGAAAGTGGATACATGATTCCTACAATAAAATATGCCAGGGAATTAATTATTCATTTCAACCTTGGATCTGAACCTCCATATTTATTTTCTTGTTGCAAAAATTAGTTAATATTTTATTGTGAATTAATAACTTCATTAGAAGTATATGGGCTGCCCGTATGTTGTCAGTACACATTCAACATTCCTGTACTTATCTTTTTCAAAAAAATAAGTAAATTAGAACTCTTAGTAATAAACATATAAATTATATGTGTCTTTAAGTAATTAAACTAATAGCACAATTTCATAAGTGTTCTGAGAGCTTATTATTTGTTTTAATAATATTGTTTGTCTTAAATGGAATGAAAGTTAAACACTGGGTAGTTCACAGTTTACACCTCATTATCTGCAAATTAGGGATGTCCCAGTCAAATAATTAGCCAATTAAGATAAGCAAACACAGTGACACTTACTCCCTCTCTTTCAGACACTTAAAGCCTCTCAAGGATATAAAAACAACCTTACAATTTTGAATGAAAACATGAGAATGAATTTGCAAATTTTAAAGTTACTAAAACACAAGTTTGAAGTTGTTTAAACATTTTCAGATATGAATAAGTATTTCCATCTTCTTTTTTTTCCGAGTACAATGTAGTTTATAATTATTTACCAAAATAATTATATTTAATAAAGCATTTAAATCTGTTTTTGCTATTTGTAATTTTCTATTACAAGACAAAGTTTTTCAACATCTGAAATATGAAAAAGGACATGCAGCAAAAGGACAGTGGGTTAAATGTAAAATGCACTCGAAAAATCTGTATATTTTATTAATAAATGGTTGAAATACACTTCTGAATTATTTAATACTAGACCAGTAGCTCTATAATGCAAATTTTATTGAGAACATTATCAAACTTATGATAATAAAAGTTGGGAAATCCAAACATTACACTACGTGGTTTATATTTGATATTTATGTGTGACTGACTGGAAATAATTCTCCAAAATAACATCCATTTATGTATAAAATAATCGAAAGTAATCGAAAAAGTAATTATAATTACATTGAAAATTTTAGCTGTAATCGATTAAATTACGATTACAAGTAATCGAAAATCTCTTCGATTACAGATTACTGTCGATTACTTGAAAAAAAGTAATCATTACAATCGATTATGATTACTCGATTACGATTACCCCATCCCTGCTCCATATCAATTTTACTAATCATGGCTTTTCTGTTCTTGAGGAAAAGATTTTTTCCTGTATATTTCTATGTAAAACTTTGATCCCCCATTGTGGCCCAACCCTACCCCCGGGGGTCATGATTTGAACAAATTTGAATCTACACTACCAGAGGATGCTTCCATATAAATATGACCAATCATGGCTTTGCTGTTCTTAAGAAGAAGATTTTTAAAGATATTTTCCTATATATTTCTATGTAAAACTTTGATCCCCCATTGTGGCCCCACCCTGTCCCCAGGGATCATGATTTAAACAAACTTGAATCTACACTACCTGAGGATGCTTCCATATAAATATGACTAATTATGGCTTTGCTGTTCTTAAGAAGAAGATTTTTAAAGATATTTTCCTATGTATTTCTATGTAAAACTTTGATCCCCCATTGTGGCCCCACCCTACCCCCGGGGGTCATGATATGAACAAATTTCATTCTACATTACCCAAGGATGCCTCCATATCAAATTTACTAATGCAGGCTTTTCTGTTCCTGAGAAAAAGATTTTTTCCTGTATATTTCTATGTAAAAGTTTGATCCCCCATTGTGGCCCCACCCTATCCCCAGGGGTCATGATTTGAACAAACTTGAATCTACACAACCAGAGGATGCTTCCATATAAATATGACCAATCATGGCTTTGCTGTTCTTAAGAAGAAGATTTTTAAAGATATTTTCCTATATATTTCTATGTAAAACTTTGATCCCCCATTGTGGCCCCTCCCTACCCCCAGGGGTCATGATTTGAACAAACTTGAATCTACACTACCTGTGGATGTTTCCACATAAGTTTCATCTTTCCTGGCCCAGTGGTTCTTCAGAAGAAGATTTTTAAATGATGCCATTATTTTTTCACTAATTCCTAATTATCTCCCCTTGAAAGAGGGCATGGCCCTTCATTTGAACAAACTTGAATCCCCTTCACCCAAGGATACTTTGTGGCAAGTTTGGTTGAATTTGGCTCAGTGGTTCTTGAGAAAAGTCAAAAATGTGAAAAGTTTACAGACGGACAGACGGACGGACGACGGACAAAAAGTGATCAGAAAAGCTCACTTGAGCCTTTAGCTCAGGTGAGCTAAAAAGACAATAAAATAAGCTATTATCTTGATGATAGAAGTAAAATGATCTATTATTAGATCGGGATCGGGGTCAAACAGTAAACCGTAACCAGAAACGATAAATTGAAATAATTCTGAAAATAATGAAAACATACACAAATTATTCAAGATATATATATTTATTATGTTAAACTTATGTAGAAACACATATAAAAAGCATTTTATTTGTATTAAATTAAAAAATTTTACCAGCGTACTCTAAAGTACTCTAGCGTACTCTGTTTAGTCAGGGACCTATATACTAACGGGATAGGCAACTCTCGCGATATCTCGTAAGTTGCGGGATTTCGTAAGTCAATTTTAATTACATATACCTCTTTTGCTATGAAATATTTCAAAATAAAATCTTAATTTATCTATCAAAAAATCATTCAAGATTTGTTATTAGCACTGTTTTTACTCCTTAACTTAGAAGTAATTACGTTTATTTAAAAATCAGTACGTGCCCCTGATCGGCTGTATTTCCGAGAAATCGCCGATTTTGGTTGTTGTTTATTTAATATCTGAATTATTTTATAATATGTGCTTTAAAATTTATTATATATCCATTTCTATACACAAAAAGAACAGATTACATTAATCAGAAAACAAGCTTTTTACTGGGAAAAAACGTAGTTTGAAAAACTTGCAGTGTTGTGTGTGCCATTTTGGGTAAATAATCATGGCGCTGAAGGAGTTGCCTATCCCATTAGTATATAGGTCCCTGTTTAGTAGGACCGTTTAAAGTGGCATTTTAGAAAAGCGCAAGTTCTTGCTTAGAGGAAAGTAGTGTGTAACAATATGTGATATATATTGCTTTAAGTCGGTTACCAGCACCGCAATACAGAATACCTTTTCTTAGTTATGGTTTACAAATTAGAATTCGCATCATTTAAAGAAATTTTAAAGGATTTTTATGTGTACCTTTTTAAGAAAATTTTTATTAGCGTAATGGATTCTACTTTCCTTAATCCTAATTCCATTTAGATTTTTTTTTATTGACCATGTATTTTTAACATTACTATAGTGATAACTTTTGAGAAGTTTTTTTTTTCATTTTATAAAACAAGAACTGTGATTCGCATCAATTTGTATCACGATGCACGTATTCGTATTCAATCCTTTGTTACAATAAAACCAACACTGAACGGCAGTACTAAATTTAATGAATTATGAATATTACTCCAAGTTTGTCAATTACCACAGCTATATCTTGAAATCCTGTAAGAACTAAGTTCTTTAACAATTCACAGCCAATTCCACCAGCCCCTACTACAAGTAACTTGCAAGACAAGACTTTTTTGCTTGTTGTTTCACCCAGCACACCTAAACTTGCCGCCATTGCTCTTAAATTATGGAATCTCGACTCCGACTCGTTATCGAAGACCTGCTTGAGTAGTTTCGTGACCCATATATAATAATAAAACCCAGTTTAAATAACTATTAATTTAATAATAATAATAAATAAATAAATAACAAATGAACAAATTAAGAAACAAACAAAAAAAGTTCCTTTGAAAATTATATCTTATGGCGGGCGATGGCGCGACCAGATACGAGAAAATTACCGTATAGATCTATACATGCTATAATGTAATGTAGTATCAGTATGAGCAGGTAATTATACTGATACAATATATATAGTAATATCAAAGTAATTTTAGAACACATTTTTTTATTCTTTTGTCCAGATCTTAGTTTCGTATGGATACACTCTTATCAAACGTAGTAATGTACGTTCACGTCATTTGATGACGTAATAATAACGTTACACAATTATTCAGACGTTGTTCGAAATTACAAGAAATATCGTGCAGTTGCTCTTTTTAACCTTTAGAGGGAAACGTTTGCACGTTATTTGGTGAAAATAGCTATTAGTAGGCATGGAGTTCGAACCCCATCTTCCAAATTCGGATGGACATATAATCCGATTTCCAGTAAAGCTGAGAAGGATCATTGATACGTGTGGAACAGGAGCCATTAAGTGGAACCAAGATGGAACAATTATAAGAATCAACAAGACATTGTTTGAGACTGAGTACCTAACCAAAGACCATAGACCATTCCAAACGACCAGTTTCAGTAGTTTTATACGTCAGTTGAACTTCTACGGATTCCAGAAAGTAAACCAAAGACCCTTTGCCAAGGGCAGCGAGAATGTGGATTCAAACGTGTTTGATTACAGACATCCGCATTTCAGAAAAAATAGCGCAGACCTGTCCCTCGTTCAAAGAAGAAATAAATCAAGGAGACCACGGAATTTTGAAGATGCATTTGCAAGAATCATAGAACCTTCTTCAAAGGTATGTTCAATAGTACATGTATGGATTCGATAAAAAACTTTGCGCACTTGGTGGGGGGGGGGGGGGGTAAAAATTGAAAGAATGTGGAATGTTTTCAGTTTCACAGTAAACGCAATGAAATATAATACGATTAATTATGAACTGCGTGCAGTGTTTTTATAACATATTGATTGAACATGTGGAATATGTCGAACTCTTTCTCCACTGATGAAAACTAAAACGTTCTGCAGAAAGAAGCCGCTTAAATTCATTTTTTTTTTAATTAAAAAAAAATATCTTTCACAAATTGTCGAATGTTCCCTTTTAGCTGTTTGAGTTAAATTAACATTTCTCTTATACTGAACAGTCACTTGTAAAATCGGCGTCGGTAAAAAAATTGAATTCTATATCTCTGCTCTTAATAAGGAAACGAGGTATTGGTACATGCATTGCATGAATTTAAAATATAAAAGAGCATTTTCATTCTTTCAGAGTCTCGGGACGTGGCTGCCTTTTCGATCTCTTCCAGATGACTTAAAACCGTTGCCAAAGGAAGGTAAATTTTTCACTCTTATATACAACAAACCTACTTATAGTATATCATCAGCAATTTATGAGAGACAGTATTTATTTTTGGCGAGTACTGTTCATTATTCAGAAATTCATAAAAAGTATTAATCCTTGAATCCGAAGTACTTATACTAATTAATTTATATTTACTAGTAACTTCGATTACGCACGTGTCTTTATAAGCGTTTCACGTCTATAATTTTTTTCTTCTGACATTTCCTGCGATTTTTGGCAAATATAGATGAGGTGGGGAGGAGGAGATCAGACTTTTTTTTCAGAGATAACAAGGAAAGGGTTTGCTACATATATTTATGCGTAGTATGTTTGCCAAATTAATGTCCCCAAATACGTGGAAAAATTTAAACTTGTTAACATGGAATAAGTGCCTATTAAAAAGGGTAAATTTTGTCTTTGTTGGCGACTCCACGGTTTACTTGTGCACCAACTAATTTTGATCAATATCATACATGTAATTTATATTAATTCATGCACTACATTATCATATACTGTTTAGAAAATTAAAAGATTTTTGAACGTACGAGATTGCGTCCTGCAAGCACGCAGCGTTGTTTCCAATTTGAGAATACGCAAATAGGTTGCGACGTTGTTGGTTGATGAAAGAAAATTCAACATGGTTTCCACGTTGATTTATAATAATTATCATTATTTCATTGTAGAAACAACGTTGAAAAGGCAACATGTTATAAAATTGAGACCTCAACAAATTTGTTTTTGTGCAATTAGTTATTAAAACAAGAGGCCCATAGGCCACATCGCTCACCTGAGTAACTTTGGCCATGCTGTTCTTAACCAGATTTTCCCCCTTGTAATACTTATTGTGGCCCCGCCCTACCCCCGGGGGTCATGATTTTAAGAATTTAAAATCTACACTATCCCAGGATGCTTCCACATAAGTTTCAGATTTTCTGGCCCAGTTGTTCTTGAGAAGAAGATTTTTCAAGATTTTTCTTACATATTTCAATGTAAAATTGGATTCCCTATTGTGGCCCCGCCTTACCCTTGGGGGTCATGATTTTTACAATTTAGCATCTACACTACCCCAGGATGCTTCCACATAAGCACTACCCCCGGGGGTCATGATTTGACATTGAAATATAAAGGAAAAATTTTTAAAAATCTTCTTCTCAAGAACAACTGGGCCAGAAAAACTGAAACTTATGTGGAAGCATCCTGGGGTAGTGTAGTTAGAAATATTTCAATGTAAAACTTGGATTCCCTATTGTGGCCCCGCCCTACCCCCGGGGGTCATGAATTTAACATTTACAATTTAGAATCTCCACTACCCCAGGATGCTTCCATATAAGTTTCATCTTTTCTGGCCTAGTGGTTCGTGAGAAGAAGATTTTTAAAGATTTTTCCTTTATATTTCAATGTAAAACTTGGATTCCCTATTGTGGCAACGCCCTACCCCATGGGGTCATGATTTTAACAATTTAGAATCTCCACTACCCCAGGAAGCTTCCACATAAGTTTCAGCTTTTCTGGCCTAGTGATTCTTGACAAGAAGATTTTTAAAGATTTTTCCTATATATTTCAATGTAAAACTTGGATTCCCTATTGTGGCACCGCCCTTCCCCCGGGGGTCATGATTTTAACAATTTAGAATCTCCACTACCCCATCCACTACCCCAGGATGCTTCCACGTAAGTTTCAGCTTTTCTGGCCCAGTGGTTCTTGAGAAGAAGATTTTTAAAGATTTTTCCTATATATTTCAATGTAAAACTTGGATTCCCTATTGTGGCCACGCCCTACCCCCCGGGGTCATGAATTTAACAATTTAAAATCTACACTATCCCAGGATGCTTCCACATAAGTTTCAGCTTTTTTGGCCCAGTGGTTCTTGAGTAGAAGATTTTTTAATGACCCCACCCTATTTTTGTCTTTTCTTGATTATCTCCCCTTGTAAAGGGACTTGGCCCTTTATTTTAACAATTTAAACTCCCCTTCACCCAAGGATACTTTGTAGCAAGTTTGGTTAAAATTGGCCCAGTGGTTCTTGAGAAGAAGTTGAAAATGTGAAAAGTTTACAGACGGACGGACAGACAGACGGACGACGGACAACGGGTGATCAGAAAAGCTCACTTGAGCTTTCAGCTCAGGTGAGCTAAAAAGTATTACATTTTCTCGATGATCAACATACAGGCACTTGTGTGTACTTTCAAATCGAATCAGTGTAAAGGTATAAAATACATGCATGTTATTACCACTCCTCCAACTGTAAATGGATGAATTTTCGACAGTTTTTTTCAGAGTATGGTTGCAATGAGTACTTGACGGTTACATAAAGATCTTGATTTTGTTTTCAGTGGCTAGACCTTTTACAAAAGTACATTTTTATTTCGTGGTGCTAACTTATATATTTTACTATAAAAAAAAAATAAACTAAAAGATATAAAACAGATCACCAACACTTCGTGAGAATGCAGCAGTAAATTTATTTGGTTGACCGGTTTCGACCAGAGACGGTCGTCATCAGAACAAATATACATGAAATGGTTATACATGAAGTAAAAATTGCGGACTACGTTACTATGTAAATAAAAAATGCGGACGTCATAACAACTTGCGGACTAGAATCTTTACATTAATAATTTAACAACCATAATCGTGTGAAATTGTCACAAAACTTTACATTACATTATTTATCCTTAATGATTAATTAAACAGTCCATAAATTCCGTGGATGTTTATTGTTCTCTTTTGTAAACATCCACGGAATTTATGGACTGTTTAATTAATCATTAAGGATAAATAATGTAATGTAAAGTTTTGTGACAATTTCACACGATTATGGTTGTTAAATTATTAATGTAAAGATTCTAGTCCGCAAGTTGTTATGACGTCCGCATTTTTTATTTACATAGTAACGTAGTCCGCAATTTTTACTTCATGTATAATCATTTCATGTATATTTGTTCTGATGACGACCGTCTCTGGTCGAAACCGGTCAACCAAATAAATTTACTGCTGCATTCTCACGAAGTGTTGGTGATCTGTTTTAAATCTTTTAGTTTATAACTTTAGGTACAGACCCTATTGAATACCTTTCGGTATCCACACGTGAGAATCTTCCGCAATTTGAACCTCAGGGTGTTGGTCTCCAGTTTTTATTGTTTTGTATAAAAATAATATTATAAAAATTGCACAGAAACATATATGCTTAATTATATTTAAGGAAGACAATTACTTGTTTCCCATACGTGATATCCAAGAAGATTTATTTTTATAGATACCGGTACATGTAAGGCATCTCATTTCCAATTTACTCGGAAAAGAAGTCATTTATTAAGATACATGTACTATGGGTTTTCAATTCCATAGAACACTTACAGTGCCTAGCATAATAGATCTTACAGACATTTTCATCTGTACCAAATTTTTCTAACCTTGGTACTTTCAGACTTTCAATACTTTCAGATTTTGATATGTTGTATGATGATGTAAAGCTCAACATTTTGATCTATATAGTTATACTCTGCTTCAGTCCAAGGTCCACCAGATACACATCAAGTTCAGCTGTATGTGGTTGGCCAGGATGGCATACTTATTCCTGCAGAGACTTCCATGGTTCTGACCACTGGTGTTGTTACTCGACCAACTGACACTCCAAGTGACCAAGCAACATTCATGTCAAACAAGGCCACAGCTCAACACACAGAGTCATCACCATCAATTTATTCAAGTAAATTTATCCACATGTAAAACAAAATTTCATTTATAGGAAAATAAATTAAATAGAATCGTGTACTTTTCCTATATTTTCTGATCACATGAGAGACAGGAGCTTCTATCATATCTCTTTTACAAAACTGTTAAAATCAATTTCAAATACCACATGAGAAGAAACAAGTAAATAGTCTTGATTTTAAAAATCCTTATTTTTTTTCTTTTCAGTTGAATCAGATGCCAACATTCCCTTGGAAACGAATTCTACAATTCTTTAGATCAAGGAGCTCAGCTACTCTAGAGGCATCATGTATTAATGACCCTAAATCATCCTAATCCTTGTGCTATGAGCCACTGAACAGACATTTGGTGCCTTATGATGACCTTCAGAAATCATTCTGGGGGTACATCAGTGACTGTACTGTTATAGAACAGTAGTACAGAAGATTGTCAGGACAACTTTCTTCACTGAATTTAGACATATCTTGTGTCAGAAGAGCATATCAAATAAATATGTTAATTTCTATTTGTATATATATGATTTTATTTTCCATAGTTTCCATGTTTTGGAACAAATATTGTAACAAATGACATAAGCAAGACAATAACACTGCCTTAAAAGACACTAGCTGTCACTCTTCTGTGACAACGCCAACTAGCTGTCACTCTTCTGTGACAACGCCCACAAGCTGTCACTCTTTTGTGACCACGCCCACTAACTGTCACTCTTCTGTAACTCTGACAACGCCCACTCCTTGTTGTCGATTTCCTCCTTCAGTCTCTGGTACTCGGTTACCAGTTCATCAAATTCACTCCCTAAGGATTCATATGTTTGTAAAGTTTTTGTCACATAAGTCTTACTTTTATCTGCTTCCTCTTTTGCACTGTGTAATGTTTCCCTATAACATCAAAACAAAGAATTGAAAACAAGCAAAACGATAGTCACACATGCATGTACATGTATATAAAATACAGATTTCTTGGTACAGAATCATGAACCAACCTATACATAATCGTTTCATTTTTGTCACACACTGTATAATCACATTAGGTTTACATTTTTTTAAAACAGAGGATTAGAATATGTCCAACCTTTATTTTACTACAGGTACTATGATTTAAAATAGCCCTTACTTTATCTTCAGCAGAGCTTTTGTAGTCTCCATTGTGTATGTATCACACAAAATCTGCAGCTCAACTAACCTGCATCAAATAACATAAAAGATTAAAGTGTGCGATAAATACACTTATACACCTACATGTAAATGGTTTATGATATCTGAGAGGAACTTTCAGGAGGTGACCTACTTGATTTTGAGACACAGTCCATCACATTTTGCCACCAGCCACTCCGAGGAGACAGTGTCATGTTCTGCTTGGCTCTGGAGGCGGTACTTTGATATCAGTTCCTCCAGCAGATGAAGGGAGTCCAACAGAGTCTGAAGGATTCAAATATTTATCAATGGAGTCCTGCCTGACGCAGGTGTATAAGCAATACAAATCAGAACACCTCTAATGCTGAAAAGCAGGAACATTGTGCAATTCCACACATACAATAATTTTAAGTTTACTGCTAGGAGTCGGTATGAAAAAAATACACTCAATCCCAAGCTTTTATGAACAGAGAAGGACAGATCTTGTAATTCTACATTTCAATGGAGTAAAACTGTTGGGGAAAAAATACAATAAAGCACAAGCATGTAGATTATTTCTGTATGGCTATGTCTAGCTGTTGTCTTACCTGGTAATATGTCTGAAATTGTTTTTCTCTGACAATGTACAATCTCTCTAGCTGATGTTTATCTTCCTCTAATTTTCTCTTCTGTGACTCCATCAAAGCAGGTAACTGGGAAGACTTTGCTAAACTGGGACTGCCATCTACCCCAGAAAAATCACACTATTTAAACTGATTATAAATGTATGAAGTTATATCTTCAAAAAAATCCTGTAATTTTGTTCATGCTGACAAAGAAAAGAACTTTTGATAATAGTGTGTGTGCATCTATGAATACAATATGTTACCTAAAATGTTTTCCGTTTCCTGAAAGTTCTGTAAATTTTCACATCTTGCACCCAGACGTTCTTCTATCTGTGGAATCAACTTTTGTTGGAGGTACGACAGATTCTAAAAATAAATTCTGTACTGTATGGTATAGTCTCCTATAAAATGTCTAGATCTTAGGACTTTTCTAAATTGAAAATGTCCAATTGATCTTCTTTTAACTACCTTTTATACATTATAAGTATCTAATAAAACCTACTTTTGTATGGGGGTTCTGAGTGTGTATACTTCCTGCAGTCAGACCCAGAAGATTAACCTTACAGCTGGGGTCAGGACTACATCTCAGATAATCTTCTATCTCTGACAAAGTCAGGCATTCCTGTAGCATTGCTTGAAACTGAAAGACAATTCAACACACAGATTTGTGAATTTTTTACCATTCTAAATACAATGCAATGTGTGACACATTTTTCAATTGACAACAACCTCCACAACACCTTTCTTTCTTCCATCCACAGGGGAAATTACACCAGACCAGTTATATTTTTTGCCCAGTGGAAGTTGTACCTACATGTACCTGTTTGTCATCAGGTGACTGAGACACATCTTTACTCTTCAGCTCCAAGTCGACCAGGAACTCCTCTATCTCTTTATACAATATATGTTGTAGTAGCCAGCTGTGCTTCTCATGTCTTAATTCCTCCTCTGCCTAAAAATAACACTTGTCATAATTTAAGATTCACATGAACAGTATAACTAGGACTTGGAAATTTAAATGAAAATATACGTGCTTAAGTAAAGAACAATGTTCATGCTTTCTTAAGGATTTGTGAAAACATAACTAGGGTGAGTTAACCATGCATCCGACACATACCTTGCTTTGAACAACTTTAAGCAATAAACTTTCATTGAACCTGAGTCTCCTCGTGTTTTTACTTGTTTTTGTCTTAAAGTTGAAGATTTCAACTTTTTAATGATGCCGATTTTTATTTTCATGTTGAGATAAAAATCCCACAAGAATGGCCTTGAAATTACGTCATATTTTGCATCATCAAAGGGGAGTAACCAGAATTTTACAATTTAGCAATTTTATAAAGTTGTCGTTATTTTAATTAGACTTCAGCAGAACGAGTCGAACCTAGGTAAAATTTGTCAATGATTGATAATTTTACAGAAATTCATCAAAAATTTTACTTCAATGTTTGTATAATATTTTTTAGTGTTGTTTTTTACTAGAATGTTTAATTCACAGTACATCAGACACAAATTAACCATGCATCGGACACTTTCTGATGCATGGATAATCACTTCCATTTTCATATAAAACCCAAATGACAGCTGTTTTTAGCGGAAATAGAAAATAAAATCTCTAAATTTTCATTGAAAATACAAGTTATTGATATATGATAACTAGAAGTGGAGTCAATTAATTTTTTTAAATTAGACAATGATAACCCATGAGACAGAGGCACGAATTGGCATATTACTAGGCCTAACAAGCCTTTCTAAGGAGATGTGATGCACCTAAAATCTCTTCACATTTGAGGATCAAAATTGTCAGTCAAATTTAACTATAAGGTTAATTTTAAATAAAGGAGAAACATGTTTTGACATCACTAATTTTAAAGCAACGTGATCAAGGTATGATATTTTTTCGGTTCAAAATACAGTATATTCGATGCATGGTGAATATTGTCCGATCCATGGTGAATTCTGACTTATTTTGAAAAATCGGTTTTTAGTGATATTTTCTCAATTAATAGCACACAATTGTGTCAAAAATTTTATATTTAACCACATACTACATGTTAAGCTCCATTTTGATAATATTCGGTCGATATTGATATCGCTAGAACTTGTTGAAGTGCGAGGGTGTCCGATGCATGGTGAATTCACCCTACATAACAGCAAGCCTAGGGAGCTCTTTAAACAACACCTGGGCAAAGAGAAAATTTGGACTGTACACATTGTGACTTTGATCCAAATGAATTTTTTCTACAGTATCATTTGGACCCACAAACTATGTTCTCACAGTAAAAACAAAAGTTTACAAATAAAAAAGAAAAATAACCATACTTTAATGGTAATTGTAGAGGACTACATTGTAGATTAAACACTCTTTGTTTAAAAAATACGCTTTGTAGGCACCGTTATGGAAATGCAACTAACCTATGACATCATGTGACATCTCAATCTAGACGTTCTAAACATCTTGTGAGTTTTAGAGAGGTGGATCTAAGTTAAAAATTAATAGGAATTCAGTAATGCATACTCAGCTGCACTTGCCCTAACCATCGCACAGTCAACTTGTTACTAAGAGGTGCAGGAATTGGAAAGGTGATAAAGCCCTTTCAGAATTGCATTAACGACGACAGACCTAATTCATTTCTGCAATAGATTTTTTATGCAAATTTTAATATGAGGTAAAGCGACTTTTGGTGAGTTAAAATCAATAAAAAAAATCATATGGTCATCGATGTAGATTTTTAATGGGGAGCGTTTCAAAAGTTGGCAATGGAAATTCTTAATTACTATAGGAAGTAATGGGAAATTGCCAGTGTAGGGTATAAGAGCGATCACTGAAAAAATTCTGCAATAGAATTTTTATTCATGTTAAAGGACAATGTTAACAAGACAATTTACCAGCAAATTATGCCAAAAAATAAATGGGTCATCGGCTTGAGATTTTTCAGGGGGGCATGTCAAACTCAGGTGTAGGGCATATTTTGGGGGAAATTTTCAATGAAAATACCTTAGCCAAATAAATCATTTATTTACAAAATCAACAAATGAATATCGAAATATTTACAATATTTTTGAATTGAGGGGAAACGTTTGAATAAGAATTAAAAATGTACATTTTTATTTTTTGCAATACATAATTAAGTCAATTTGATTCAAGGCAATAGCGTGGTTTTCTGTGCAGTGGCGTGAAATTTCAAATTAGGTTCGTCGTCCTTAAGAGAAAAACAAGAGGCCCATGGGCCACATCGCTCACCTGAGCACATTGGCTAGGCAAAAGCACAATCAGTTCAGTATTGAAAAGACACGGGGGGGGGGGGGGGGGGGGGGGGCTTTGTTGTACTTAAGAAGATTTTTAAAAAAAAATTCCCATATATTCCTTTGTAAAAATTTGATCCCTCATTGTGGCTCCTCCCTATCCCAGGGGTCATCATTTGAACAAACTTGAATCTACACTACCTGAGGATGCTTCCATATCAATATGACTAAACATAGCTTTTCTGTTCTTGAGAAGAAATATTTTTTCTATATGTTACTATGTAAAACTTTCCATCCCCCATTGGGCCCCATCCTACCCCTGGGGGTCATCATTTGAACAAAATTGAATCTACATTACCTGAGGATGCTTCCATATCAATATGACTAAACATAGCTTTTCTGTTCTTCAGAAGAAGATATTTTCCTTTATATTTCTATGTAAAACATTGATCCTCCATTGTGGCTCTGCCCTACCCCCGGGGTTATGGTTTGAACAAACTTGAATCTACACTACCTGAGGATGCTTCCAT